TATTTCATCAGTAGAATTTCCTTAAAAGAAATCGTATCATATAAAATCATTTTATTTTATATCATATCATTTCATTTTAAATTAAATCATTTCAATTTCCATGAAATAATTCTTTTTCTTTGAGGAACATTGTGTTTATTTTTATCAGCTAAACATTATAGTTATTTTAAAACTAAAGTAAGAAACCCGCACTCAGGGATGGGCGGTATTCGGCAGTACTATATCGATAGCTCGTATCTTTTCCTCAGGCACAAATTATATTAAAATTTTCTATGCTTAACAAGTTAGCTGCGGCTACGGTTCCCGGGTTTCGATATTCGTCCCGACTACTTAACGGCCGGGACTGTTTAGAATTTTGTCTATTATACGAAGTCCCAAAAATGATCGTTTTTAAAAATATTTGAATGGGAGTTGGATAGATGTAAAGGTGGATACAAACGTAAACAATCACTATATCTGATAAAAAGCTATCGGAAGCCGGAGACAGTAACCTTAGCTAACGCGATAAAAGAAATTTTTAATAAAACGCCTAGTGATAATATAACAAAGTAAAAGTTAAATGTTTGATAATTGGAAACGGCTATTATATACCTAATGGAAACAACACATTAAGAAAATAAATGGATAGAAGTGTGAAGGCCTGTTTAAAACTACTCTTATCAATATATAAAACTGAAACTACATTGAACATGATAAAAAATAATTCAACCTCATATTACTTCCTTAGATTTTTACAACTCCAGTTGTGCCGATGGAAAAAATGTTACATTTACCTCACATTTTTTTCATAAAGAAAAAATTATAAAATCTACAAGGATACAGTTTTATTATATTTTAAACTAGATTTTATCAAATAAAATTATAATCTTGGAAATAAAATGATACACATATGATCTTCCGTTCTCTATCCTGCACTGTCAATACCACCTGTATGCCGAGGACCTCCAAATTTACTTTTCTTCGATACAGATGATTCCAATGCAGCAATCCCAAAACTTCAAGAAGATATAAGACAGAATCTGTGCTTGAGCAAACCGTAATAGGCTCACCCTAAACTCCGAGAAGACGAAAGCTATCCTTATCGGATCCCAGCACTCATAAAATCTTCTCCAAAACAACTCCCCTATTTCGTACCAAACTTCCGATAAAAACTTAGGAGTTATTTTTGATCAAGCCCTCTCCTGGAAACCCCAAAGTTCAACATTCAACGCTATCTCCTTCCATACAAAATCCTTCAATTCCTGGTTTCCTCTCTTGTTTTCCCTCACTTTGACTATGGTATACGTTGGACTCTCGGGAGAACTCGAAGCCTTACTTAAACACCCTGTGAATTGCTCGATACGTTTTGTCTTCGGGATCTCAAGAGATACACATATTAACGAGTATTACACTGAGTAAAAGTGTCTATCCATCCTACCGTCGTCAGTACTTCCTTGCTGCCTTTTTATACCAGGCCATTAGAAGTTAACGACCCTCCTATATTCTTCAGAGCCTATAATTCAAATTCTCCATTCGATCTCGGCCCACCACATCCCGTACTTCTGACCTCTATTCTTTTTCTCGCCGAACCGCGGCGTTTGACAAATCTTTTGTAATTCAAGCCATCTCCTATTGTAATTCTATCCCTTCCGATATCCGACATGCACAATCAGTTTACTCATTTAAATCTCTACTTTTTAAGCACCTACTCCTTTCGCAATCCAACTGATTACGAAATGTACATAAGAGAATATCTTAAGATTCCCCAGAAACTATGTTGTTTACATATGTTATTTTATTTTCCTATGTTTATTATATTGTGAGGGTCTTTAATTTGGAAAAATCGTTGCCGCAACAAACTTGCCGGATTCTCAGTGGAGACGGTAGGTTCGCAAAAAAAAAAAAATAATAAAATTAATGAAGGGTCAATTAAATATTACTATCTAACAGGGGCCACGCTATTTAATTAGTTGAATTTGGAAAATAGCGAAAACGATAAAAATAAATAAAATTAAAAAAGTAAGATTTGGACCCGGAGTGAGCTACGAACTCGGAACCTATGGGTTTAAAAACATATGTTAATTAACCTCAAAAACCTATCGAGCCTTCTTACTCGGTTAATATTTATTTCCCCTAATCCCTCGAATAGGGTTTTACAATTCCTTATTAAACCTTATTTTAAAAAAAACAATATAATATATACATAAAACCTAAAAACAAACTGAAGAAAAAGAAGAAAATAAAACTGGCTATTATTAATACTAATGATGAATTTACTTATTTCTATTATTTAAATAACTGTTAAAGTAAATGAAAATTATGCTTAAGAAATTAGATTTATAAGAAAACAAAGAAAATACAATTAACTTTAATTATAAAAAAAAGAATATGAAATTATTATAGGATTAAACATTAACTTAGACTATACAATAAACCAATTACAAATATTTGAAGAAAAAAATAGATAGGAAATAAAAACTTATATATACATATTTACAAAATCTCAATGCCGAACTTTGTCCAATTGGCACATTGAGTTATCTGAGAAAGCGTTAAATTATTTCACACCCAAAAATCCTTAGCGTACCTCTACACTCGCGAGGTTCCACCATCCCTCTGTAACTGTCTTTTGTTTTCCAATCATTTGTTGGTTATTCCAATCCGAAATAAAATGAATACTTAAAACTAAGACTTACTATAAACTAATACTTATTATTAAAACTAATACTAATTAATTAATTTATTTTTAGCTAACCCTCTTCGAGGTAAAACTAACAGTTATTTTACGAAGTAATTTTATTTTTCGTCGCAAACTCTCCTTCTTCCTACGTGGGAAGTGAGAAATGAAATGGCTCAAGAATGGGAAACCTGGTCCAAGATCTACAAGACAGCCCACACTGCGCTGCGGTATTGGGATCAGGAATATGATGATGATGATGATTTTCCATAGTTTGTGAAATGTCTAAACGCGTCTTTGATCTTTGGGTCACTCTCGAAAACATGTTGAAGTTTATTGGCGTCCACTCTTTAAAATGGGGGTATAGAAGGAAATTACGAGTGATTAATATTATACTTTTGAGAAAGGTGTGTTGAGATGGTATTGGTATATAGAAAAGAGCAACAGAAGCAGATAGTTGCTGTATGTAGAAAAGGTAGAAGTGAAATAGGTGGACCTAAATGAACGTAGCTCATAAAGAATTTGATACTCCCAGAAAACTGATTACAATGATAGAAGTGATAATGATTAGATCAAATTGCAAAATTAGAGTGCAGTCATATCTGTCAAAACAGGTGAAAACAGTCAATGGCCTAAAGCAGAGCGATGCATCAGCGATCCTATTGTTTAATCTAGCCCTGGAAAAAGTAATTTGTTACTCTGGCCTACAGATGGGAGGCCAAATATTTATCAAGCAGGTCCATGTCTTGGCATATGCTAACGATATCGACCTCATTGCAAGAACTTAGGCTGCTCTGAAATCGGCATTTACTTGAGTCCTCCATCAGATATATGGATTTAGTTCTTAATAAAATAGTTTCAGTTTTGTTAACAGCCATTAGGGGGGGGGGAGGCTTCAGTCCGAAAGCTTTTTTTTTTATATATAACGATAATTACTTTCAAAAAAAAGAAAAAGAAACTAACTACCTACATGAATTGGCGTTTAATTGATTCTTGAAGTCCTATTAAATGTAATTAACGAACAATGATACTTTTTAGAGATATTTTTTTTCGTAATTCATGGATATACTTCATCATTTTGGGGGTGAGGGCTTCAGTCCGAAGCCCCCTCCCCCGTTGATCCGCCTGTGTTAACGACCATAAAATTAAGTATATGGATGTCGGACAAGCTCCCATATTGACTTCAAACAACAGTTTGTCTAAGAAAATCGAAAGAAAATTTTAGGTGACAATCAGGAGTTACATTGGTTTTCTTGGCTTGGAAAGAAGGAATAAATATAGTGATAGTGTATAATGAAAGAAGAGATGGTCCGAGGTGGCGTTCATAATTAGCTTTAAACAGTGTAAACCATCTTATTTAACCTACGTTTCGATCCATTTTTCTGATCTTCATCGGGGCTTAGTTTAAGGACAGCACTGAGCGACTGACTTATTGACTATTCACTTTTACAAATGAACTTCATTAAAATAAATGTTTAGTGTTTAGCTATTTTTCGAACGTTTCATTCGGGAATGATTTTCAATCCGCTACTCAAATAGTTGTCAAAAGATTTTGTTGGTGAATATAAAGACGTAATTAGATTATTTCACTTAGTTTATCTTATATTTTTTGCACCGGTGTACCAAAAATTTGTTATGAGCTGATAAACCAAGTGCTACAAGTTTTGACAATTGCTACAATGACAGCAAGTTCGGGGTCCGTTGATATTCAAACAGTAAAAGCCGCTGTACTTTTATCCCTGTTGATTGGTTTTCTTGCTGGATACAAAGCTAAGGAATTAAGGTTGAAATGGATTAGATTTAGAAGAGATAGGCTGTCCAGAAAGTTAGCTGACACGCAGAAGCAATTAGATTTGATGTAATAGTAATATTGATCGAATGGAGATATTTATTTTTAAACTTGTTGATAGAGAAAAATAAAATTATTTAATTAACTTTGTATTATTTTTAACACCTGATATCTTTTGAAGTATTGGTAGGTTTTTCTTTTGTCACTCTAGTTCCTAGAAATTTCGTTTGTGGCGTTATTAAATCATAGAATTTGACACCAGAGTGGTTCCTTTAAGAAATACTCATCTCAAAGCTATTAATATTGACATCATTGAATAATTATTTTATTAAATATAAATGTTAATGCAGTGACGTCTTTTAATCGAGATGGTATTTAGTATGGAATACAGTGTGGAAGGTTATACTGGCTCAAAGATAAATATTTAGGGGAGTGTGTTTACCTTCAATATGTAATATTAATGTATTACCATAACATTATTAAGCAACCACGATAAAGGATTACTTCTATTTTACGTAGTTTTAATACCTCTATACACTTCTTAATACAGTAACAATGGCGGATGAGGGGGATATTGACAATTCTGAAGATGCTTCACAAATCAGTTCTATAGTTCATAGGAGAGTTGGTCATATTTCTGTCCCTTATAAACATTTTATTCTGGTATGGGGTGGGTTTATGGTAAGCTAAAGTTATATGGGACATATTGAGGTATTGAAGATAAGTTTTATGTGACATTTATACCTATCTTCATTTTATTTGTTTTCTGTAGGGTGGTCATGATGATTATGAAGTATATTGTTCATCTGAGCATGTATGGGTGTACAACTGTATAAGTGAAACCTGGTAAGTTATCATTAGTTTTTCTCCTACTACTTGTGTTAGGAACATATTTCAGATTAATTGATTCAGTATACTAGTTGATCCAATTATAATTAGTTTTACGGGGAAATTTTTTGGATAAATACATAACAGAAGTATTTAATACATTGAATTGAAGATATGAGTGGATGAAAGTGCTTTGAAAATATTTTTAAAATTTATTTTGTGTTATGAGTGAAAATTGTATGTGCTGTTTGATGCATATTTCATAATAATTATGTTGACTCTTATAAAATTATAGCGCATGCAGGTAGGTGGGTTTGAAACATTTTTAAATGTATATATATCATTGTCACTAAAGTTGTAACAAAACACTCATATCTTTGCTAGTGGAATTTAAATTAAAAATTTTGCATTATTATTTGTTTAATCCTCCAACTTCTTAGCGATGTTCCAATCATTATTTCAGATCCCATGAACACAGGTTTTGATTGCTTTTGAACACTAAGGCTACTGCAAAGTCGTTGAAATATAGGTATTGGTTCATGAAATTTCCACTCTCATTACGGTTGGTTCATAATCACTTCGGTCACATTTATTCATAGATAGTCGTAAGTATCGAGTTATTTACAAACAACTTTTCCGCCATTAAAGTACCTTAACCATATGCGTAAGCTGGCTTATTTTGACATTTAGGTCATATCATGTAACCTTAATTGAGCTTATATATATGAGCCTTTCAGTTGAAAGAACATTTGGGCTGAAGCTCTAGCCCAAAATAAAAAAAAATTGTTTCATTGGCATTTATTTGTTTATGTTAATGATCTAAGATAAATACTTAATCACAATATGTGCTCTTTTAAATTATAATGTATATGCAGACTGTTATTATATGTAAGCATATGTCAGTAAAAATTTTATCTAAACATTTTTTTTTTAATAGGCCTTCAAGGACCACTTAAACATTATTTTATATATTTTCTTTATTTTTCTTCCTGAATAATTACCATTTAAAAAAAAATAATAAGAAGAAATTAATAAATAAATAGTTTGTTAATAAGAAGTTCTATGGTGGGAACACATGGGATTTTAAAACTATTCAACTAAAAGGGAATAAGTTGTTGGGACAAAAGCTGACATCATAGTATTTGACTATTCAATATTTCATGAACAAGTTTGAATCTATGTAATTGTGAACCATGCCTAATCCATGCGGAACTTTCATGAACTGGTACCAAAATATGTGAATCATTTCACATTTTTCAAAGTAATACTTATTAGTAAATTTGGGATTTTTCCTGTAGGTCCGTCTTGGTTACTAAAGGCTACATTCCATTCCCTAACTCAGGGAGCACAGCAGTCATACTTGATGATGCTTTATATATTTATGGGGGTAAGGAATTAATGTTATAATATTTTATATCATTTGTGTGGTAAATGTTTTAGGGTATTTTCTCGATGTATCCTAACGGTAATATGTAACAGGTGTTGAAGAACTAACAGATGATTTGTGGAGGTATGGCTGTGAACTTCACTGTCTTGACTTGAAAAATCTGACATGGACCACTCTAGTACCTAATGGAAACTCTCCTGAAGGAAGTGATAAGGCAGTAGGATGGACTTACAACAAGAAGTAAACATGATTTTTACTTGAGTTTGTTATCTATATTGAAATTGATTAAATATTTAGTCTTTCATTTTGTAAAATTTGGAGTATTTATAAATTTCTAACATTTAAGTATAATCTTATTTACTAGTTTTTATAACTAACTGCTTCATTTTTATATTGCTTTCTAGTGATTGCCACTTATCTTTTAAAACAGAATCTGTCTTATGGCAGTCCGAATATCTCATGGATCTACCGTAATCTTTAGATAATTTCTAAATTTCCTAATGTCTTGAAAATATGATTCTGTGACTTACTCCATTTGTTGAAATCTTATCTGAATATATGTTGATGTTTAAATTTTCCTTTGGAGTGGGGTAGCTCGGTAACCAAAAGGCACTGGGCTCCCATTCTCAAGGACCTTGATTCTAATCTGGCTGACGCAGTTTTTCTTGGTCTGGAACCTTTCTTCTAGCTATAAAAACAATAGAAGCAGGTACTCTTAATGAGTGGCTGCAGGTTCTTCAGTATATTTTTATGAAAAAATATTAATACCATGGCTTGATAATAACATTAATCCTATTTAGCATTTTTATCATAATTGGTTTGTTGATACATGAAAAAAAAAATTTTGATTTATTTTTTGTCTGAATTAGTAAGGAAGTGTGTGCGGTTGTTTGACTGAAAAGATGATTTGGGAGAAATAATCTATTTTTACCTGAATAATCCTAGCAACACAAGGATTATGTGTTTGGGTTTTCCGCTAAAAGAAATGTAACGATTTTTCGATTGAATGGCTGGATCAATTTCTAAGTTTGGTTGCTCAAATTATTTGGTAAGATCTGGATATTTTGAAACAATTCGAGGAAAAAAACAGACCCGTGATTGAATAAAATGAGTTAAATCAATTTTCTAAAAGGTATTTTATGATATTTCAAGCGTATGGCTGAATCGATTTTTAAGTTTGATATCTTAAATTTTTCAATGAGGTCCTATGAGTGTTTTAAAATAATTTGAACTCATAATTTTGACACATTACTGTGTAAATTGTTTAACAAATTTTCTAATAGATAAGTTCCTGGTAGCTTTAGCGTGAAATGTCTATTTGAAGAGACCGTATTACGCTGTATTCCCTACCATGATCCATTTCTTGACCTCTTCACTCACCTTGTTTTCACAACTAGTGTTAGCTCCATGGTAGGTTAAGTGCTCAACTGCTCAACTATTATTTAACTGGAAATCAGCTGGCATTCTCGCTTCAGAAATAAAGACCACCATATACTTTTTTTTTTCTTTATTTATCCTGAGACAAACCTTTTTACGTTCAGGCACTAGTTCAGTGAGAACTTAACATATTGCTTGTTCACTTCTTCTAAGAACTACCATGTCATCTGCATGTTCTAGGATCTGTGAGGATATTCACTTCCTGTTGGTTCAATTGTCTATAAGGCTTTGTGCAGAATTAGATTAAAAAATATGGTTAACATAGCATCACCTTGTCGCACTCCAGTACGGTGAAATGGAATTCGTTGCTTATTCTATTGTCAATAAGAACTCTATCTCATGAATGGAACAGCCTCATTTTAATTAGGTTAATTAGTTTATGATAGTGTTTGAAATAGATAATTAAAAAAATTTCAAAATTTTTATCTAGAATTTTTATAAATCAGTTGATAATTTTCATTAAGAATGAATTTTTATTTTTGATCATAAGTGATAATAATTATGCCCTGATCATTTTTTTTTTAAACAAAATTTTTAGAATAGAATATGAAAATAATTAAGTAAGATTAATAAAGTGAAAGATGTAATTGATATGCGAGAAACAGAAAAAAATGCATTCATCACAGTAGTCTCAGTTAAGTCACCACTCCAACTGCAATTGGAGTATTGGATCAAATCTGAGTAGTATTTCAAATAAAATCTTTTAAAATACAAAAAAGTAAAAAATAAAAATATTGCATCTGCCCTAAATGAAAACAAACACAAAAAAATAAAATAAAAAAAATATTCTATATAGAAAACACTTGAAACTATGTCAAGACACTTGAAACTATGTCAAGACACTTAAAACTATGTCAAGACACTTAAAACTATGTCAAGACACTTAAAACTATGTGCAGTGCACTCAGTTCGGACAAATTTTTAATTTCATTGAAAATATATTTTATACGAATACTATATGAACCCATAGTCGAGTTATGGTTCTAATGAGGTAAACAAGTCAGTATTAGGTCAGTTATATCCTACTGGTTTATATGTACAAATCCAGGTAAAAATGATTTTAGAAAAACAAAAACTAGATTTTTGACAAAAAAGATCCTGAAGAAAGAAGTCCCATGAAAATGGTAAGTAATAATTTTTTTTTTTTTATTCATTGATATTTACAACTGTATTATGAAAAAAAGATACAACTAGTAAATATGCACTCAGGAATATAATAACATGAAATCTCTTGTTGAGAAACTACCCACTGAAAGCACTCAAATAATAAATTTACACAAGAAGATCATGAGGCCACCTTCATTTCAGACGCCTCGGAGGGTTATCAGGGATCGAGGAGGAACCAAGGTTTGAAACGAGAGGGTTCGGATGGTTCTGCAGTTTTTTATGGAAGGATATGTATCTGGATTGGGCCAAATCGGAAACATATGAAACATTAAGGTCTTTATGGATGATTTTCTTTGTGACAAAGTAAGGAGCGTTGAGGATTTTATGAAGGATTTTGGATTGTAAGGATTGGATACGAGAGGAATTCGATGGTTTAGTGGAGTCCCAAAGCTCAATTCCGTAAGTCCAAATAGGTCTTATTATTGTCATATATATGAGTTGTTTGTAATTGATTGAAAGCTTAAAGCGTTTGTCTAGTAAGTGTTGGAGTAGTCGGAAACGTCGAGCGGTTTCTTGTCGTTTCAGTCTTGTATGAGGATTCCATGTGAGTCGTTTGTCCAGGTGGAGTCCTAGGTAACGGATTTGTTCAACTGGGATAAGTGGAGAATTGTTAAAGGATACTGTAGGACAGGAGGTCATAGGTTTGCGACGCAGGGTAAAGGTAATTTGATGGGATTTATTGGAATTTATTTTAATTCTCCAGTTTTTACACCATTCTTCAAGGTTTGGGATGCAGTTGATGGATCATTATTAACAAATAGGATACATGTGTCATCAGCATACGTGGTGATGACTACGTCAGGATGGGTTGAGATGTCAACTATATAAACTGTGTAGGACCAAGGGTACTAGCTTGAGGAAGTAATAATTTTATATTAGAACTATGAATTTTTTGTTGTTAATTTATTTGTTTAATTTTAAGTGTCAAACAATATAAAATTATTTATATGAAAAACAATTAACTATTATTCACGAACATTCCACAAATGCTAAATCAATCCAATTTTTTTTTTTTCATTTTTATTATTAAATTGGTGTTTTTATTGTATAAGTTAAGTGTGAAATTATTTTCATTTGCACATACCTTAGAAGTTTGAAAAAAAAAAAGTATATTATATATATTTATACATACATATTTTCAAATAAATAAAAATCTTATCAACATATTAATGTAAATTTTTAGTAAACTGGTTGCTTAATATTAATAGTATAATTAATTTCCTTAAAATTAAAACTGCTGAAAAATAAAATTATTTACAGAATTTACATATTTGGCGGCTACGGACAATGTTCACGGTGTATGGTTAATGGTTATTCGTTTGAAGTTGACCCTAATAATCGTTTAGATAAAGGATGGAACAACCAGCTGAGTATATATGATCCAAGTATGAATCGATGGACTACACCAAAAGTAAGTTTTTTGTATATCATTTAAGATAGTAAAAAAAAAAATTGTATTTTAGATATCTAATTCATTTATTTATTATTATTCTAATATCTCATTTAAGTGATGTAGTTCAGTTTGTCTGGCTCTTCTCTTTGCTGCTGAATCCAGATTTGTTTTACTTTGGCAGATAATATGTTTAAATCATACATTATTCTGTTATATCAAGAGTTAATCTACTCAGGGATTGAGATATCCTCCTAGGATTTGTACTTTTTTTAGTTTAGAGAATAAACGAGGTGGATACTGAAATGTCACATTCTTGATTTATCATTGTTCAAAAACTAGTTTATGCCCTACTAACTACTGAACCCAAGACCTTTCATTGGTTATTATGGTTTAGGTTCAATCAAATGTAAATTGTAATATACTCCTTTATCATGAGTATATTTGTATTCCACAGGAAAATTGTTTGTAGAAATGAGGAATCTATAACAAACAAAGAATATTTATTTTTTAAAATTTTAATTATGGTTTAATTAATTAATAAAATTTTTATACAGCCTATATCAGAGGCAAAGTTCTTGTACTTAAATCGTCCTCATTAAATCCTTCCAAAACAGAGTTTGGAAAAATCTTGTTTTTAACGAAGATGTGCCATTATTTCTCATTCCTGCTGCTTTCTAAAACAATAGTGAACCTTGTTGTGATCCAAAAGATTGTTCTATGTTAATATTGTCATTATTATGTTTTATTTTTAAAATTATAAACATCATTTAATTGTATTACAATGGTTTTCTTAGCTTTTTGATGATGCTGAAGACTGATCTATGGTGTTTAAGACGTTTTTAAATTTTATTTTTTTTTTAAGATTGTAATATTTTGGAAATAGCATAATGTATTAATATTTGTTTATTTTTATTCTAATATAATATTTTAATTATATTAAAAAAACAAACATAAAAAATAAGTATATAAAATTATTGAACACTATTATCATTATATTATTTGTTAAAACTCACTTTCCATACCTAAAGTGGATAACCTCATTTTTGAAAGGTTTGTTGTATTTCTAAAATAAATATTTATTAAAATGTTCATTAGTACTGCAAATCATAAAGGTAAAAGAATGCGGATTAGAAATTTATTCTTTAAAAATAATTATGTAATATATTTAGACAGGAGGAGTTCCACCTCGTCCTAGAGCTGCTCATGCTGCTGATGTGAGTGGTGATAAAGTGTATATTTTTGGAGGAAGGCTAGCAGAGATAAGAGCTAACGATATGTATGTTCTCGACTTAAAGAAGCTGCACTGGACTCAAATATCGTATGTTTTTTTATCGGTTACATTATATGGAAATTTCCTTAAGGATGGATATTTTTTTTTTTTTTTTTATCTATGATAACTTTTTACTTCCGTGTATGTTAATTTCTAATTCATCTTTCTTATGTTTCGGAATTTTGTTCTGCATATTATTAACATTAGACTTTTTTTTTCTTATTCTATTTGACAATTGTGATAATGAAAATTGACTAAGTATAGTATATAATTGTCAAATAGAATAAGACAAATGTTAATAACATGGAGAAGTGAAAGGAAATGTCTCTGAGGATGGGCAAAGAGTCCGAAACATTAGACAGATGAATAAACTGACATACACGGAAGAGTTTTCATACTTTATACCTGAAAGTTATATTCTTTTCTTTACTATCTAATATAGTGGAATCTTGATAATCTGAGTTGGGTGGACAGGGTCCTCCTCTGATCACAAAAATCTTGTATTACCATTAATGTTAGGAAATAAAATAAATCTTTGAATTGAATAACATAAGCATACATTTTACCCTCCACCAGGGAAAGCCATGCTGCCCGAGTGTCTCCCCTCCCCAGGTATGTGAGGCCCGTCAGCCTAATAGAGGCAACTCACACCGACCGGGCGTTGGACTGATGACCCTACCCCGTGTACTTAAATCGGGGATGTGGTTTACCTGGATGTTAATAGCCCCCCTGAGGTGCGATCCATGACGGTCTGTTTCGGGGAAAGAAATATAGGTCCTCGTGCGCCTGCTGACTCCGAGCAGCCATAATCCATGGATCTAGACCGATTTGTCACTGTCCTTGAACCCAAGAAAGTTGGTGGGAAGGACATTGCCAGATTGGCCCCAAAGGGATTGGCTATGGAGCTACGGGTGGCCTGCCGCTGCACCATAGAAACCATGGTTTGTAGCAACGTGAGGTTGGGTGACCCCCTCCAGCCTATCTGAGCTCCCGCAACTATCACACATCTGTAAGGAGACCACATCTCATGGCCAAAAATCTTCATGGTCTGTAGTGCCAACCGAAAAAAAAAATATATATATATAAAATTTCAATATATATATTGGGTGGTTCGTAATTGCACGGCACTATTTTAGATCTGTGTTCTCTGACACAAAATAAACTAAAAAATTCATATTAACATACATCTCAAACTCATTTATTAAACAGATATCAAGGGTTAAAGATTTATTATTTATTTACTACATTAAGACTGACTGTACAAAGTTTAACATGTTTAATACTAAATAACTAGTTTTAATCACCTGATAAACAAATGAACGATAAGCAATGACAGTAGTTGCTCATCTATTTGTCCAGTTCTGTGTGTTTTAGTGTGAGTGAATACTGTGATACAGTTCAATTTATGATTATCATGGGAGACACAATAAATTTATTCACTTTTGCAGAACAAACAGACATGCTTTTAACTTATGGTGAGGTACATAGAAACGGTGCTGCTGCTGTTCGAAGATATCGTGAAAAATTTTCTAACCGACTTATTAACTAATATAAAAATGTTTTTATATTCCGAAAAGGATCTTTGGCAAATAATAAAATCCTCATTAAGAAATCATATTCACGTATTTAAGGAAATTTGGAATATCAGAGCTCAGATTACCAAGATTTCACTGTATTAAATTTTTATGTATTGTTTGAAAATTTGAGAGCTGTTTCAGTTGAAAATATCAGTATTTACCGAGTCTATTGGCATCTGTTTCACTTTTGAAAAGTTTCCAAATTATCTGTTGATATTAATAAAAATTAGCTTGGTTTATAAGATGACTTGATATAACAATTTTTTCCTTACAATTCTTTATACTGTTATTAAAATTAATATTAAAGATCTAAAGAAATAATTTTTCAGTTGTTGGATTTAAGAATGATGTCATGTAATTTTATTATAATTACATCGGTGATCAAATGTTTAATATCTTTGTTTCAAAATATTTTTTAAGAAAGGTTTACACCAAATCACGTTTACACACACAAAAAAGAACTAAATAAAATATATATACATATCCAATGAAGACCATAAAGAGATATATCATTTTTAATAAAAATTTATTTGTAAATAAAAAATAAATAAACACAGTAACCTGTAAAGCAAGAAATACTTGAATTCATGTGGTGAAAATAATACTTATGGTGTATATAAAGCGAAAAGAAATATTTTTTTTTATTGATAGTTTAAAACATAATATAAAAAAGTTATTCATGTTATATTAATAGCTTTCTCAGTTTACCTAATGAATTTTATACTTTTTTTTTTTTAGTTTAAAAGATGGTTCATTTGAAATTCCTGAAGGAAGGTCATGGCACAGCTTTAATTTTATCACTGAAAATCGTGCTATATTGTTTGGTGGATTAAGTAGGAATCAGATTCCCTGTGGTGAGTTATTTTTCATCAGTATTCATCTTTAAAAATTGTATTTAATGTTCTAAATTAATCATTGTAATTATTATTTAACTTATTTTAGACTAAATAAAGAAGTAAATATTTAATTTCTAAGAAAAAAAGTGGCTAATTTTGAAAGATGTATAAGAATTTTTGAGATCTGAGGACTGGTTAGTGAGATTTACAGGAAAATATATGAAAAATATTTAGAACACCATATCTTTGCTAGAAAATTGTCCTATTTCAACGATTTTTTTTTTTAATTAAAAAAAAAAAATGTATACTTTTTGAATTATTCGGACATCTAATTTTACCACCCAACATAACTTTTTTTCCAGTTTTTTGTCATTAAGTATATTATATAGATAAATTTAAAGGGTATCGAGGATAAGGCTTTGGTGAAGTTTCATTGAATTCAGTAAATTTGTTCAGGTGCTACAGTCTATAGCATCAAAGATTTTTCTGCCGCCCTATTGAGAGGAAAGGATGGATAGTATTGTCAAGGTACGAGGATCAGCCTCATGTCATCTCTGAGTTTGATTCCAAATTTGAAATAAATCAGTCCAGTAGTCTCAGATAATATGCGCGGACAGACTTTTTTTTATTTGATTTTCAAGTTCTATGTATCCTGAAATTTAAAACCTCAAATTTTGAGGGAGGTCAAGTTTTTTTAATTTTTTTGTCGATTATAATGGTCTATTATTGATAATAATAAACCAATAGATAGACATTAAAATCACATCAAATTTAATTAAAATTTTATGGTATATGAACTGAACCAATAATTAGACCATATCAACTATTGTAGTTAAATAAACATTCAAATTGACTATGATACCCACTCTGATATTGCGGAGAAAATTATGTCTTATAGGATCACTCCATCTTCTTTACCCCTTGTTCCAACTTTGATACTGGAATATATTGATTATTTCATACTCTTAGTTTCCTCCCTTTTTTTTAGAATGTTAAGAGAATTTCTAAATGAAACTTTGTAGGTTATAATTAAGGTAGAGAAAGTTTTCTTTTTTGTAGTGTAATCGACTATGTAATCTCTTTTAGTGTATTAACTCCAAACTGAAATTTCCATTGTATCGCAATATTTTCTGTGAAGTATTCTCATTGATAATCTAATTTTAAAACTATTCTGTATTGAACAGTAATTTTTCTGTTCCAATGTGTCCTCAAAGCGTAAATTACTAAAACTGCAATATAGATATAGTATTTATTAGACTTCTACCTTTTTTTTTTTTATGAAACTTGGCCTATCTGAACTGCCTATATTGCATTAATTTATTGACCCAACTTATTACAGAAATTGACTTGGTTTCTTAATAAAATCTATAACATGATAGAGTGTGAGATAGTAGTTGATGGAGAAAGTTTCATATCTTGATGAAATCATTTATTTTGTTTTATACTACCACATGGTCTCTGTAAATCAATAGTACCTTTTTCTTTTAGGATACACGAAAACTCTTGATGTTAACCTTATTTAATTTTAAACTTTTCAATCACAAAAGTATCATTTCCAGGGGATTTATGGGAATGCCAGATTGAAGATAATCAGGTGACGTGGAACTTGCAAGGAACTGTACCAAACGATCAGACTCTAGTGTGGCACAGGACGGCCGTATCTAATGCTACTAAAGAATTAGTTATAGTTGGTGGAGTCACTTGTTCTCCTTACCGCATGAAGGAAGAGGTGAGCAACTATCCTACAAACATCATATTTTATCTATTTACAAATGATATTTTCGACAGAACTAAAACCATCAAAAGGTTTGTTCTATGCTCAATCAACCACTCTCTGGAATTTGTTCCATATCAATATTAACCGTGCTTCTTTTCGCAACACCTTCCAACAATCCAAACAAACGGTCAAAAATTTGATTTTTATTTCAGTTTTATTCAGATGTTGAAATTTTTTTAAAAAGAAAAAAAAGTCAAAGAAGAATGACGACTGACGAAATGGAAATAGCTCTGTTTCCCAGTAAATATTACTGGTATTGCTTCGTGTGGTACGAAATCGTATTGTGGTATCTCTAAACAGAAAAATTAAAACTAGACACTAATCCAGAAGTTTCAGAATCTCTCGATATGTGGTTTTTGCTACGGAGATCACGAGGGTGTCCGTTTTTCCATAATTTTATTAAGAAGGATGATAAAGCTGATTTCGCTGGCAGTAAAGATTGGCTTGCTAATTTCAAAAGCTCGTGCAGAATTAATTTTTTATATTAATTTTTATTTTCATGGAAAATTTCTTTACACTCATTTTATTTTTTATTATAGACAACTCATAGAAATGCCATAAAAGTATTTTAATACTTCCTTGCAATGGAAGAATGTATACAACGTTGCAAACCAAACCAACCCTGTTACTTTTAAGGAATTTGCGAGATCAGGCATTTTCTTTAGCAAAAAAATCAAAGTCAACCTACATTATATGATAATTTTCAGAATTTTTCTTGTTGCAATGTTTTTATATTTAACTGGTAATACACATTTTTTCATTACCTTGTAGAATTTTTCTATCATTGTAAATTTAACCTTCGATAGTCTGAACATTTTGATAAGTCTAACAACCTTACAATTTACATGTTCTTATTATCAAGACTGCCCTGTACTTGAATCTAATTTCTCGTTTGCTTGAGTAGCTAAATAAAAATAATTAAAGAAGATTTTTTGCCGATCTTAAAATAAAATATTAAGCTCTGTAAAACCTTTATTTCAAAACTTGCAAGAGAAAAAAAGTTATGGTTTGAAGAAAAAAAACTATCATTACAACCCATAAAGGGTCTTGGGTTCAGTAGTATTCAGAAAAAGTGCTGTTCCTTGTTCAATGGTTTTGCAAGAAAGTGATTTGACAGAGATCACACTCAACCACCAGGTTATAGATTTACCAAAACAGATTTAACTGTTGAGATATTAAAGTGAAACAAAGGAAAAATGGTTTCCTTTTAATCGACTAGTTTTCCTTTTATTAGCCTACCTCTAATAAACAGATGGAAAATTGTATTTACTTATATGGTCATGATTACAATGATACACGATTATGCAATTGCAATCTTGTAATCAAGTGATCTTTTTTTTTAAATTATTATCATAGTAATTGTTGGTTGTAATTATGACCATCTTTTAAAGGAATTGACACTTAAAAAAATAATTTCCACCAATGTTTTTTTTTTTTTTTTTGACAATTGGCCAAGAATTTTTTGTTTTTTGAAATTGTAATAAATTAAGAAAATGTCATAAACGTAACAAAATTCTACACCAGATTTCAAATGCCAACTTCAAATTGGTATTCATAATTTATTTCCATGTTTTAACATCAACATTTTTTTTTCAGAATCATGTTGGTACACTTCATGTTATTCCTTTTACTCCACCCTCTCTCCTCAGGTATGATTATTAAGTTATAACTATTAGTAGTTTAAAGTGTATATAATTATATAATACTTATTTTTGATCGTTCACATAGGATTATTACCCGTCATAGTTTTCACAAAGACCCACTGACTTGAATTTATTATAACAGTAACTTAAATTTGAGATCTGTAATTTAGGAAGATTTCCATTCTGATAGGACTGATAAAGAATTTTTATATAAAGCAGTGTAAAAAAAAAATAAAATTATTAATTACTTCACATCAGTTGCTACAACAATAATTAAATCAATTATACGTATTTATGATGAATAACAATAGATTTTAGATTTCTTTCTTAATTGAAAAACTAAAGAAAAATGATTTGTAAACTCCTGGAAGGTTTAAAATAACCGATGAATTCTTTTTAAAATTGTGTTTTGTCAGTAAGGAGTTCAACTGCATATATTTTTTTTATTCTTTTATTTAATAGCAATAATAAAAGGCTTAGCAAACCAAAGGTTCTATACCAACACTACAAACCTCTATCTACCGCTCATCATCCAAACTAGCCTTCAGCCCCACCAAACTAACCTTAACGCAATCCTTCCACCTTCGCTTCAGTCTATCTCTCGGACATTTACCAATTATCACAGTGCATATTAACTTTTTAAGAATTCTTTTGTTACTTAGCTCAATAATTTTACGCGCCCATTTTAATTGTCGCAATGTAATTACTTCAATTATATTAGCCGGATACAGCTCACACAATGCGGCATTGTGTAACCGTCTTAATCCTCTGACTGATTCATCCTTCTTTGGTCTGAATATTCTATGCAATACTTTATTTTCAAAAACCTTAAGGTGGCTTTCATCCCTCAGTGTAAGTGGCCACGTTTCATATTCATAAAGAAAAAAAGATAGGATAATGGTTTTGTAAATTCTAATTTTTAAGTTTTGGGTCAGGTAGTGTGAGTTAAGTAGTTTGTCACAGAAAAATAACAAGCATTTCCTGCCTTCAGCCTAATCTTCTCTTCAATTTAATTTTTCTAGTTATCGTAGATCCTAGATACCTAAACTTCTCTATGTGATCGGACATATTCCCATCTATTATACAGCTAACCATATATTATTCTTTTATTATAGTTATATTATTAAAGCCCTGAATCTATATTGGTCGGTACATCTTTGACTAAACCACCAGATTGGGTAATAGCCACAACTAGTAGTTTATAAATTAAAGCATAAGTTCCAAAGCAAGCGAAGTCTATTTTACAAATTTTTTTTTTTTTTTTTTAATTAGCAGAGTCAGTATTAGATCATTGTGAGATAAAGGATGTCTTCCAAACGTAGTTAGATAAAATTTGGTTTTAACTGTTGGAAGATTAATTCATTAGAAAGAAATTCATTCACTTTATGATGCTTATTACTTACTAAAACTGTTAATAAAAAATGAACTTGCCTGATTTTGGAACCGAAGAACTCAGTTTCATATTTATAGAAATGTTTAATCTTACTTCTTTTTTTAGTTTAAGTCTGCAGGAGATCGTTAATGAAGGCATCATTTTTCATCTCTTAAGGAAGGATTGTTTCCTGCCAAAGTGCCTTTTGGACCTAATAAAGAATAAATTTAAAGTTCGTAACAACAAGGCTGTTATTTATTGTAAGGAACATGAAAGTGTCATGAAGCAGTGATATTTTCAGGATAGAAACAAAATGTATTATATCTCATAATTAATGTATATGTATCATCTTACATTGAAAATAAATTTAATTATTAAACACCAAGTGATTATTATTCTTGCTATAGAAATCATGTTACTGGTTTGTTAATCTGTGCATAATTTATATATATATATATATATATATATATACAAAGTGAGGCGGGAGGAATGAGCCAAATTCCAGGAGTGGGTTGCACACTGGAAAATAATATAAAAAAACTCGTATGTTCCATTTGTTTAAATTTTATTGACTGATTACAAATGAACAATATTTCATATATCTATGAATTATCATATTAGCAGTATGATTTTGTTTAAAACAGATTGTAAACATGTTACAATCATATAGGAACATATAAGTAACCTCATATCAAAGACGGCCATCTGTCATTTTTAGAAAGTGAAAAAAAAGTCAGTTTTTGTTTTACAGATTCACCAGTTCCTGATGATTTTATTCAAGAATTTTTAAGTTGAATCGTGATAAAAAAAACATTATAATTGCTTTAAATTGAAGCTGAGTTACAAAATTTGGCCTTTAATCAAATTTTTAAAAATGACTGATGTCCGTCTTTGATGTGAGGCCTCATATTCTATAGAGATCTCTCATCGGTATTCTATAGATATACCTTTATTAACAGTTCTATATTTCAACACTGGAATCATATTACTGTCTGTACAGATATTATACATTTTCCAATTAGAAATATCACTGAAATGACATTAATCAAAAATGTTGAAATTGGAGTTAGTCATTCTGTCAACAGAGAGGCACAAATGATAAGCTTGCTTACTTTCTTTTTTATTATTGGAGAGGGCAGTGACTGTCTCCTCTCGGAAGTTTGCGACTTTGAACATTTCAGTTTTAATTAAATTCATGATTTTTTTTAAGGTTGAGAAACAAAATAATATACAGTAAAGTAAATTTATAATTGACTAATACAACACTTGACTAAGTTAATCTTTTTTATCTATGTAAATATTGCATCTACTCATACACAAAATGGTTAATTTTAATAATTTAGTGCAAAAAATATTTTTGTGGTATCTATAAAGATGGATATAGACTTAGGCTTTTGTATAACTCTATCGAGAAATCTATAATTATGTCTCTTCGTCTGAATTCTTAATCTTTCTAAGCTCATAGTCCAACCTTGTACAACTTACGTCCTCAAAGTGATTTAGCTGTTCAATCTGAATATTTAATTGCATTATATGTATTAAATATATGATGTTGAAACAGACATATTTATCTCCATTGATATTCTACCCAAAATTAATTCTTCAATAAATATTATTGACTTTTTCAATAGATTTTACATTTATCGTTATTATCATACTAAAAATCTTTAAATCCATTACTGAACCAAGATCTTCACTCCAATCTGCACGAACAACCCTCTTATTTATGTTCTTTCTCTTGAGTTTTACCATTGGATGTAAATCGTCAAAGGTACCTAATGCAAGAGCTTCCATGCTGATAAAACCCTAAAATTGCATCAAAGAAATATTTTCCTCTGGGTAAGTTTAGCAAAATCCAAAGGATGTAGCATAGAGGGTTCATTATTATGCCATTTGAATAGACTGAGAAAGAGTCATCATAACTTCCTCATCTGAAGCATTCAGACAATTTAATAAATTAAACTCATCAGTATTTTAATATTTCCATTGATTGAGAGAATATTTTAAGACAAAAAAGTAATTCCACATTTATCTCTGACAATCAAAGTGATATAAGGTTTGATTACTCACTTCAAAAAAACAGATAGAGAAATGAACAAACCATAGAAATAACCAAGAGAAACAGACAACATAATTTGTGTGAACGTTTCTAATGTAGCTTCCTACCACTGGAAAATTAGGAATCTTTTTCAACATATCAATTTGAATTAGTCAGCGTTAATTTATAAAGCTTTTATTTATAGGCAATATTTATAAAGGTTTATTGCAAAAAGTCATCAAGTGACATTTGATAAACTCAAATAATTGTGAAATCACTTACAGTGTTTTTGTTTTGATAAATAAGGTCGAAATTAACAAAAACCTATTTGAAAGTTAATCTATATAAAAAGTGCACTTAGTGATTTTTTGCAATAAACTGACAATATGGTGTTAACTCAGTATTGTGAAGATAAATGTGCAAAAATCAGTTGCTTTTAAATTCAATGCTTAAGAATTCAATTAAGATAATTGAATGAAATACCATTATTAGATCTAGGATTCAGTAAATGAGAAGAAATAATTATTTACTAAAAGTAATAAATTTTATTTTATTTACAAGCCTCTGTTTTATTATAATTTCGTTCTTTGTTTAAACATTTATACACTTATCGAATTCTATGAATCAGAAAAATTGTAATCCTGCAGCACTACACATAACTAAAATGGTCATACATTTTATGGACGAGCTCATATTGATTGAGTTACTTATTTAATACATCTAGTTACAAGATGGAACTATACAATAATTTTCTACAGTATTTATAACATTAAAAAATATGTTTAAATCCACTCAATGACAAATATTCATAATAATTTTCTGAATATAACCATTTTGGAATCGACAATTTAAAAGATCTACACAAATAGTTTAACTAATATTGTAATGCAATTATAAAATTTTATTTAATAACAGATCATACATTATTAAAATATATTTATAATTTTGAACATATAATGTTCAGACAAAATTACATATCTTATTTCACATTCATCTAATCTATAAGATATTAAAGTAAAAATCACAGACAATAAGAAAGTTCCTAGGAAGTATCCAAGTTTAATTTTTCTTTCTTCTTTTTGTTTATATATCTGCTTTCCTTGTTTTGGAGTAAAAAAAAAATAAAAAAAAGAAATTATAAATTAGTTAATGGCAAAAATAAACCTTTTAAAAGATCATAATAATTTTAAAATGTAAATAATAAAATAATACTTCATAATATTAAACAAGAAAAAGAAGAAAGATTAAAACTTGAAAAGTCTACTGTTATACACTGAACGCTATCATAGGGATCTGATTTGCTTTCAGTTCATCGATGAATGCTTGTAGGGCCCTTTCCAAATCCCATGATGCTTCCTCAAGTAGTCTATAACAAAATAAAAAAAAAGATGCATATACATTTAAATATATATATATATAAAGATACACACATACCAAACTTATTTTATAATAAAATAATTAATTATACAATTAAATATTATAATTTATTTTTGCCTTCCTTTTTGACTGAACACCACAAATATTCTTCTCTTCATTATCCACGACAGTCAACCAATTACCGATTAATAATAAACTTGTATGAATTCAATAATAATCCTGTATTATATATTAATAATTGTTTAATAAATAAATACATGTATATAATTTCAGCCGTGATTTGAATTATGTCAAAAAGAGAATATTTTATAAAACTTTAAAGAAAACATTTCTAAAGTAAACCTATCAAATTTATGAAATTATTATTATGTATAGGCATAAATTTTGTATAGTAGAAGAGAATATTCTTTGATTTCAAATAAAGCAATACAATGAAGGACAAAACAAAAGTTTTAATGATTGTTTTGTTATCCCCTCTATTTTAGTGGAATTAATTATTATTATTTTTTTGTTTTAATTTAATCATTACTGTACAGTAGCGATCTTAAAGTGGAAGAGTTAAAAATAAATTTAGAGAATGTATGATAAGCCACACAAGATGAAAAATTTGTTTTCACATCTGTAAATTAGAGAATTCAAGATGGTAGTGTAAATGTATTAATGAAAGAAATGCATAACAAATCAAAATATTGAAATAATTAACATTGCATTTGGCTATAAATAGAGTATGGGATGCTTTTCTATAAATGCTTAGTTGGAGAACACCACATAACTTAAACCATTAAGAACATGTTATTCAATGATTAATATAATATTATTATTTTTGTATTGATATTATACAACATAATCTGTAACCAAACAGACTAGAACATTGCCTTGAGTGACATGGTAACTTCTAGAATTTGCAAAGGTAAAAAATGAATTTGAAGAAACTCTATTCAAACGCTAAGGGTACATTTAATAAAGGACAGTACAAAATTTTCAAATGGAGTAGAGGAAATTTCATTCAAAATAAAATAAAAAAATTCTCACCTCACTGACCATTCCTTGGTCAATTTTGTCAATTCACACATGGCAGGAATAAGAGCATCTTTATCATTAGTTGAGGGATTCAGAACAAGTTTAAACTGACCAGTTAATCCAGTCCTGACTTTAGTAAAGCTCCTCTAAAATAACAACTCAGTGATAAACTTAAAATTTTTAAAAATGTCAAAAGGAATAATAAATCTTTATAGCCGTAACTGAGGATATTGCCATAAACATCAGGAAAAATCACAAATTTAGTTAATTTATGATCAACTAAATCAGTGAATTGATTTATTTTTAACAAATGATTCACTACTTCAAAATAATATATTGAAGATGAGTGAATAAAAAGAAAATAGAAATAGAAAAAGCTAATGAATGGTCTTAAAATTAGTTTGAATTATCCTTTTTATGATGTGAAAAATGGAAAGTGTACTTTAAGCATTACTATTTAACGTGAACAATACATTATTTATAATGTATAACAACAACAATAAATAAATAAATTGTATAATCTTACTAATTTTATATGCCATGTAGGTATTTGATTTATCGTATCAGTTTTATCATCTTATTTTTCTTACTGTTTCCATATTGATTATCTTGTTTTTTTTTAGCCCTCATGAAGGCCAAAATGTCAGCATACAATGGTTTTATTTCTTCATCCAAACTAGCCATTTTAGGCAAATAGATTGAAATCCGCACAGAATCGAACAAGATTCTTATTATTTATGGGTTATTTCATTACTTAAATCAATTCTATGTGATATATGCATTTTTAAATAACTGAGTTTATTAACTCATTCAGCACAAATTATTTTGGAAACAACATTCAAGAGACAAGAGCCCGACACAACTGTTGTGTCAATGGCCACAAAATGTGTTAATTATATAAACTGCTTTATAATTTACGTATTGCATTAAAAAAATCATATTTTAGCTTAAATCCTCAGCTACCGAGACTATAAATGGAAGTTTCACAGAATCACAATTTAAAAAAATACATATATATTTAGTATCAACCTCTATCTGTTCTTGAGAAGCAATCATTAAATACATCATATCGTTTGATATTCTCCATTCTCCATCATTTTTTCTGTGTGGTGTTAGGACAAATGACCTATTGAAAGAATATAAACCAGAATCCAATTCTTGAAATATTCCCGATATATTTATCATTACCATATCTTTCTGCAAAAGAATAAGAATAATTTTATAATCATCATGAAACATTTTTTGCCCTACATTGCAATTATTGTGTAAGGTTCTTTACATATTTTCAAAAAATTGTTTTTAACAACTATAATGTTACACTATATAAACTATTGATAAAATAAATAGAAATGGTAAAGTTTATTTTATTGTTTTATCAAATGATCCTCAATAAAAAACTCTAATCTAAGTCCAGCGAACATGTCACATTTGCAAATAATATAATAGAATAATTCATCCTCACTATGACAGGAATCACAAAAGGTAAGTTGACTCAGTCAGCCTGAGTTTGAATATAACAATTTAGTTTACAGAGACAGAACGCTGTAATTCCAACCGGTCTAGCAGATAGCCAGATAATTGGATTCTGCCAGAAGCAATGAGGTCTGATGGCATAATTATTGTAAGTACCAGTAAACATCTTAAGAAAGAACCTCTTTAAGCACATGCGCCTAAAAATAGTATTTGTTTTTTTCATGTTTGACAATTTACAATTTACCGATGATTTGTTCCGTTTTGCATATTTTTTTTGTATTTGCCTTATGATACAAAAAAATTATATATTATAAACATGTAACATCTATATATATAAAAATGAATGTATGTCTGTTTGTCCTTAGTGCATTACTAAACCATTCAACCGATCGCCACGAAACTTTGGGAAGTTGTTCCGTACACTCCTGGGAAGGTTTCTGGCATAGTACTTCTGTCTTATGATAATTTTATATATGTAAAAAAAATAAAAATGTAAATGTTTTTCTGTTCAAAGCCGCAAAAAATGTGTCGCTATAAACTGTAGCGCCAAAACGGCTTTACCGATTTTAACGAAACTTGGCTAAAGTCTTCCCCTTGAAACTCTTTTAATTTATGTGTATAACATACTTTCCCGAAAACAAGCTGAAAAATGTTACGATGAATTCAATATTTTATTTGACAATAACTAAAAAATTACACAATTTTTGACAGATAATACCCACATTTATTTGAAAGATTCCTGATTTGCCGACAAAATAGAAAAAAAATCATCGAAATCGGACTGTTCGTTGCAGAGTTATTGAGTTTTAAACATTTACTGCTTTCTCTTCAGAAAAGGCCGTTTCCTTTTGCTTCCTCACTACCGAACGTCGGCAAGTATTTTTTTTTTATTGATTAATCAAAAATTTTATAATTGTACAGTAATTGAAATTATCATTTGAAGAATTTATTTAATTCTCCTTATGTAGGTCAATACTATTATACGTTTTTTAATTAATTTTTTTATTTAGTTTTATAAGTTTAACTCAGACTGTTTCTGATGATTATGAATGACGGCGTATTTACTCAGATGATTATGAATGTTCAATTTGAATCATGAGAAAAAAAAACATTTAGAATTAGTTTCAATTGAAGCCATTTTACAGACAAATGTGTTTCCCAACTTTTTAAAAATGATAGATGTCCTTTGCTACTAATCTATTCATATGTGCTTTCTATTTTCATTCTTTTTCATTTTGCCAGGCTAAGCCACAGCAGCGCGTGGCCGGGTAAAGCTAGTTATAAATAAAATAATACTAAATCTCAATAAATATTTAAAAAAATACACTACTTACGTGAGCAATTGGAACTTCAATTGTAAAGGAAAATGGATCATACTGAACAACAGGAAATGAGTTAATGATTTTTACTATTTCTTCAGGTCCAACTATTAAACTTGTATAGGCTTTGGTTATGTCCGATAAAGTCAATAGATTTCTAGAGTATACTAGATATTTTGACAGTCTAAAAAAATAAAAAAAATTCATAAATATAGTAATCAGTTCCAAAACTTTATTATTTTTTTTATGTAAACAAAAAAAAAAAAAAAGGAAGAAAAGATAATGGTGGACCTTGAGCATTAAAAATTATAGAAGTCGGTAAGAACTATGCAGTATTCAGTGAAAGCATAACATTATTTATATCACTTATAAACTATATAATCAAACTTCAATACCCTAATTAAAAAAGTATTGGCACTCTTGTTTAAGAATGAATTAAGTAAAATAATATGAAAATATAAATATTTTGATACAAAAAAATATTATAAGTCAATTAGTGATATTTTCAATTCATCAATAAATTTATAGAAAGCAGCAAGGTGATTGTGAAAACCACTTTTTATTCATTAATTATAGTTATAAATAACACCAATTATAATAATTTATAATTAATGATAATTATAAATTATCAGTCATCAATAATACTTATTAATAATTGATTTTAGTAGTCAAAAAGTTATATTTAATAGCTAAATAAAAATCAGGAATTTTTCACTATCCATTGGTGAATGTGAAAATGGGTCATCAGAAAATGAAGTCTATTTATTAGTTCATACACGTGAACTTTCTTCAATATGCCTATTTTCAACTCACTACTTTTCCATAGGTCTAATTAATAAAATAAACACTCATAATCTTCATTATTTTTATTTAGAAGTTTCGGGGATGCTTTGTTCCTTTCTCTCTTTCTTCAGCTGATAATATGCCTTGATATAATACATAAGAGAGAAGCAAAATATCTCATACAAATAAAATAATAAAAAACTGTAAATTACAAGTTTATTTTATTAAATTAAACCTATGACTAAGGAATGCGAAGGGAATAGAAATTCTCTTAATTCTCTGTTGAAAAACGGACTTTAATCGAACAGACCCCCAGAATATTCATCATAACAACCAGTGTGTAAAACCGACCTAACATGAAAATAGCATCAGTCGCTACTCTGTTTACTTTAACATAGTTGCTAGACAAGTACTTACTCTAATTTGAAGCAATTTTAATTAATTCTTTCATTTCATCACATAAAACCTACAATTAATTATTACGCATTAAATGCACATAATTAAAATAATTAAATGTATATTAATAAAAATGTTTTAAATGTGATGATTTTTTTTTTTGCCTTGAGACTTATCAAAGCAAGTTCTATTTTTCCAATATATTATTATATTACTTAAGTTACTTGTTAGTTGAAATTGAATCCGAAACACAAATATTCTATGTGAAACTTATGATGGTTATATTAAATCTTAAAATTCTATATTAACAGTCACATAAATTTCAAAAGGGTTAAATCGAACTTGAATAATTTAATAGTTTTATAGACACATGATTTTATAGCTTTTACATAAGTTTTATTGAACTTACATATGAGTTTATGAAACTCAAAAAAGCATGAGAGGCTTATATAGGTTCCTTTACCTCAAAATTGTCCTGATCTATGGTTTTCACCGTTATTTATTGATCTTAATAAACTAATACTATCATCCACAAATTGCGATTCTAGAATAATTCTTCTTCGTTTCTGGATTCTTTAAGGAACGCAATGCGTCTTGGATCTTCCAGGCACTGGAAAGTTGGGCGGTAACCGCTCTTACCCAGACCAATTAAATGAAGAAATTTATTTGTTCTCCCATAGTTTATTCTAATCCTGATCAGCTTCACTAAGGTAGGACGGATCGAGATGAAATTTAAATGTAGCAAAACCATGGAGTCAAGGCTATCTTCCTGATAATGCTATATGTCATGGCACCCATTGGAAAAAGTAATTATTGTTAGCTTTGTGTAAAAGGGATACAATTTTAAAAGAGATGCATGTTTGTACTTTATTTTTATGGACAAAGTCTGAGTGTTTACATGCAGCTGCTGAGTCTGTCAGTCAATTTAATTTATTATCAGAAACTACTTTAAAGAGGCAACATGTCCCAAGAGTGTGCCCACCTTTCATCCTCATAGTAATAAATATAAAGTCGTATTTATACATCTTAGATTTTAAAAAGGCTTACGATTCTATTGACCGCCAGAAACTGTATAATATTTTAATCGAGCAGGGGATTCCAAAAAAACTAGTAAATCTAGTCAGGATGTGCTTGACGGAGACACTCAATAAAGTTAGAATCGGTAATAATTTGTCCGAAAAATTTGAGGTTCGTTCGGGCTTAAAACAGGGGGATTCTCTTTCGCCTGTCCTGTTCAATTTGGCATTAGAACATGCCATTAGGGAGGTAATGCGAACCGAGAAAGGGTTGGATCTGGGCGGGACAACATCCGTGCTGGGCTATGCTGATGATCTGGTACTGTTAAGCGAAGACGTTGAAACTATAAAACTAAATACGACAACGTTAATGAAAGCCGGTAAAGAACTAGGACTCGAAATAAACGTGGATAAAACAAAATATATGGTTAGCTGCAAAAATGGCGATACTACTGGTGATATCGATATAGATGGTAATATGTTTGAACAGGTAGATAAATTTAGGTATCTAGATTCTACGATAACTAGAAAAAACGAAGTTGAAGAAGAGATTAAGGTTAGACTGAAGGTGGGGAATGCTTGTTATTTTTCTGTGACAAAACTACTTAGTTCGCGCCTCTTGTCCCGAAACTTAAAAATTAGAATCTATAAAACAATTATCTTGCCTACAGTTCTTTATGGATGCGAAACTTGGCCGCTTACATTAAGGGATGAGCAGTGTCTTAAGGTTTTTGAAAATAAAGTATTGCGTAGAATATTCGGACCGAAGAAGGATGAGTTAACCGGAGAGTTCAGACGGTTACACAACGCCGAATTGCGTGAGCTGTATCCGGGTAATATAATTGAGGTAATTTCATCGCGGCGAATCAAATGGGCTTGTAAAGTTGTTGGGCTTAGTAACGAGAGAATTCCTAAAAGGTTAATATTTGCTGTGCCGAATGGTAAACGTCCAAAGGGTAGACCGAAGTGAAGGTGGGAAGATTGCATTAAAGCCGATCTGAAGGGACTGGGTTTGGACGGCGAACGGTGGAGGGAGGTGTGTAACAAGCGATTGGTGGTGTCGGCATCGAACCTTCGGGTTCGCTAAGCCTTTTATTATTGCTATTAAATAAAAGAATAAAAAATATAAATTATTATTATTTATACATCTTAATAAACATTCTATATAGTTCACTGAAAGATGCTTAGGCATCAAAATTGAATCAATTGGATGTGATAATTTTTAAAATTTAAAAACTCACCTATTCCACTCACATTCTGTACCAGAGCTATTAAAGGCGGAGAAGCTGAACGTAGCCCTTTGATGATACATTCTACCCAATTGGTGCCTATTGGGGCTTTCCATCAAGCCGAAATAGTGGTGACAGAAATGGTCTACGAAGTTTGACCATGAAGTATCACATATATAATTCTTGATCAAAGCTATCTTTTTGTCCTTATCAGCAGCCATGAAAGTTTGAGAAATATCAATTCCATCCTATAAGTAATGGCAGAAATATTTAATATTTTACAAATGAATAAGTAAATTTTACTTTTATATTAGACTATAATTCGAAAAAATTCAAACACACAGCCTTGTGTCTCTAAAATGCAAATAAAAAACAAAGCATCTAAACCCTACACATAAAACCATATAGATGGAATAGAACAAATGAGTACAATAAAAATTATGACAAAGATAACACATTATTAATAATTTAATTTTATATTTACCACTAAGTATTTTAAAAATTAAATCATTAATAATTATAAATTTAAGTTGAAAAGCAAGGAAATCGACTAAATAATGTACCAGCTTTTTCAGTTGATCAAATATGGCAACAACTTTAGAAACGTATTCCGATCCAGTTATTCCAGAACACAATGGATTTCCATCAAGCCATAATGATTCGATTCTAACCATTGGTATCCTTTGAAATGCATCCCAGGTCAACTATAATAAAAAAAATAAAATAAATCTTTAGTTAAAATTGTCAACTTAAGTATGCCTAATAAATTTTAACTTATCTTAAACTATATTTTTTAACTTGGCGCTATGGGATTAAAAAAAATGTTGTTCATGATATTAACATTTTATTTCAACAACTTCTAAACACTAGCTCATACATAAAGAAAAAATCTTTTTTTTTTAAAAAACAACTATAATTAAATTTTTAAATTCCCAATGAATGCAGATTAAAAATGCACAAATAATTATTATTAGAACGTTTTTAGTATCCTAAAAGATATGTTAAAAAAGTGAGATTTAAAAATGGTTTTTTCATGGATTATTAGGTAATTATGATTATGATACAGGTTATTGTGGGTGAATGGGATTACTATAAAGATGGTAATGCTCATACGCTTCACATTTACTTTTATAATATATCTAGTAATGTGATCACAAATGATCTTCTATATACTTCTTCTTCTTTTCCTTCCTCCTTTGTACCTCTCAGCATAGAGGTGCCTCGTCCCAAGTATGTCAACTGTCCCGGTTCCCCACCAGTGTCTTCATGGAATCCAGTCGCTTACCTCTTCTCTCTCCCAACCGGGCCATACGATCCATCCATGACATTCTTCGCCTGCCTCTTGGTCTTTTTTATCTTCATTTGGCATACATGACCGAACCACTTCAGTTGCTTCTTCTCTATGGTCTGAACCAAGGGTTTCACCCCTAGCTCTTCTCTCATTTCTAATAAAATCTCTCTGAGTTCATCCGGCTACTTTTCTACGATACTTCATCTCCGCTGCAGTGACTCTGCTTAAATTCTTGTCGAGAGGAACCTAGCTCTTACTTTCATATAGAATTGTGGAGAGATAGGTCGTCTTAAAAACGTGTAGTTCCATCTTTTTCTCGACTTCCCATTTCCCAACAACGGTGTTGTGTATTTGGTAGTATATGTTTTTTGCATGGATACTTCTTGATCTATTCTACCATTTCTGTTAATAACCTAGGTATGTGAAGTCTTCTATGATTTCTAGGGTTTCTTCTCTACTAGTAATCCACACATTCTCAACTACATATCCGATTTGCATGACCTTACTTTTATGAGGATTTATTATCATGACCTTCCTCTCTAGCTCCGCCTTCCACTCCACAACAGCCTGTTGAAGGCTCTAGGCAGAGTCTGCTATGATAACTATGTCATCCGCCTAGACAAGTGTCTGTCCAAGAACTGTCCTCAGGTTCCAAAATCCAAAAATCTATATTCAAGGTGTGTAAATATGAAACCGGAATTTCGATAAAGAAAATATACTTTTATATTTTCTACTTTATATACTATATTATATTTATATACTTTTGCATAAAAATGTTAAAAAATATTTTATTTGAAATATTGTCTATTGCAAGCTAATTTGCTGATATAGTCCCATCTCTGGCAATTTATGAATGCCATGCCAGAAAAACTGCTGCTATTTTGAGACGAACCAGTCATCAAGCCATTTTCATAAGAAGTGAAGCGCTGCTAAGCGCTATTGATATAGATAGCTGCTAACCCCATTGATATAAATAAATAGCATGATTTACTATGATACCATATGATAAACTACTCTTTACTCCTTTAAACTATAATGAAAGTAGTAAAAGAAAATTAAAAATATCAGTCAAACTTACATTGTTATACCTCAGATCAATGTTTTTTATATAAGAAGATCTAAAATCAACATTATCCAAAGTAGATAAATTGTTATGTTGAAGTATTAATGTTGAAGGCTTGGTCATAGATTTGTTATATTTATTTTTAATCAAATTCATCACTGAATGCATGCACTGTGGAACCGTCAGTGTAAAAAAGACATCTTTCAAAACTGAAAAAATAAATAAAAATAATACAATAGATAATTGGATACAATAAAATAAATAATTATAAAAATAATATACAAGAACTAGATTAGGATATAAGACTAACATCAATCACTAAATGAAAGAGAGCATTATGAAATTATGTCTGTAGATGGTACAAATATAAAAAATTGTAATATCATAAGGGTAGTAATGTTTGTTATGCAGAGATAGATTCCATTTGCATGGAGTTCTTTCCTAAAAACAAATAAAGATAACATAAATAAAATAGTAGAAATATAAACAAAAACCTTCAGTTCATATCACACAAAATGAACAGTTTATTATAATAAACAAGGCTCTTCCATAAGGAAACAAGAAAAAAAAGAAGGAGAATAGACATTTTACAGTAATGCACAATAATATAAAGTGTAAATGTTATGTAACAAAACTTTATGATCCGATCGATATTTTATTTTTAAAAATCAAAAGTTTACAAACAATTCTATACTTGGAACTTCATGATATTTTATTGCTACTCTCATACCTCGAATAAACAGCCAAATACAAAGAGATTAATATCAAATCTATATTCAAGACTATAAACAAAGACATACTCCTCATAGACATGAGTCATCAATACAAAACACTGAAATACTGCTAGCAGTAGAAATGGTTTTTTGAAGAAGCGCAGCAAGAAAATCAAGATGGGAAAGAATTAAAATTGAAAGAATTTTGGAAATGAAAAAGAACATCACAGCAATTATTGCATAAAATAATATTAAGCTGACATGTTAAAAGAATGTCTCCAGAAAGATCGCCAAAAATAAGTATACAATTGCAAGTCGAAGGAAAAAAGGAACACCAAAGGACAAAATGGAAAGACAAGGCGGAAAAAAGCCTGGCAGGACATGGTATAAGAGAAGAGCAAGTCTTGGATTAAAAAGGATGGAAGAATATCTCATATGATTTAGCTCAAGGAAAACCAAAGGAGTAGAAAAGTCTCTAATAAAAAAAGGAAGTAGATAGATATACATCTATAAACATTAAACATTCTAACTTACATTTATCTTGTGATAAATTAGTAAGATCTATAGTGTTATGATCATTGCTGGTTCGCTTCTTCAACGTTTCTCTGAGCTGAAACTGCGGATTCAATGGCTCAAGATTTGTTGACAGATAGAATGTTGTGACAGTAAGCTGAAACTGTATTAAAATATTTCAATAGAACTCATTAATATCAACTTATAAAATCGATTTACAACACAATAGTTCATTAATAATTAAAATAAAGTATTTTTTAATAATTAGTCTCATAAAAATTTGACTGTATAAAGAAAAATTAGGATTCAATTAAAATCTAAAAGCTAAATCTGCAGTGATTATATATATATATATATATATATATATATATATATATATATATCAGATCTATTTTATGCAAAGCTGTTATATGCCAACATAAAAAAATTAATTGGTTTTGTTTAAAAAAAAAAAAATCAATTTAGTATAAAAGATGTCTAGAGAATTTTTATTTTGAAAATTGGTTGATTTGAACAGTTAATATGGATGAAAAAATAAAGTAGTTATTTCATTTAATAGAGTTATATACTTTACAATAAATTATATTAGATATTTAATTAGACCAATAACAATTCAACTAAAAAATCACAGAAAATTATTATAAAATGGTTTATTATTTCTGAGTATTTATATAGCTTAACCTTATTATACATAAGAGGTATTACTGTTACACAATTATACTACTAAGGAATTTAAGAAGAAAACTAAAATACTCTATCCATTTGGTTTTATAAAAATTATTAAGATGATACAGAAAAAAACCTTAATTTGAAATGGAAAATCCCAATTTGGTTTGGAAAGTTCTAAATTTTATTTGGAACAATTCCAATTTGTTATGACAAATTCTAAATTAGACTAGGAAATGTTATATTTAAATTCATATTTTAATAAAAATGAAGGGAAAACAAAATAATGAATGGCAAACGATTGATTAAAAAATATTTCTTTGAATGAAAATTTTACTGGAATAAATTATTGCAGTTTGTCATCCAATATTAACCTGACGTTCAGAGGATCAAATCACTCTTAAATCACAGATTGATTCATGTTTTAATAAAGCCTAGCTTATAACTTTGAACACCAGTACTTAATAATTTTAATATTAATTTAACCAATATCATAACAAAATTAACTTACTCTAATTTTTCCATAAATATCAGTGGCTTGAAGATTATTGAGAGCAATTTTTCTAATAAATAGAGAGCAATTTCTCACCAGGAAGAAGGAATCAGGTCCATCAATCTGGTACTGAAAAGTTAAGACATATTAAAAAATTAATAAGATTTTTACCTCTATCCCTAAATATAAGAATATTTATGTTCATATTATCAACTTATTTGTAATGTCAAAAGTCAACAGCATATAATAAACTATAAATTTTTATAAGGCAGAGTGGCTGAGTGGGCAAATGCGTGTGCAAAACATGCGTTATTCGGCAAGCAGATGATTGATTAACCAAAGTTTATTTGATGTGAAATAATTACGAGTTCAAGTCCTAGTGCCAGGGAAGCTTTAAACACTGGTATTAATCACCCGCCCCCATACCCTGGCCCTGCAAAATCCTCGTATAGCCTAAAAGGCGAGTTATTAACAGAACAATGGTATTAGTTCAATACCAACAAAATTTGTTCAAAAACAATGCCAGATGAATCCTAACAATCTCTCACTGATTATAAAAGACCAACAGCCTCTAGATAGCAGTTGGAGTAAGCACAATAAGATCGTTAATCCGAAATTTGGTAATACAAACACTAAAATAATTTAAACATTTTTTTTTAGATCAACATTCTCTCTGAGGTTATTTTCTGAGGATATTCCAATTTTTTTTTCCATAAAAAATAGAATAACCGCAAAGAAATAAATCCTTCTGCTCTGTCTAAGGACAGAGGTAGTTAAGAATTACCTAAAAATGTCAAAACAAACAAAATGAACTGAACCACATTTACAAAAAAAAAAAAAAGTATATTAATAATAACACATTGTTATTGTTTCGGCGTCCTTAGGAGTGCCTTTTGCAGTCCATCTAAAACTCCTAAGGAACGCGCGCCTCCACGTGGTACGGCTGGATAACTCTATTCCCGATAGAAGGCTAGGAATGGAGGAACTAAAACGAAACCCTCTAGGGCTAACTACCCTAGTTGTACTTAGTCGGGGTAACCTGACCCAAAAATAAACATTTACAATATCATGGAAGGAGCTTCACACGGAAAATACTATCCTGAAGACAAAGTCAGGCGATCGGATTCCAGGGTCCCTGACAGTGAGAAGCGGAGAAGTGGTGAATCGAAGCACCAAAAGAACCAACAACAGAAATTCAAGTCAAAACAAAAATATTATATTGGGACGTACAACATAAATTCGCTCATACAAGTGGGAAAACTCAGACAACTTACAACAGAATTACGTAGATTGAAAATATCCATAATGGCATTGCAAGAGACAAGGTTCACAGACTCAGAAGCAACAGAGCTCGATGGGTATAGAATACTCAAGGGAAAGCCAGGAAGGAAAATCATGAAAGGGATTCCACACATAGGGACAGCCTTTGTAGTAGAAAAGAAATTTTTAAACACAGTAACAGACTTCAGAAGCACCAACTCCAGACTATCACTCCTCACAATAAAGCAACTAACAAAAAATACACGCTAATAAATGCTCATGCACCCATCAATGAAGATAACAGGAGGGACCCGGAGAAGGTGGAGGACTTTTGGAGAGGTCTAGAAGACGAGATTAATAAAATACCTCAAAACAATGTAAAAATACTACTAGGAGATTTTAACGCACAATTAGGACGAGAAAAGAAATATAGGGAAATAGTGGGAGAGTATCCAGCACACAAGAGGACAAATAGGAACGGAGAAAGACTGATACAACTATGCCAAAATGCAGGGTTAAAAATCATGTCCACACATTACAAAGCAAAACCCAGCAAAAAGAAAACATGGGTATCACCTAATTCCCTCCTGGGAGAGTTCCAACTGGACCATGTGGCGATCTCCAGAAGATACCAAAAAGAAATACAGAATGTCAGAGTAAAAAGAGCAATCAATGTAACATCTGACCACTTCCCCTTACAAATAAAGATAAAATTGGTACCAGCAAAAAAGATTCAACACACAAAAAACCCTAAGAAAAAGCAAATAGATAGACAAATCCTGGTAAGAGAAAAAAAAAACAGGAATACAGAGAAAGGTTAAAAACCCCACAAAACTGGGAAGAAGCGGCTAAGAACATGACGGACCTGGCGGAAGAAATAGCACCGCTAGAAATATATAAAAGAAAAGAATGGTGGGACATAGAGTGCGAAGATGCAGTAAGGAAAAGACTGGGAGTGTGGAAAAGCTGGAACCAAAACAAAACAGTCGAGAACTATCAAAAGTATATAATCGAAAGAAAAATTACACACCAAATACTAAGAAGGAAAAAGAGAGAATTCCTCAACAGGCAGCTGGAAGAAATGGAAGAATGTTTCAGACGAAACGATACTAGACTATTCTACAAAGCTTTTAATCAAAGAGTCAAAGGCTACATCCCCCCAGGAATAGTGCTAAAGAGAAAAGACGGAACACTGGCACAAACAAACGAGGAAAATTGCAACATACTGGCAGATTATTTCGAACAACTGTTGAACTGTGAGGAGCCCAAACATAGAATGACTTCACATGACAACGCCCTCCTGGAGATGGAATCGGACCCACCCGACGAGGAAGAAATAATCGCGAAACTTAAAAACAATAAAACATCTGGAGAGGATGGAGTATTGGCGGAAATGTGGAAAGTAACAGGTGATGAATTCAGGAAGATCACAGAATTGATGATGGAGATCTGGATAGAGGAGAAAATCCTCAGAGAATGGAAAACCGCCTTGATACATCCACTGCATAAGAAAGGAACAAAAACAGAAGCTGACAACTACAGAGGAATTTCCCTACTACCCGTCAGCTACAAAATTTTCTCCAAAGCACTACTCAACAGACTAAACCCACAAATAGACCCTAAAATCAGAGAATATCAGGGAGGCTTCAGAACGGGAAGATCCTGTCAAGAACAAATCCTGAGCCTAAAATTATTGATAAAATACTACAAAACAAGGCCTAAAAAGAACCTCTACATCTCGTTTGTTGATTTTAAAAAAGCGTACGACTCAGTGGATAGAAAGACACTACTGGAAATACTGAGATAATACGAAGTGGACCAGAAGACCAGGAAACTAATAGAATTAACACTAACTGACACCGAATCCAAGGTAAGATTCAGAGGAACCACCAGCAAATCATTCCGGATAAGGACGGGACTCAGACAAGGAGACGGTCTCTCCCCAACACTGTTCAACGTGGTACTAGATAGGATAATGAAGGAATTGTGGAAAACCTATGATGTGGGTGCAATTATAGGGACCAAAAACAACCACGTCAAGGTAAGATGTCTTGCCTACACAGACGATCTTGCACTTTTAGCGGAAACGGAAGAAGAGGCAATCGACCAAATAAATACACTGACGGAAATAGCCAAAAAAGCGGGTCTCCAAATCTCCTACGAAAAAACAAAATTAATGACCACAGACGCAGACTTCAAGAAAAAAACAGTGGAAACCAAATACGGGTCAATAAATGTAACAAATAAATTTAAGTACCTGGGTGAGACTATATGTAATAATGGTTCGGAAAAAGAAAGTATCAAGGAAAGAATAGCCAAATTGGAAAAACTAACTTTTGCAACCAGTAACATATATAACAAGAGAAACCTGTCCACGGAAGCAAAACTACGACACTACAATACAGTTCTTAAACCTGTGATACTATATGGGACGGAAACCACATGCCTCCCCAGTCTGAAAAAATTGTTGAGAATGGAGCGAAGAATTCTAAGAAGGATTTATGGCCCCAAAAAGACAAAAGAAGGATACAGGCTAAGATCCAATCAGGAAATATACAAGGACAAAAGAGATCTAGAAACGGAAATAAGGATCAGGAGACTGAAATTCCACGGGCATATGGTAAGAATGGCCCCAGAAAGACTTAATAAGGAAATATTCCAAAAAATTCGTAGATACAAAAGCTGGGGAGGATACATCAGGCAAATGAAGGAAGAAACAGAAAGACTTGGAATAACGGACCAGGACTGTCTGGACAGAGAGGGGTATGGTAAGAGACTAAAGGAGATCACGGTTCTTGCTAAGAAGAAAAGTTCGAGAAAGGGAGTCGCGTGGACGGAGGAGAGAAAGCGGCGGCACGCGGAGATAATGAGAGAGAAGTGGAAAGAAAGGAAAAACAAGAAAGAAGCCAAATGTCATGATATTCGCGTGGTCTCTATGGCCGTTCCGTGGAAAAAAAAAAAAGAAAAGACACATGTGGGCTTATTCTAATAATAAAGTTTTATGTATCCATTAAGTTTTACTATTTTATTATATATAGATTTACTTAACATCCTCAGCAATCCAAAACAATTAATTCTGATTACTGGTACAAGCATTAGTGAAGATACATATTTATATACATAACCAAGGAAAAAAAACTGTTATATAGTGCAGGCCCAAGATATTCGGTGTTCCTGGACAATGCCGTCATCTTCCTTCAACAATATCAGTAATATAAGGAGTTTTATTACATCAACTATGTTTCTTTATTAATAGTCTAATATTAATTTTTCCCAGACTCTATGAATTTTATTTTAATTCCTAAACGGCGGGACGCCTTCCTCCAGGTCAGCACCACCATAAGATTATCTGGCCCACAGGCAATGTTCATGTCCATTGCATATTATAAACTTTTTTATTAGGTATAAATTCAAAAGTATAAGAATTCACTCTACAACTCACCAAACATGGAAAAACTTCTACTGGGTGAACAGAGAAATAAACAGCTTTTAAAACGTCTTCTTTGTCATAACTAGCTCCATCGGCAACCTATAAAAAAATAAAATAAAAAATATATAAACACATCAAAAGAGTAGGCAAAGAAACTAGGAAAATATTTAACAAATTTACAGTAATTCTAGTCCAGTGAGAGGAACCAAACACAGTGTCAAAATCACTTGAATTCCACAAGGATTGTAAAGTTTTAACATCAGATCGACCAATAGTTTCAGAAATATGTGCATTATCAAAGGCCATGTTTATATTTTCATAAATTTAAGTAAAAACTAAGGTTGTTTATCACTACATACTCAGAAGGTTATCAACATCACACAAATAAGACAATACAAAGAACAACTAGCCAAAGATGAATCAATTTACTATCGATAATAATTAAAACAACTAAAATAATACAGATTCAATAGACATCTCGCATAAATTGTTAACATCCAAAACCATGTCTTATCCAAAACTGTTAACATAAAGAACCGACTAAAAATTATTTAATCCATGATAAACCATATTACATTCAATAATAAGGCGATCCGATTTCAAATAACTGATAAAAAATAATTTGCTCAAAGTATTGAGTTTAGTTTTCCAAGGTACGTACGCCTTCGGTTGGTCCCGAACCTTTTACAATTAAGTTAAATGTATCCTGGTATTTTTCCATGTTTAATAATTCAACTAGGTATGTATAACATGTTTTTATATCATTGATTGAGAAGACAAATAATTGAAAAATTAACTATATTTTTGAGATTGGTTACTTTTTAGGGCTAAGTAGATAATCAACTATATTATGCAATCCAGAGCCAGGTTAATAACCCAAAACCAGAGGCGCAGATAGGGAAGAAGGGGATGGACCGAATTTTTACTATTTGTTTAGAGAGGTCTTCTAAATGGCATATTAATTATTCTCTCTACATTATTTAAATGCATATCTATATTTTTTTTCGGTTGGCACTACAGACCATGACGATCTTTGGCCTCCTTACAGACGTATGCTGCTTGCAAGAGCTCAAATAGCCTGGAGGGAGTCACCCAACCTCACGTTGCTACGAACCATGGCCTCCATGGTGCAACGGCAGGCCACCCGTAGCTCTATAGCCGATCCCTTTGGGACCAATCTGGCAATGTCCTTCTCCCCCGACTCACTCGGGTTCAAATACAGTGACAAATCGGTCTAGATCCATAGATTATGACTGCTCGGAGTCAGCAGGCGCAAGAAGACCTATATTTCTTTCCTCGAAACAGACCGTCCGTGGACCGAACCTCCGAGGGGCTATTAACAGGCTGGTAAACTACATCCTGATTTCTGATTTAAGTACATGGAGTAGGGTCATCAGTCCTTTTTTTTGGGTCCTCTCGTTCCTCGCCGTTAAGGTTATACGGGGTTTTCCCGGGCCAGGGATTCCCGGCACCGGGAAGCGAACTCGTGATTATTTTATATCATTTGATTGATATATCAGGTTGCCGGGCAACGGCGGTGCTGTGCACACGCTTTAGCCCATTCGGCTACCCCGCCCATCATTGGGTCATCAGTCCTACGCCTGGTCGGTGTGAGTTGCCTCCAGTAGGCTGACGGACCTCACATACCCAGGGAGAGAGAGACTCGGGCAGCATGGCTTTCCCTGGTGGACGGTCATCCAAATCGGGCGATCACCAATCCAAGTACTAATCACGCTCGACGTTGCTTAACTTTAATTACCTATTGCAAGCACCTTAGCCCGTACGACTACCCCAGCCTCCAATATATATATATATATATATATATATATATATATATATGAACAATTTTGCAGTCCAATATAATTTTGCTCTCCTAGCATAAGGGCTGTCCATTTCACTAAAGGAACATCTTATGTCCTGTAAAGCATGGCATGTACCAAGATTTTCTTCTGTCATTTTATAAAATAAAATAAAAACTATTTAAAGAGTGAAGTGATCGCGTCCGGACAGTTAGTCCACGTGCCCCCCCGGATGACCTGTAAACACGGTAAGTAAACGACCACATTTATCATCAACTCAGCCTAATATAATAAAATAGTAATATAATAAAAACAAATAGATGGCTGCCGTAAGTAGATAACATAATTAATATATTAACATAAAACTTTATAACATAAATAGATATTTTAGATTTGTGTTTGACAAAACAATGAAGGGATTTTTAAGCTCTGAATGATGGAAAATCTGACAAACCAGAAGGAAAAACCAAAATAAGGTAATAGTGTAAAAATAAAAATAAAATTGTGTAATATTTACTATAAAATACTTCTAGTCCGTTATTTTATGTGAGGTAATATCTAAAATATTCATTTTTGGCTTATTTGTGCTTTTCCTATCTACCAGATGTCTCCTTACCTCTTAAGAAATGCAATATTTAAAATAAAATATTTCTTAGTAAATTTCTAGAATATTTTCGCAAGAAATCGTATTAAAAAAAACATGAATCACAAGTAGTGAATGTATAAAATTTTTTTTTTCAATTACATATTATAATACAAATCTTTTCTCATTAAGTTAGAAAATTAAAATCGAGGGAGAATTATATTCATACAGGTGAGAATTTTTATTTCTTCCGTTTTAATAATAAATAATTTATTTCGTAAATGAATAATTTCATTATCACGCTGACGTTGTGATTATTATACAAAGTAACACTCTCCCTTAAGCAATGTATTTTAGTCCCGTATTTAATTTAAACAACAAAATAAATAATTATGGATGATTAAATTATAATAGTGAGCATTATATAATTATATATATATATATATATATATATATATATATATATATATATATATGAAGAAAATTTATTCTGAAGATGGATTAAGGGCCCTAAACGTTAAAAATGAAATATGATTAATTTTGAAAACGAAAGAATTTTCTTCAAGGAAAAACCCAGAAATATTCTACGCTTCTTTTTTTTATTAAACAGAATCCTACTAAAATATATTGGTCAGTGACATAGTTAGAAAAAATTGAACCCCTCTCAACTTAAAAATAACTGCAAAATTTATCGACTTTTTCGGAATGCACGCTTCGAAGTGTACCATTGGCAATCATGTACAAAGGAAAAGTATTGGTATCATGAAGGACCTAATTTAAATGCACTCTAACAATTTAAGGTAAGTCTTAAACAAATAAACAACTCTCTTCCATTAATCTCTTTAATATATATTGCTATCAATAATGTAGAAGGTCATACTCTTATGTTAAAGGGGTCCAGCCTTCCCACCATCCTTTTAGCCTTTTCCCAATCAAGAGCACAGACTTGAGACAAAACAAAGATAATGTATGGTTCTCCTGGAATAATACATGATAGACGGAAGAAGAGGATCAGGATTAGTTGGTCCGAGTAGAGGATCAGAATAAGGCAATTTGGGAAGAGAAACAGCTCTTGGTGCAGTAAGCCGTCATAAGTGGATTTAATTGGGAAGAGCCTTCGTAAGCAATCCTTTTTCCCATTAATTCTGCCATTAAAATAGACAAGCTATTCTATCTCAAACTTTGATTGACGTTTGTCAAGCCATATGACTTACTTTCGAGCTTTAGATGCTGTTTTCATCAATGCACATTACCTCTTTGTTGGGAAGAAGGGCACTTACCTCTTTTTCGTTCTTTATGAAAATGTAATTTAAGTAAATTTATTTTTGACATAAATTTAGTTGACTGTATGTCAATTAGTAGAAAAATTATTTGAAGTGTAGGCTATTTTCACTTTCAATTATCTATATAAATATCCACATGAATTATATAGTATTATACGCATTATAAATTTATAATCCGTTTTCAAGGTAAATGCTTATTCAAAGATCCCTCGAATCCAAATAAGAGTCAAATGAGGCTTTTTTCTTCTTCTAGGTAATCAGTCAAAATAAGCGAAAAAATAAATTAAATGAGAGAATGCTTTCGCATATGGATAATTAATATAAATATAATGAATCATATAGATAACGAAAACACGTTGTATTAGGATTGGTAGTTTGCCAGTAAAGGTGCGTTTAGACATTTCATTAGCTATGGGAAACACAATTATTTAACTTAACAAGTAGCGATATTAGCGCTAATCTTAACTCAATAAAATTTATCCTGATACCGACACCATATATATATAAAAAAAAAAAAAACACCAGCATAAGGAAAAAAAAACATTTAAAAATTTTGTTTCCCATAGTTTGTGAAATGTCTAAATGCACCACCATAAGGTTCAAAAAGTGGAACAAGCTGTCACTGATAACAGAGATTTGGTTACACATGAGGCTCCCCATCAGTATAATCTCATATCTTTAACTGACCAGTCATGAATTCTTTGATAAGGTCAGGTGTTGGCTATTTCTTATCAGCTAGCAAACAGAATGTTAGGCTACTTTCTAATATTGCGACAAAACCAGACTTCAATAAAATTGTAAATAATAATAAAGTTGTGGTTTTTATGAAAGGTGTACCAGAAAAACCTGGATGTGGTTTTAGTAATATAGTTTGTCGAATTTTAAAAATGCATGGGGTTCAATTTGATGCTCACAATGTTTTAGAAAATGAGGAAATTCGCAATGGTACTTATTAAATTTATACTTGTTTTCAACTCATATTATTTGTGTTAATAAGTTTGCTAATAATAACTGTTGTTTAGGCATCAAAGAGTACTCGAATTGGCCAACGATGCCTCAGATTTTTATCGCTGGAAAGTTTGTGGGAGGCTGTGAAATTTTAATGAAAATGCATAAAGGAGGAGATTTAATTGAAGAACTGAAGAAAGTTGGTATAGAATCAGAACTTTTAAAACAGGAGAAGAAATAATTTTTAGTTGAAGTAATGTAACATTATTGTAAAATACTTATTTAATATCTACTTTAGCAATATACTTGTTTATTTTTTTAATTTTGTTCATTTAGTTAACATTCCCACCTAACAAATGGATCCAAGTATCCAATATGAAACCAACTGATTTTTCTGTGGAATAGTGATCAAAACATAATACAGACTTTTGTTGCGAAATGAAAAAAAAAAAAAATTATACAACTTATAAAACATTATATTACAAATAAGTAGTTTGGTCCTTTCACATTTTGGGGTTTAGATGATTAAGAGTATTTTCTGAGCTGGTTTATGCTAGAAGGTGATCAAGATCAACCACAAGTTTTTCCTCTTAATTAAGCATACTGCTCACTTTATAGGGGCTGTTTGTGCCCCAGGAGGATCTCTGAAACCAGAATCACTCGGAGGCTGAAGTAAGAGGACAAATAATTACCTGCTCATAACTGCAAGTCATGCAAGAAGGAAATATATCATACATCCAAAAGTAATAGGTCACAATCACTGTAATGAAAATAAGAAGTTTATTCTGAGAAATACCTGAACAATAAAATCATCTTTCAGATGACTTTATGGTCAGAACAATCTAAGTTATCATAAACCAGTGGTTAGTTTGATCTTGTGAACTTTTGATTGCATTGAGTAGATGTAGGGTAAGTAGAAAATTACACTTACACTGATGGCTTTTTTGTAGATATTTGAAAAACTTTATTCATGTTGTGGCACTTGAACTGTTAAATCGGTAAAATCTTTTATAAACACAAGAAATTAATTTTTTGACAGTTTAACATTTAACCTTCAATTTATCTGTTATGTACAATTATTTAAGGATATGTTATATCAGGTAGTTTTTCAGAATGTCATAATTATATCATAAGAATAAATTGGGTCTGAGAAAACTATACTTGACTGAATTTTGTTTAAAGAACAGTCATTGACACCTTAAGATACCAGGATTAGAAACAACCATTTACAGTAATTGGCATCCCTCAACAATTTAAAACCAGTATACCAGAATTTAAAATAAAAAGAAATACTACATTCACACACCTATTGACCTAATAAAACAGTAAATAAAAATAGAAACACAATCAACTTAAACAAAATAAAATATGTTTAAAAAAATCTAATAACGAATTATGATTTACACGAAGGTAAACCAGATTTAAAAGATAAACACTAGCATTAGTGATAATAATATAAGACATAATGATTTAAAATTACTACTATAAATAATGCTACCAACAAATAAACAATCTGCTGAATGTGAAAATCGATTTTTCTTGGAAGATTTTAATCTTCTTTAAAATTAAGGACAGTAGAATTTTCATAACGAGTCGGTATAAATTATTCTTACACCTTTAAAATCAATGGAATAAATAATTGTATATACGATTTAATGGATTTAGAATATAAGTTTTACAAGAAATACTTACAACACAATGAGAGCATATTCTCTACTTCTTTCTAAAAGTTAATATAACATTAATAAAGTTTATTGCTCAAAAGTAAGACTCAGCAAGGAGTTGACTTAAATTAAAAATTTAATCTTCTTTATAAAAATATATCATTGTAACAAAGTTACCATTTTAAAATCTTTTTACATAAAAAAAAATTTACTTAGTCAAAGTAATGAGTTTTGAAAACTTTTCCGTTTTTGAACTTTTCAAGGTTTCTCTACAGGCATTCCTCCTCAGCCTAAGCTCTTTAATTTCAGCCAATGGTAGGAATACTGATACAGTTTATTAAGCATTGCTAATTCTATTCTCGCAGGATGTAGGGCTAATTCTGTGTTGCCTAAAACCTTTTTTTTATGCCATTAAGAACAAGGCGATAACTAAGGAGATGGATTGTTGCACCATTATTTTTTTTTTGCATAATAAGTAGTTTTCTTCTGCCTTGAAAGCGATAACTTTTCGATTAATGAAAATTCTCATAAGCTTAATTTGAGCAACTAATCGGACTTTTGCTATATGTTTAAGTAACGTTAAATATGACTGTGTCTATCTATGGGGCTGTATGAGTTGTTCAAGAAAAATTCTTTGTCATTGCACTACCAATAGATCTGAGCTTTCTCAATAAACGCATTCATATCTTCCATTGACAGGGTGGATTAATATTCCACTGACTTTCCAATCCCTAGTATTTCTAGAATATTTTGGAAATCTCTATTTTACAGTTTGTAGAATTTGTTCAAACAGAAATTTGCTAATTACTGTTTAAAACGAACTACTACTTATCGTTCGATAATCACGTGAGAAGATCCTGAAGCGATATAACCTCTATCTGAGATGGAATAAAATGTATCTTTTATACCTCTTGAATAATTCCCACCTTTCCCCGTTTCCAGAAAGAAATTAGGGCTGCTTGAGGTTTTATGGTTACTGACGCATAATTAATCTATAATACGTCTTTGGCTACTCTAAACCATATATACTGTTTTTTTCTTTAATTAAAAATATAGAAGAGATAATTACAATAAAGCTGGTGCATAAGGAAAACGACATTCGAATGAGAAACTGCAAAAGAAATGGATGAAAGTAAAACACAAAATTTTGATATGGGTCATTTCAGAATTCCGTTCACATTCGATCATCTGCCATTTTGAGAACATAAAATTATTGAAATAGCATTTTTCGCCTTTGTAGCTGTCTTTAGAGTTGTTTTAGGAAGTTGCTACTGTGGGCATAAATAATCATCAATATAACAAAATACCCTATATGTAGTCAATCAATATCCCATAATATGAAGGCAAGGAGGGTCATTAAGATTTAGAAACAGAATTAATTAAAAATATTCTAAAAAAAGAATTATTAAACTTCACTTAGTGTACGTAATTTGATTAAAACTGGCTTACGTTTATTCGAAAATGAATGCACTAGGAAGTGAGATTGTAAATAAATACTCATAGGCTTTTAATGAAAACATTATTTTCCATATTAAAACAGAGAGAGGTCTAGATCTAAAAGAAATCACGTGAGAAGGTCCTGAAGCGATATAACACCCGAACTCAAATCAGTATAAAATCTATCTTTTATACCTCTTGAATATCCCTCACCTTCCCCCGCTTCCACTAGCGGATCCAGGATTTATTTTTGGGGGAGGCTTCAGCCGGAAAGTTTTTTTTTCATAAAAACAACGATAACTACTTTGGAAAAAAAGAAAGAAACTAACTATCTGTATGAAATGGTGTTTAAGTTATTCCTAAAGCCCTTTTAAAAGTAATTACATGAATAATAATACTTTAAGAGATACATTTTAAGTATTTTTTTCGATAAAACATGGTTATATTTTACCATTTTGGGAGGAGCTTCAGCCCGAAAGCCCTCCCCGTAGATCCGCCCGTGCCCGTTTCCAGGAAGAAATCAGGGCTGCTTAAGGTTTTCTGGTTACTGACGTAATGGCCGCGCATTGGAAACACCACAGTAAGGAGGAGCTCGCTCTTCGGATTTATCTTAATGTGGTGCATAAGCAAAGTTGGCAGCGTTCCAATTATTGTGGGTGCGGTCGGTTTCAGCGGGACGCGCATAGGCGGGTCTCGTGGGCGTCCGATTTACAAATTTATCTTTACGTCTTAGTAGGAGGAGCCATGGCTGTGATAGCGAGAAGTTAAAACCTCGCGGCTAGGCATGACTTCTTTCGATTTCGAACTCTTTATCGACCCTACACAGTGCCAGGAAAAAATGGCCATGCAGGGAATAAAGGATTAAAAGATTCCAAAAAGAAAAATATCCGATTCAATGTTTCCGGTAGGCGCGTTCCTTTCTAGGTCTATATATCTACCAAATCTTCACCGTTTCTGCAGCGAACCATGTATTTCGCCTTAAATGTACTTGTTTCGACTCCCATTTCTTTACTGGCTTTTGTAATTTCTTCACCTGCCACAGTTTACTGTCTAAGTTTTAAAAAAACGTTTGAATTTGTGCAAACTTTTAAATAAATCAATTTTTTATTCTTAATAATGTTCAATTCTAATTAATTCATCATAATGTAATCTTGAAGTCTGTATAACATCTGAGAAGTCTTGTTAATAAGGACCGGTTTTTGCTCTTTTCAATGCAGATCATATACCTAACCTTAATGTACTGGTTACATATAGTGTTATTTTGAAAATTAATACTTAGGGTATCAGTCATGAATTCATTGATCAGGTCAGGTGTTGGATGTATTTTATCTGCTAGCAAGCAAAATGTTAGATTACTTTCCAAAACTGTGACAAAACCAGACTTCAATAAACTTGTAAAAAATAATAAAGTTGTGGTTTTCATGAAAGGTGTCCCAGAAGAGCCTAGATGCGGTTTTAGCAATGCTGTTGTTCAAATTTTAAAAATGCATGGAGTTGAATATGATGCACATAATGTTTTAGAAAATGAGGACGTTCGCAATGGTAGTTATTAATTTTATACCTGTTATCAACTCATTCAATAAGTATTAATGAGTGTTTAAAATAATTATTGTTTAGGTATCAAAGAGTACTCGAATTGGCCAACGATTCCTCAAATTTTTATTAATGGGGAGTTTGTGGGAGGCTGTGATATTTTAATGCAAATGCATAAAAACGGAGATTTAGTTGAAGAATTAAAGAAAGTTGGTATAGAATCAGAGCTTTTAAAACTGGAGAAAGAAAATGAGAAGAAATAGTTTCTAGTAAAAATTATGTGTGATGTAATATTGTAAAATATTTGTTCAATAATTTGTAATTTATGTAATTTAGCAATATAATTGTTTATTTTTTATTTCTTTAATTTCCTGTAGTAAATAAAATTTTCAACTGACAATTTTCTGTACAGCTTATGTTATCATGAAACATAATTTTATAAAGAATTTTGTTTGGTTCTTTTTTCATATCTGAGTTAAAATGATTAACAGCGTTTCCTCAGCTGTAAAATCAAAGAATTTGATTTAATGTATATAATGAATAAAATCACTTAATGCTTTTGTCGTGAATAGATGTGAAGTATATTAATATTACATTTGTTAAAACCCTCATCCTATGGAGGGTTGTCTTGGGCTCATTACTTTGTAAGGATGTATTGTTTCTTGGTCAATGGTTGTGAACATATAAAGGTGCAATAGAAGAACTGAATACCAAATAAGTAGTCACCTCTCAACTTAGGTTGAATATTGAAGGGGTAGATCTAGATGAGTTGGTATTAACCTAATTGTGATCAGACTGATCTTGTTAACTTAAGTTTTGATCTCATGAAGGTTTTTAGGTATTGATTTCCACAGGCTTGTTATTTAGAGGAAATGAGAATTAGATTGAAAATTACAGAATAAGAAAAATAAATAGTTGCAATTCATATTTGCCTAAAATCTGATTTACATATTGTAAAATGTGCAACTTCAATATTTGTGCTACCAGTTGCAGGACTGTGGAGAGAAACCAATGGCCCCAGGGATAAGTTAAAGCCCCCTCCAATATTAAATTATCAACAAACTTTTTATAATGTATGCAACATAAATATTACATAGCTATTATATAATATATGTAATGTTATTCAAATTCTATTTAATCTAAATATAGAAGTCATGTAGGCTAGACCAGGCCGTTTGGGGCATCCAACTCCTGTTGTCGGGCCTCATCACAATCCATTATCATAAATTAAGGAGAAAAAACTAGTTTTGAAAAACATAACTAAATCAACACAACTGCACTTACGTCAATTTTCATAGATATATCAAAAAAATCAATACTGTTTTTCGATAGTGCTGTTGAGAGAGATCATGCTCCACCACAAATTTCCCCCCTTAATTAATTGTTTAAATAAGAGTATTCACTTTAAAGGAGCTGTGTATCCGAGGAGGGTTTGCTGATCCATGGATCAATCCATAGCTGAAGTGATCATTATATTAATCATTCTCTCTTCTATCGCCATTCAGTGTGAGGGTCCTGTTTATGGAGTCTGGCCCAACTGTCTCCCTCCTGCACCAACTCCATCCTATTCCACACTTCCTAAATGCCTCCTTTACATTGTCCTCCCAGGAGATTCGAGGCCTTCCTCTGGGTCTTTTCCCTTCTGTGTGGATCTCGTTAGTCTGTGCTCTCCTCGTTCACTTCTATCTGGATCCATCCTAAGATGTCCAAACCACCTTAGTTTGTGCTCCTCTAGAATGGTCTCTGCTGGTTTGACGTTGAGGTTAGCCCGAATGTTGGCATTCCTTATCCTATCTCTTTTTTTTTTTTCGTTTGATTTTACGCAGATACCTCATTTCCATGGCTTTTGTGTTTTGTGGTGGGGATCCACAATTCTGAAGAGTACGACAGGATAGAGAGGAATGTCGATTTATACTGCTAGTTTGGTCCTCTTAGACATCTATCTTCTTCCCAGGAAACTCGGTCTGACCATCCTCCCTTCCTCTCCAATTCTCAGGCCCACTTCTTCATCTATGTAGCCACTCTCATTGAGATGAGCTCCCAGATATCCTCCAATCCTTAGTACCTTCATTATCCTTCGGGATTTCTTTCCAATTCTAATGCATTTAGTCTTCCTCGGATTAATTTTCATATTTACTGTGAATAATTCTTCTTGGAGGACATTTGAGTTATGTTGGATTTCTCTATCATTGGCAGCTAGTAAGATGAGGTCGTCAGCGACCTCCATGGCAATAAATAATTACTTAAAGAATAAATATCACCACTATACAACATAACTGCAAGTCATGCACAAAGTATATCATACTCTTGAAAGTTATAGCTTGCAATCCCTGAAGTGAACATACAAAGTTGTTTCGATCGATAACTGGATAAACAAACCATCTCACAGATGATTTTATGGGTAGACCAAGATGAGCTGTTATAAACTGAACAGTGGTTAGTTTGATCTTATCAACTTTTGATTGCATTGAGTAGAGACAGGGTAAGTAGAAAGTTAAGACACTTACAATGAATGTTTTTTTAGGTATTGTTGTGGCACTTGAAATGTTTAATATTATGGTAGCCATTTCTTTCATTAAGGCAAACATTTAAGTTTTGGACAGTTAAAACATTTCCAGTCTTAAATATATCTGTTATGTATATAAGGTTATCAAGTTAAGACACACACACACACACACACGCATATATATATAAAACTAAAGAAAAAAACATTAATTAATCAATAATTATTAGTAGCCAAGTGGAACTGAAAAATAATTTGCAGACTTGTTGTTTAAAATATATTTGAGCTTAGGCTCCTCTAAACTATGTATAATATATTGTTTTGTTTTTTTCTGAAATTAATTGTAAGAGATAAGTACGATAATACATGCTCATTAAGAAATAGGAAGGATAAACTGCAAAAGAAATGGATGAAAGTAAAACACAAAATTTTGATGTATAACTGTACATAAACAAAAATTTATTTTATTGTACTCATTTATTGCATTTTTTTTCTGGTCTCACCCAACTATAAACAAAAGTATTAACATATTAAATTATTTTTTTAAAGTAAATATTAATTACTTGCATTATGTTTTGAGTATAATGCCAAAAAAAGACTAGTTAATAGAGAAAATATTCTTTAATTATCACCTATACATTACTTAAACATTATTTTTTTTAAATTTCATTTTCATAATCAAATAACCAGAAAAGAAATATATCAACATAATGAGGAATAATTGCTTTTGTATCCATACAAAGTAATTATAAAAATTGTGATTACGAATACTTTATTTACATATTTTCAAGACGATTATACATGTTGAGGAAAAAAAAAATACATTTGTAAAAAATAGTATTCTCCAATTAACCCGTAATCTAGTTCACAATATATTGTACAAATAATAAATAAAAGACGCTGGAAAAACATAAGTTTTTAGAGAGGACATAAAGTTTAGAAGATTTTTCTTTAATTATTTTTAATAACAAGACAGATAATAAAAATGAAAATCTAACTTTGGTACATTGCTAAAATCTATTAAAAAAAAAAAAATCGTAAGTAAAAAAAGTGAAGTTATTGAAATTTTACTTGATATGAGAAGGATCACACATTAAATGAGCTCTTACAACTAGATAGTACATAGTGCAAACGTCATTAAATATACAAAGTCATAATAGAACTCTCTATCATACAACAAATAAATCATCTGTATCACTTCTGCATCAATAATTTATTGATATCGATATATATATACGTTTTCTGTATAATATATATATATGTATATATCATTTTCAATGTTCCTTAAATATAAATAACTTATACAGGAAATGCTATATTTGTTGAGGCACTTATCAATATGCCGCATTATCCAGAAGGCCTTTACACAGGGCATAAAATGAAGAAATTAATTGCAAAAAGGCACATAACTTCTTATTGTACAATCTTACTAATAAAAGAAAACAAAAAAATTACCTCAAATAATAACAAAAATGTTTTAATAATTTACAAGTGCATTTCATATTCACTTATTTATAAATATATATGCATAACTAACAAAAAAAATTAATAATAATAATAAATAGCTATTAAATGTGTCAAGAATAAAAAAAAAAAAAAATAGGAACGCTAATCAGTCATTACAAGGTGTAGCAGAAGGAAATTTACAAAATACAAGTGCAATCTCCTATCTTTAATAAATTTTTTTATTTATCTTTTTACTTCTTGAATTAACTAAGTTGTACATTTACATATTAATGAAAAATTTCTTTGGACTTCATTGTAAAACAGCCATATAATTTTCTAAGAGATTAATGATACTAATTTCATAATTATTAATGATTATAAAAGGTAAATCATAAATGTATGAGATCTTAGAGACTGCACTCAAAACAAGAAGATACAAAATAAAATTTTTGCAACACCTTAAAAAATTCAAGCACCAAAAATCAGTTCTAAATGACTGAGAGAAAATTTTAGTTTGAAGAATTAGTTAATCGTGCATCACCAAACTGTATATTAAATAGTGCATCTTTCCATCATACATATATAGATATATATATTTAAAAAAAATATCACTTTCCATATTTATATTTATGTTCACTATATGTGATTTATTTTTTATAACTATTACAAAATTAAAACTAATTGTTAAAAAATAGTCAACTTACTTAAAACAGAGTATACAACGTATACATTTCACACTTCACTGACTGTACACTACATGACGACCAGTACCAGATCGCACTAAGTTGACATATTCAAGGCAAACCAATATCACTCAAGTAAATGTTCACTTTACATTTGCTTCAACATAAATTAACAATAAATGAAAACCACTGCAAGCAGAGTACATTATATGGGTAACTCATGATTCTCTGAGTATAAAAATATATATATTAAAAATTGAATTTATTTTCTTAAACGTAGACAGTCTTGAGTTGAAGGCACTTCAAGGGGGGCCAGGAGCAGGTTCCCTGAAGACTGAGATGGAGGGCTTTTCGATTGGAAGAGCTGGCATGACGGAGGACCCACCACTCTGCTTTTCAATAGTTATTCCTGACCTGTTTAACGTGATCGCTGGAACACCATGTGAAACTTGGGTCACTGTTAGTGCTCTTGGCAGTTTGGGAAGAATCGGTTTAAGATTCTGTGTTCCTGGAATAGGAGGTATTGTTGGGTAGTAAGCTTGTGGCATAGATTTGTTTCGAATTTTCAGAAGAGGAGGTGGCCTCTGCTGAGGGTGATGGTGATGCTGATGCTGCTGTGTCTGAGGGTAAGTATAAGGAACATACATTGGTACTTGATACCTTTGGATTGGAGGGGAGAACCGTTGAGTAGGCTGTATCATTCTGACAAGAGATTTAGCCCTGTCCAAAGGTGTCATCTGTTTCTTTTCTACCATAACTGGCGGAGTGACTTTCTTTTGAGCTGCTTTTAATGGTGTCACTTCGATCTCGCCAGTGTTGGTAATCAGAGGAAACTTCTTTTCATTTCCGGATGGTGGTGTTGCAACTGGTGGAGCAGTAGTAGCAGAAGGTTTTTCTGAACTTCCTTCAAAAGCTTTTATCCTATTTTTAACACCATTTAAGTACTTCGCAGCTCGTTCGTCGGCACCTGGAGTAAGATTGAGATATCCTGCTCTCCAGTATTTTTCTAGCATCACAAGATGCCTTAGAAATGATGACTGATTACCATACGGTTTTTGAAGATCTTGCCACAATTTTTTAGTTCTTTTATCAAATTGTATAGTTGACACACATCTTTCCCAGCTTCCATCAGGAACTGCAGGGCCTTGGAATTCGAGGTTGGCTTGAAGACCTACATCTGAATAAGGTCTCTTTTCTTCTCGGCCACCCTGACCAATGTTGAGGTTACTTAATCGGCCAATATTTACATTTCCAAATTTCACCTGAAAAATATATAAATAGTTAAGGATTTTGAATATTCCAACTATTAATTTGAATTTGTACTTTAAATGATAAAACAAAGCAATAATGTAGACATTTATACAATAAAATGAGTGATAAACGGCTTCAAAGATTATCATGTAGTTTGATTGTGACAACTATCGATGAACTGATAAAAACTATTTAAAATATAAAAAATCTGGCGAGGGCAACACACAACTTTCACTTACCGCTAAACTTTGAATGGAAATAATGTTTGGCCATATCGGGCTATTATAAAATTTTTGAATTGCACTTTTAACTGAGCTGAAGCTAAAAAATTACAGCTAACAATACCATAAATCATAAATACCATTAAAATAACCAAAACCCTATTTATTATATCACTGACTGATTATGAATTGTAGTAAACTTATTAAACTACAGTAAATATATTTAAGATTATAAACGTATGCATGAAATGATTTTATATTTTACTTCTTCTTTCAAAGAAGTACATTGAAATAGTTATTTAAACAATGTCATTGCCTTTATTAGGTGGATCTTAAATATTTCTTTCAAACTTAAAAATATTTTAAAAGGTTGCATTTAGTTAATAAATTTTATTTAATTTCCTTGAAAACATGTGATTTACTTTAAATATTATTAGTTTTCAAAAAATATTATTTATAATTTTTTTGCCAATCTCCGTTTCCTTTTACAACTTCCTATATTCGATATTGTTTTTTTCTAAAATTCTCCGCTTTCCAACGATATATTATACGTATATCTTCGGACTAGTATTTGCAGAAATTCATTTTCGACCTGGATAGGCATTTTTATTTTTTTCTGCTTTATTCAATTATCAAATTCTTTCAAAAATTATAGCATTTTTTCATAACTTTTAATAATGAGAGATAATTGATTATTTAAAATAAACCATATTAAAGGTACTTTAGAGGAAGATGCATATGAAAAATTGGGCATTTAAGCCCTGTAAAGTGACATCAACGGGGATAAGACCTATCGTTAGAGCCATTTTTGAGAACATTTTCAAAATGTGTTTCAGCGTTCATACAAAGTGGCACTTCCGGTTAGTCTATTTTAACAAAAAAGTTACTGTCACATCTGGCCCATATACAAACCTTAAATACTTAATATCAGTTTCGTACTACTTTTCGTTTATGAGCTAGACTGTTAACACATACACACAGACACAGACACACACGTATTTCCGTTGAAAACTGAGATTCGAAAATTTTCACGATCGCAATACTTATACTTACTATATATTTCATATATACATAAGTGAAAGTAAAATTAGTTTGTGATTTGGAAGGAAGAGAAGATATATATGGGAAATATTAAAACATGATTTTCTATTTTCAAAACGTGTTTGTTATAATTATACCTGTATCCTGGCTTGTTGTTCTGGCTGATCCCCGAGAAGAGTCGCAAGATTAGTGAGGGACATGACACCTTCTTCTGATTTGGTCGATGAACCAGCACCATTAGTGTTAGGAACTCCTTCAGTTGAAGTCTTTTTAAGTCCTTTCTTTTTTTCTTCTTTTATCTGTTCTTCATCGGAATCACTCACAGGAATATCCAAGGACATAAGAATTCTAAAAATATATAAAACATGCATATATTTTTCCCATTATAAGTAAGCAGTATAAAATTTTTAATTATTAATAAAAAAAAAAATAAAAAATAACAGGATCTTCATCAATCAAAAAAATCAATAGGGGATCGGTTCAAAATGATTGCCAATATTTTGAGGAGCTTAGTGTATGGAGACGAACAATGGTTTTCCAATTTTGAAGACACACACTGGCAATCACCTATTGACACAATATATAGCACTCGCATTACAAGTAGAGATCATTTACAGAAAATGCTCTAGAATCCAGAGGCAGTCCCTCCACCCATCTTGGAAATAGTTGGGCATATAACCGTCTCCAGTTAGGACAAAAACTCTACTGGGAATACCAAACAGACTATTATTTAAAAATTGATTACATTAAACTTGTAAAAAATCTTAATGATTATTTGTACATTTTTAATGACTATCGCACAGATAATCATCCTCTTGCCAAAAAAATAAATTGGACTGAAAAATTGACATCATATATTTCGAGCAGGTGAAACCCATTCGATTTATGCGAGTCACTTACACATTTTAAAAAACTGCATCTTAATTAAAAAACTCAAAATGCATTTAATGTTAGTAACAGTGCATTTATTGGTGGTACGACATAAATGTGAATATTGAATATAAATATTAAATGAAGAAAAAAAATCATACTTTCGGCGATAATCTCTGTAGAAAATGCGACCACTTGACGGAATAGATCCTGGATCTGCATACTTCAGCCTTAAATTACTGTAATACCGGCAAAGTTTACACAAAAATAGTTTGTCAGAAAGTCTTGCAGGAATACCATCTTCGGCTAGCATGAGGTTCAATCGATCAGTCTCCGAACCAAGAGTGTAAAGATGGTTACGATTAAGACGTTTTCGACAGATACCGCAAACAGTAAAATAGTCCACCTAAAATAAATTATGGATTTAAAAATAATGAATCAATGAGCTAAAATTTACACATTCAATTTAATTTTTGGTTAATTATTTTTTTATTATGAATAATTGTAACATCTATTATATTATATTGCTATTAATATTATTTTGTCATTTACTGTTATGATTATTAATATAAAACTTCAAAATTAATTGCTTGACCATGCTAAAATAAATCTCAAATTTTTTTTTATTGTTTGTATAATATTATTTTAATTTGAAATTACATAAAGGTAACAAAAATCTATAAACATAATTTATTGATATAATAATTATTTAACTTACCCAATAATGATGCTGAGCACAGAGAGGAAAATACATGGCCGCTGATTTATCAAGGTCAATATCCAACTAATTAAAAAAATAAAAATAATAAATTTAGTTACTTTACTTTGAAGCAAAAAATATTAAGACACAAGTAGATTAAATTTTTTGCCTTAACATACTTAATTTTTTTTTTCTTTAATACAATTTTAATTTGAGGTTTAAAAACCCAGATTAGATAAACATATATACTTAACTAATAATTGACATTGTTAAAATATATTTAAAATAATTTTGTTATCGATCACTAATACTTAAAAGAACAATATCCAGTTACCAGGATGTCCAGCAAAATGGAATTCAAAAATTGAAAGACATCCTTTGGTCAATTAAAAAACTCAAGATGCTTCTGGTTTACTGGATTTATTATACAATTTACTGGATCGTATTTAAATCAAAATCGAAACAACAAAAATATTGTATTTTTTACATAAAATATAATGTTAGGACTTCAGAATGATTATTTATAATCAAGAAAGTTCTGTATCTTAACGATAATGAAAAATAATTACCGAACTTCTAATACAGAATGCTCAACACATCACTAAAAATAAAAACGACTATTAAACTCTTTATATAAACAATCTTGTTAGGTGTAAAAAAAAAAAAATTACCAAAATTTTAATTAGGCATTTTATATGATAAAACAAAATTTATATTTTTGTTTCTTATAATTTTTTCCTTTATACCAACAGAAGAATTAGAAAACCTTGTAAGTCTAGTAATCTGGCTAAATGAATTTTATGAGTCTCCGTTCAGATTCATGTTTTGTGTGTATACAGGGGGTCACGGAAGAGGCAGCCCTACACTTGGCTTATGGTACATGGGATTATCTCTCTACCCTCCTTAAACCAAAAGTATTATGAAATCTCCAGAAGATAAAGCTGTTCCGTCTCAATAGAAATTATCACCCAAGTGCTAAAATGACTTACAAATAGCTTTTTAGAATGCTCTTTGTTTAAGCTAACTAGGAGCACTTTGAGCTCTCCTTGCAGAAGTTGACAGCTATTGGAGATGTTAGAAACCTATGGCTTGACAGCTATTAGTTGGGAGCCTGAGGCTTGAATCTTTTATCGGTTCAATTTTACAGCAAAAATGATTTTCCCCTGATCAAAATATTGATTCAATTGTGTACTTCATTCTGATTTAATTATATTTATGATTTTCTGTGTGCATATTCCATTTTAGTGTCTGGCAAGGCTGTCATATTGCAACAATAGATCATAGTGTGTAAACCAGCCTTTAAGTAGGAGGCTCTTTCCAGCTTTTTTTGAAATATATATGGAAAAGAAAACTAAGAGATCAGCCTTCTTCTCGATTTGTTATACACTTACTGCCAAACTTTATTGGAAAAACGAGATCATTTGACTAAAAACTGCCACGATTTAAAAAAAAAAGATTCCCAATTTTTTCCAGATAGAAAATATTCAAGCATAAATTTAAATAAAGGCAGGACTTTTAAGAGTTTTTCAAAGCTTTGTTTTGAATTTTCCCATTTATATCCTAATTACTTCATGTTTCCTTTTTAGCTATATAATCATTTAAAGTAATAAATCTCAATCTTTAAGGAATCATAAGTTGCTGGACACCCTGTGGTAAGTATACAAATTTTTCGAGTAGGAAAAGTATAATTACCTTATCATTTTGAATCTTGTTTGAAATGCTTTTCTTGAGCTTGACAAGCCATTTTTTCTTGACTGTATGAGTTGCTTGCAAGGAACAATGGTTGACACAACACTGCGAGCTAGCAGGAGGACGTACTTTAGTTTTCCCCCCAGAAGTTCCTGGTGTCGCATTAGCTTTTGAAGGACAGTTTGCTTTCCTATCAACATACCTGTAGCAGGCGTCACATAAGCAAGATTCTCCTGTAAGATGGGGCTCATCTGGAACATAAAATTCATCCTTAATATCTAACTTAGGACTAAGACGAAACAAACAAATTGACAAAACAATAATATATTACAGTAAATGATATTTTTTATTACAGTTATGGTGATTTGGGAAATTTGTTATAGCATCATTTCCTATTATCAATAAAAGCATCATGAAGATTTTTTTAATTATGTCCTAAAATAAATCTCCAATTCTATCTTGGCTGTTTGATCAAAATTTCATTAAACATAACCTTAATTATGCATAAAAAGCTTTTAATTACAATATTAATAGTATAGAAATAAAATTTATTCACAAAATTGACAGACTGAACACGTGGGGTTAACAGTTTGAGAATATAATAAGGCTTTTTGGTCAATGGTTGAAATTATTACGTCAGATAGTTTGTTTCCACAAATAAATAAATAAAAAACTGTAAAGATCATCAGTAACCACAATTTCAATCAGGAAAATTTTATTTTAATGACAATAAATATTTTTTATAATAAATTTGTAGATTACTTACTCTCAAGTATTTTCTTTTGTCTTTCAGATTTGAGCTGAGCTACATGGCAGGGAGTGTCAAGGCAACCAAATTTCCCAAAACAATAACTACATACATCAGAGCACAGTCTTCCAGGATGGATAGAAAATGAAGAACTCTTCTCAGGGATTATGAGGTTAGATTCCTTACCAGCACTATAACAGAAGAAATATGTTTAAATTATTTATAATTTTCATAATCCAAAGAAATAAATAAAAAAAAGATAAAAATATTTTGAAATAATAAATAAACACATTAGATCCAAATAGTCCTAGTTTATTTTTACTGTACATTAGACTTTTACAGTTCTTAAGTCTTTTCAAAGGAAGGCCATTTTCAAATGAAATTAGGTTTCTTACCTTGAAAATGGTCTAAGGGCAGAAATGTCAAATGTAAAGTCCTAACCAACATTATTAAAATATATATTAAACAAATAATCCATAATTTATTGATATACCTTCAATCATGTAAATATAGGGGTGGTTTAAATAAATGACCAATTGGATGGAATTCCCTCATGCGTACATAACCTTTTATCCACAGCATAGTAATTTTTTTACTTTAACAGATTGGTTTTGATTTTGAGATGTGATATTTCTAGAATTGACATATCCTTATAATTTCCAACTAGTGCTTTTTCCACATTCAATATATTTCCAGTCAATGTATTCTAATACAGTATTCTGTCAGTTTATAATTTTAGTGATAAAAATAAAATTAAAAACAGAGGAATAAGAGTTTTTATATAGGTCAGTATAGCAAATGTAAAGAAAGTCTGAAATATGCATTTTAGAAACTACTAAGGATTGCCACAGTTACATCATTTCAAGTTACATCACAAAATTTTTAATAAAATCAAACCGAGAAATATTCCTGTTAGGAACTCAATTGTCCTACCGTTTAAATAAAAAAACTCATTAAAGTATTTTTAGTATATCTCTATTGTTAAAATAATCTTTTTTTCAAAGATATTGTTTAAATATTACAATAATAAACCAACAAAATAGTCAATTACAAGATCTGATTGAAAGAAATTACCCCTGAGGTACTCATATTTACATACAATCATACAGTATTTATAATCATATTTACTCATATTTATAATCATACAGTAGATTATAAATACATGAAAAGAAATTAACCAAGTTAAATCGGGTAATGTGTCTACATCAGAATATTGTCCAAAGGATGTAGGAAATTACAAATCACAAAGACAAGATAAAGTTCCCACACATATTTATGATTCACAGTGAAATAATAAAAAATAAAAGAGGTCAGAGCAAAATCTTACCAAAGCTCAGAAGTACTTCAAGCTATAAAAGATATTATTTACTGTTTTCAACTTGAATTCTTAATTAAAAAATGGAGGAGATAAATCAATAGCATACAATACTCATATTTAAGCATATGTAATTTTGTGTTAACAAAACTCTCATGCGGAAGTCGAAATACACCGGGTATGATGACAAATACTTGAAGAATTGTATTCATATATTATATTTTATTATCTCTATGAAACATGATTAAGATTCCAAAATGCTTATTCAACTATCCAGAATAGAAACCTATCATACTACAAAATAATGCTGAAAAAAACTGATCAAAATCAATGAAAAATGCAATAAATAGTGATACTAACCACTAATCCTAAACAAATAGATATACATACTTACCCACATGGATACATAAAATATAACACCACTTAGTTGCTATGTCATTGTATACAGTTACACTATATATTTCTCAAGTAATCTTGAAAGTTTTGAATGGGACTTAATTGCTTTATTTAAATTCTATCAATGGCAAGAATAAGGGTTGGGTTTATTTCACTGGGGCTAAGGGTCTGTTTAATATTTTTGGTAACACTAAATTATAAAATTGAACAGTAACAAAATGAGGATAAAAAAAAAATCCTCCAGAAGTATCAAGTATATACATGATTATTTCATTATACTATTATTTTTGTTTCTTCCAAGATGACTGAAAGAGTAGTGCTTTGGAATTAGTACTGTTTTGGTTTCTTCTTTTTGATACTTCCCATCTACTGTTGGTATCAAGAGTAATAAAATAAATAGTTTGGTTTAGCAATAACGTCACTGTTAGTTAAGTTAGATAATTGTGTTTCCCATAGTTTTTGAAATAACTAAACACACCTTACAGGTCAATACAAAAATAGATTGGATGTAATTTCTTTTACCCCAAAAAAGAAAAAATAGGTACAACAGTTCAAATTAAATGTAAATATAAACCTGAAATGTAATTATAAATATTTCGACACGAAAAAAAAATGGAAGGAAAACAGTTTAATTAACAATTAGATAAAGCCAAAAGGCGTGCTAGGATCATTGAATCTGCTAAAAATCGTTATATTTTTAAATATATCGGAAATTTTATGAAAACTGATAACAAGCTGTTGACTAAATCGCTATTTGAAAAGAGATTGAGGTTTGCCATTAAATTTAAGAGACGTATTTAAAATATACCTGACGCTCGGAAGTTTCTTCTTTTCGTGTATTAACTTGCGCCTCTTCATCTATCTCCTAGTATTAATTAACAGTGGCTCGAAGTTAAAGTAAACAGCTAAAACTTTCGGATTCGTTCAGGAACAAACCACCGTTATCGAAATTTTCTTTAAAATCTGCGGTTTACATGAAAATTTAACGCGTGTACATTTATAAGCGTAACATTGAATCGATTATTAAAATAAACATAAATTGGATTCAATCAAAATTAACGTTATAAAAATTACACTCTAAAAAAATATTCAAAACTACGTGCAGATCATTTACCGGCAGCTATAGAATTAAATAGAACATGGCTTTTTAACGCGACCAATCGATTAAAAAGATTTATAAGTTATTAAACGCTCTTCTTCATTTACTATTCATCTTTGTTCCAATTATTCAGCCAGTGGCGGTAAAGGGAGATAAAGGTTTTTTTTAAATTTTTTATTCAGGCTGCTTACGCAATAACCAATCAACCAAAATAATAATGGATAACGTAAGGTAGCAAACTAATGAGAACAGTTAAAAATGTTAGCCGAAATACTGAACAAGATAGCAAGGATAAAAAGTAAAGAGTTGCATTCTTGTTTTTTTTTTTTTTTTATGGTTCCAAATTTTTTCTAAAAAACGATTGCCGAAAAACACAAAAGATATATTCTAATGGCTTTGAATCCATTTTTAGAATACTTGGTCAGAGAATAATGAAAAACAATATATAAAAGTTGGTTCCACGAGCTCGTTGGTTATCGATTCATCCGGGATTTCACGCAGCAACTTTCTTTATCCTCCCTAGCTCGATTGGAAGTAGTGCAAATCAACCTGATGATTAAAGAATAAGTGTATCTTAGCGACGAAGAACGGTTAATATGCATATTCTTTGTGATCCAAATCACTGATATGATAAGTTAAGTGGATGTTGTGGTGATAGGCTTCATGATATCCTTCTCATCCAAGAAAATAATAAAAATCTAGTTGTATATTTAAAAATGTTTTTCAGTCTTTGTTTACCATACTTCCGAACATCTAATACTTAAATTTTTAGGATCCTTTCTTGTTTACTCCCGTAAATAAGGATACGTTAGCAATGAATCTTCCGCAAAAAAACAGGTGAATATCGTAGATCTCTTTGCGGTTTGTGAGTAATTTCGTACATACTTTTTCAATCCTTATAAGAAAACACTTTCCTCATTTCCAGAAAAAATAAAAATTGGCTAAATTTCCGTTGAAAATTCGTTCAAGTTGAAAAAATATATAGAATTATACTCCTTTCTTCAAATCTTCTTCGACACCACAGAATTTGCTATTGACGCTAGCAGCAGTGACTGGTTCAGGCGTCTGGTAGCACTAGTGGATCCGCGATTTAATTTTTTTTTTAGGGGGGGGGACTTCAGCCCGAAAGCTTTTTTTTTATTATAAAAATAACGAAAATTACTTTGGAAAAAAAGAAAGAAACTAACTACCCATCACTAGCGGATCCCGGATTTGATTTTGGAGAGGCTTCAACCTGAAAGTTTTTTTTCCCCATAAAAATGACGATAACTACTTTGGAAAAAGACAAAGAAACTAACTATCTATATGAAATGGTATCTAAGTGATTTCTTAAGTCCTTTTTAATGTAATTACACGAACAATAATACTTTAAGAGATAATTTTTTAATATATTTTAACATAACACCTTGTTATATTTTACCATTTTGGGGGAGGAGGGCTTCAGCATGAAAGCTCCCCTCCCCTCCCCCGTGCTACCTATATGAAATGGTGTTTAAGTGATTCCTTAGGTCCTTTTATGTGTAATTTCACGAACAATAATACTTTAAGAGATTATTTTTTCCATAAAACATGGTTATATTTTACCATTTTGGGGGAGGGCATTCCCCCTCTCCCGCCGGATTTGCTAGGAAACACTACCACCGGTGTCTGGTAGGAAACATGCAGCTTAATTGAGGTTTTCAAAACGATTTCCATTATATTTTAGAGTTTGCTTATATGAATCTCTTCCAGCTTAAGTCTTATTATATTTCACTTTGTACATTTTTTCCACAAGATTTTTTCTTTCATTTTGGCTGTTGCTGTTTCGCAATCCTGAATTTATCTCTTAAATTGGAACCTTAAATATGTTTTTTTTAAACTAGACTTTTAAAAATATTATAATAAAGCAAAAAAAAAAGAAAGTAAATTACGAACTTTTTTCGACAAGCGGAGATCTATAAATTCAGGTTAGCAAGGGCAAACATTAATAGAGGAAGTCTAGTTTCCGACAATATGGGTGAATATATTTCACTGATTTATTGTTCTAAACTAGAAGTGATAGATGAAATTAAATATACAATATCAGCTTATATCTTGCATTTTTCCGAAAAGTAAATTTTTTTCTTGCCAAAAACGTAAGACAAGTCATTTATGGGTTACACATGTTGAGCACCTTACATTCAGGGCCTTTTTTGACCATTACATCTAAATTAAGAGTGATAAATCCTTAAATATCCTAATAAAGGAAGGATTCACGTTTTGAACGAACGCCATGAAACAGTCCTAGACTTTTCAAAACTCTTAATATTCTTAAATAACCATCAGTGAGTGCCGAAAACTGTGAATTTGAAAGTTTTGCTGGCCTGCAAAAGAGCAATTGTCCGCCCCTTGAACTAAGTTTCTACTCCTTCATCAGGTTCCGACTTTAGACCCATCTCCATTTTATCCAAGTCATTGAAAGGAGTCTACAGCAGTTGAACAATTTTCTCGAGCAAAAAAGGGTCCTCAATCCTTTATAATCCGGTTTCCGTTCCCATTATTCCATCTAATTTGTCTTGCTAAAGATTGCCCAAGATCTCCAATCCTCCATAGATCAACAGCAAAACTCTATCCTAATCCTTTTCAACTTTGCCAAAGCCTTTGATTCCGTCAACCATAAGAACCTCCTTTCCAAACTCCAAAGTCTGCTTACATTCTAAATGATTCCTCTCCTTCTTATCCCATCACTATCAGGCAGTTGTAATTCCTAACAAATCTCCATCATAACCCTTTCAAATAACACGAGGTGTTCCTCAGAGCTCCTCATTTTTCTGATCCTTTTCACTATTTATATTAGTGACCTTCTTGTTACTATTCATCACTCCCATTACCACTTATATGCTGATGATTTCCAAATTTACCAAGCATTCCAACCTCTTGAGATGCCTGAGGTTACTTGAAAGCTACAAGAAGATATCAACTGAATCAACAGAGGAGAAATAAATGAGTTGAAGCTGAATGCAGAAAAAACTAAGGATATTCCCATCAGTTCCAGACATCTCATTAGTTCCCTTTCTTACTCTCCTCAACTTTATCTCAATAACCAACCCATCTATATTATCTATACAGTTAAAAATCTAGAGATTACCTTTGATCAGAACCTTTTCTCGAATAACCATATCTCCCATATTACCTGATGATTTCCAAATTTACCAAGCATTCCAACCTCTTGAGATGCCTGAGTTTACTTGAAAGCTACAAGAAGATATCAACTGAATCAACAGAGGAGAAATAAATGAGTTGAAGCTGAATGCAGAAAAAACTAAGGATATTCCCATCAGTTCCAGAAATCTCATTAGTTCCCTTTCTTACTCTCGTCAACTTTATCTCAATAACCAACCCATCTATATTCTCTATACAGTTAAAAACATAGGTATTATCTTTGATCAGAACCTTTTCTCGAATAACCATATCTCCCATATTACCCGAAAATTCATAATGGTCCTTAAACAACTCCTAAGAATTCATGATTCTATTCCTATATAAACTAGACAGCTCATTGTAACCTACCTTGTTTGCCCTCACTTCTATTACGGTTTGCTTGGTGTATGGAGGGCTGTCTTTTTATCTACCTCAATATGTCACTCCTTGTCGACGAAGTCCTTCAAAGAACTACTATTCCATCACCTACTTCATATTCAAACATCCGCGACAATATAGAATTTACTAGCTTCTGTATACTGTATAATTTACTTAACTGTATAATTGGAATTAACAGTTAATAAACATCCATTTAGTATTGTTCTAAGCCAGATTAATGCACATAATTATGGAACTCTGTTATTATTCTTAGGGAACTGTAGTCTCAAAATAAAATAATTACTCCATTTCATTTCAAATATCCCATGATAACCACATGAGCTAGGAGTCTTTCCTCAAAAATTATAGTTCATCTCGAAAACGTTACATTTTAGATCTTTAAAATAAAAGGATCTTCCACATCAAAATCTTTAAAGCAAAATGACTACTGTTTTGATCTGCTGGCTTTTAAAACCATCTTAGTTTTTAAACCTTCCAATTTTTTAAATTTCTTTCATTAAAGGTGTAGGAATTTAAGGAAAAAAATTGGGATTTGTTACTTCTCCAAGAAATTCCTTTCGTTTGATACCTCATTCAACAAAATTCATTGCTCTTGAGAGCCGCAAAAGATATATATATATATATATATATATATATATATATATATATATATATATATATATAGAGAGAGAGAGAGAGAGAGAGAGAGAGATAATAAAGAGTTATTATATATAATGTAGATCTATAACAGAATTCTAGAACATAAGTCAACAAAAATATTGGTTAAAAACTTTACAGAAATGCCTTTCTAGGTATAAGTAGGCAAACACAGTGCTGTATATTTTGCTTATTTGTAATAATTAAGGCATGGAGAAAGAAAAAGACAGTAAGGGTGATAGAATAAACCAGGGAACGCTAAATATAGAACAGAAGCAGTATCCATAATCCAAGGCAAGTAAGATCTGAGCAAAGAATATAAAAAAAGGTTTTCCAGCTAATGACATTGTAACCATGTGGGAACGAAGTCTCTGTAATTAAAACTGAAGTCTATGCAAATAATAATAAAAAAGTACAGCTAAATTGGAAGTAAGCTAACCTTGGAATAAAGACTCACCCACAATCACAAGATATCATGACTTCAGGTAAAAAGAGGAAGTTTTAGGTAGGAGATAGGCTGTGATGACAAACGAATAAGAACAGAATGGCTGACAGTGGAGAAGCGGTTTCGTTCTCTAAAATGAGAGTAAGTCTGAAAATGGATCTACAAAGTATTGTGAGGAAAACTGAGTTACTACTTAAATGAATAAGCAGCAACAACAAAGTTAAAGTATTTAGCTATTTTGTATACTTGATATTCAAGCACTAACTACCATAACAACTACAACTTTTTTTAAAAGAAATGCCAAGTCATGATGAATAAAATAATAATATTGAATGTAACTGAGAAATGAGAAGTTCATAGCTACCTTCATATTAAGAGAGTATAACAATATAAAAATATTAGTGGTACAGTATAGTATCAATATAAATAATCAAAAATGAAAAAGATTAATGCACTACCTACTTGGTTAATGGATCAATAATTTAGTTAATATTTATACCTTGCGCCTTTTGATTCATCTTGATTATTAGTCTCATGATCTTCTGAATGCCCGTTACTAGTGACCGGAGCACTAGATGCAGTGTTTGGGACATCTGGAAATTAAACATTAATTAAGTTTATGAGTAAAATGGTTGAGAAAAAAAAGTCATTGATGGAAATATTTTTACCACTGTCATGATGTACTTTATTAGATACATTTTTTCGAATGCTAGCTATATCATTTAAATGTGTAATTGGAACACCATCAGTTGCAGGAATCTGAAAGGTAAGAAAACGTTGATTATAAAGAGTGAAAAATATCATGCTATCTAAGAATCGGAGTAAAAATATCTTAAGTTAATATGGGATATATATATATATACATACAAGGAAATATCCTTCCCATAGCTTGTTAGATAATAATTAATTTGATATAAGAATATTATAGATTCCTTATAATGAAAATATCTTAACCAGGATTCAGAAGAGATAAGATATACTTGAAAAACAATCTGAATCTGAATATTCTCTTGTGGATAAAATTGTTTTGTAAATGCTACAACAGTTCATTTCAAAGTGGCATTTGATCTCAGCAGACACAATATGTTAGAAGTCCATGACTGAATTGATTATCCCTGGGCAATTGGTAAGAATGATAGGACCAGCTTCAATTATTCCAAATAATGCAACTGATACAAGGCAAAGTATCAGTCACTGAAATTAATACAAGCTTGAAATTAGGATATTGCCAACCATCCATATTCTATAATTTCTTGAAACTATAAACTTGAAAAACTAATAAAAAAAAAAAAAAAAAGAGAAACTTTGTGAAAATTTTATAAGAAGAAATGCATGAGAGTAAATTGAGAAACATTCCTAAAAGTTAAGATCACCATTCGTAAAAAAAAATACCTTAGCTCTTTTAATGATCAACTAAGACAAACCAGCATACAAGTGCAGACACCCTTCCTTTTCCTCCTTCACGTGAACTAAAATTCCATTGAATTTGAAGAATCCTTAAGATGAAGGTGCAAAGACATTAAATAAAGCCTATATACAACATTTTGATAATTTTAAAGACTCTATAAATACCAAGATCGAGAGATTAAACAAATGGAACAGAAAGTAAGCGAATTGGTATCTTGGCAGTATAGAATATCAGAACAAAATTCTAGAAGTTTCTTATTCCCAAGATAATCAAATACCAAATGGCACAGATCACAAGAAATCATTTACTTTAGTAAGAATAGTTCCATTCCTTCTCTCTCAAAAACTAATATTCTTTATTAAAAGTGATTTACAAAATGTAGTCAAATGTTTAGGTTATAGTTATGAAGAAACAACATGCTTAGAGCTCATAAATGTTTTATGACTGTGGATAAAATATTCCAGTAATTGAACAAAAGAAAAAAAAAACTTATATTTTCCATACCAATTTTATGGCTTCCTAATGATTGAATCTGACAATGATAAATAATTTAAGCTGAGAGATGGGTTACAAGTTTTCACTAACTTTACAATAAAATTAATGGAAAAATCACTCTTTTTGATGATAAATCATCAACGATTATATAAAAAACTACGTATACATAGATTGTTCAGGAGAACAAGAAGTCTCAAGAAACAATGATGGGAGAGCATTAAATAAAAATGACTTTTTTAGATTAGAGAGGGGACACTAAAACATGTAAATTTTGGAACACATTTTTCAATCAATAACCATAATGGAAGTGGGCGTGATGAACGAACGGGCTAACGTGTGTGCATAGCACCGCAATTGCCCGGTAACCTGATATATGATACAAAATAGTCATGAGTTCGCGTCCCGGTGCTGGGGGAGTCTTTTAAATCTCTGCCCACATCCCCTGGACCAGAAAAAACAGGTGTAGCCTTAAAGGTGAAGACCGAAAAAAAAAAAAACTATGGTGGAAGTAAAACCTTAAAATGTAAGAGCAAAAGATGCATGGATAACATATACAACTTAATTAATATGTTTATAAATAGTATTTGGTGAATATAATTTTAACATACAGCTATCAAGTGTTATTATTACCTCTGAACAGATACGGTATTCAAGCTCGCCCATACTATCTTCGGATCTTCTGTATACCATCCTCTTTTTGTCCCCAGTTCTATTAAGTTTAATCACAGCCTTCAGTGTTCCCGTGTAACCATCTCTCTTTGGTTTTTCTTCAGGTTGTTGTGGAGTTAACGATTTTAAACCAAGGGCTTGTAAAACAGATTCTTTCATTTGCCTTTGTTCATTAGTTAATTCTTCATACTTCGTATCTACAGTTTTATCTTTATCCATAATTTCACTAAGAACATCCTCGGCTGTTTTTGGATCTGTTTTTTCCTGACTATCACTTAAAGCAATGTTTTCATCATTATTAGAAATCACAGCCACATCTAACTCTCTTGTCTTCTGTTGTTCTTCAGAAATATCACATGATTCAGAAGCTCCATTAGGAATGGATTCAACTGGAAACTGGTCATCTTGACAAGGTTCTGTTGTGGGAGTAAAAGAGACAATATCCTCAGGTTTTGGTCCATGCAACTTTGTTTCTTCTGTGGAATCCGGGAAAATGTGATCTGATTCATCTTCTAAAATTCCATCTTCATGTTCATCTGATAGAGAGCTATCCAAATCTAAGTCGTCAGGCAAACTTAAGGAAAAATCAGTAAAGGAATCATCCAGAGAGGGCTTAACATCAGATGTAGAGTCAGCATCAACCTGTGGTTCTTCTTTTATTTCAATACTAGAATCCATCATTTCATCTGAAGTTTCATGATTAAATTCTATGACATTTTCAGTTTGTTCTGATACATCATTTTCTAATAGTTCTTCCATTGCCTTATTGTCTACTTCAGAAACATCACTCTCCTCCCAACTAACACTAAGTTTTTCATTTACTGTCCCACTTTCCTTACAGATATCATAAAGTTTTTCATTAACTATCTCACTCTCCTTACAGATATTATCAAGTTTTTTATTCACTATTTCACTTTCTATACAGATATCATCAAGTTTTTCATTTAACATCTCACTTTCCATACAGATATCATCAAGTTTTTCATTTCCTATCGCACTTTCCATGCAGACATCATCACATTTTTCATTTACTATCTCATTCACCTTATCAATTTCATCATGTTTATCATTTAGTATATTACTCTCCTTACAGCTATAAAGTTCTTCATTTACTAAATCTGACCTCTCTCCATCCTTAATTTTTTCGAAATCGCTTGTTACTTCAGATACATTTAGTTCTCCATTTGTAACAATCATGCTGTCTGTTGAGATAGACATTATACTGTCTTCTTTTGTATCGATTGACTGATCATCACTTGAATTTTCATTTGAAGTGTAATCACATTTATCAATAATTTGCTCGATTATCAACACTGACGTATCTTCATTTTTCTCACAGGATATTTTCAGTTCTTTTCTCTCATTTTCAGTTTTATGAACAGTCTCGGTTTCTCTATTATAAATGATAGTATCGTCATCAGCTTTTTTTTCTGCAGACAAATTATAAATATTAATGTCCAAATACGGATCTTCAGGTGGATTTTTTTCCTCCAGTGGAATGTCTGAAGGAACTTCTGTAGATGAATCATCTGCATTTTTTTCTTCAGTTGCAATATCAGTTGAATTATTTTCTGCAACAAATTCGGAACAAGAAGCTTCCGATTCAGAAACAATAGCTAGGGATATAATGTTTTCTGATTCAACAACTTCAAAATCTTGTTTTACTGTTAGTAAATCTTCATTGTTTTCAGAAGGTAGATCCACTTCTTTTTCTAACTTCGGCATTGCAACATCTTCAGCACTAGTATTGTTCGAGACTGGTTCTACTTTAATACTATTGTCTAAAATTAATGATTCATCACTTTCTTTATCTAAAATAGGAATATCTGAAGTTTCCAATATTTCTGAAACATCTTCTTCCTCTTCATCATCCTCATCTGCATTTATTTTATCTAAGGATGGAAGGGAAGAAAGAGATGTATCAGCATTTTCAGATTTAGCTTTTATTTGTTTCTTAACTTTTCGTACCCACATAGAATCTCTTTTCCGCCGTTTTCTTTTTTTCTTTATATCTTCTTCAGGACTTTTCTGTTTTTCTTCCATTTTCTTAGTTTCTGAAGTAACATCAGATACATCTGATGTACCTCTGCTAATTTCTGAATCTGTACTGTCATCAATTTCATCGTTACTGTCATTTTCAGGACAAACATTAGAGTTTGAGTCAGTTTTGTCCAGCCCATTCCATTTCTTTTTTCCTTTGGCATCTTTTGCTAAATTCCTGATACGCCTTTGTTTTAAAGCTAGTAGTTCTTTACGCTTTTTACCACTTCGGAGAGATGAATGGTGAATTCTAACAGAAAATCTTCTTTCAATTTTTCTTGTTGGTTTCTTGGGGGATGTTTTTTTATCACCTGATTTTTCAAGAGGAGGTCGACCTCTTCTTCTCTCAATTGAAGTATTTCTTGATTCTGATGAATCTGATTCAGAACCTTCTTTGGCACTTCGAAGACGCTTGATAGCTGGTGAGGTTCCATTCATACTATCAGTCCTTTTTCTCTTCATTGCTTCCTTGGGATCTACTTTATTCTTTGCAGATAGGGGTGGCCTACCTGGTCCTCGTTTTTTACCTTCCATTTCTTCAAGGGCTGATTTATTTCGTGAGATCAAGCGGTCAATCAAAGTTGGCCGCCCAAGTATAAGACGTTTAGCAGATAAGGCTGTGAAAGAATCAGGATCTATATGAGAACCACTAGAACGTGTTTTCCTTTTGGTAGACGAACCAACTAGGTCTGAATCTGCTGAGGTCATACAACCACAGTCGGAGAGAGATGAGAGGTCGCAGGTCACAAAGCGCAGAGCGGTCGCAGCCCCTCCTCGTTCAGTGTCCCCGTACATCTCTCAGTTAACCCCTCAAATTTCATAGTATAAAGCTGCGAGAGAAGGGCAGTCAGTCAAGTTGCCTAAAAAATAATAATAATAATTATAAAAAATATGAACAATAATTTACTTATGATTCAGTTAATATTTTTGCTAAATTCATAGCTCAAAATTGTAAAACATTTTAAGAAGTCCAAAAACTAAATATGTAATAAACATCTGTAGATAGGTTACACAATTGGTAATTTTGATTAACTAACATATCAAATATTATAAATAATACAATCTGTCATCAAAAGACAAAGAAGAGAAAACCTTGTAGCCAAAAATTTCATTACCACAGAAAGCTGATTGAAAAATCTAACAAGAAATTTTTTTGTTTAAAAACAATTGCAACAAATATAATTTCTTAAAAAAAATATCTCACTTGAGATAAAGAAGCATACAATAAAATAAAACATACAAAATCTGATAGAATTTAGTTAGGCAATAACAGCTAAGTTCAAGAAAGTAAAAAAACCAAAAGAAGCTTAAGGTTCCGATTATAAACTTGATAAACTATATAAAATGTATTTTCAATGATAGATCAGAAAGAAACTCACTACAAACAAAATTTTACAATTGAAAAATTATTTCATGTGTTATTGCGATCACATTAAATGCTTATATTAATAATTGTAAAAACCTATAACAAATCTCTTGATTCTTATAATAAAGGACACATAGCTAAATAATGAAATCACTAGTTGACATATAAAAGAGTTTCAGAGATGGATATGTAATTGACTGTGTGAAGACATATCATGGATTATAGATAACCAGTATTTTTTTTATTGAACAAGTCAATGTTTCAATCCAGACAGATATAATCATTCTCCAGACATATGATTTTAATGTTTGCCTTACAAAATTTTAACTTTTAAATCTATGTTCTATGATTTTGAGAAGGAAGCCTAATAGAAAGTGGGTAAGTTTAGAGGATAAGCATCATTTAAAAAAATGGAAAATTTGGGGTTCTAAACAAAGACCCGAATAAGTAAATTATTAAATACGAGATACTACGGAAAGGAAAAAGACATGTTGATATTTTTCTTCCCAAGAGAAAAAGATATGGCAGTGGTAAGCTAATATGTTTACTGTTCTTACTATAACCAATGGGAATACATTTTTTTACAATACAAATTATTGATGCCAAATAATTTTTAAGTGATCAAGTTACTACTCATTGAAGTTCATAGATAATTTTTTATTTTAAAATCATGATTTAGAACACTTACAAACTGTATTGGGTCAATATAACCTTCAGAAACAATACACATTTGAACAGTTAATATAAAAATGACATAAGTAAAAACTGAAACTTTTATATTCTCAATACTTATAGAGAAGTTCTATACAGGTAAGGTACATGTAGAATAATACATATTCCTCGGTAAGAAATAACAGCATAATTTCCTTGTGAAAAATTGTCTCAAGCATATCCAATTATTTATCATGCAAAGGACACAATAATGTTATGTTCAAACGCTCCTTTAATAAATGAGTCATTACCAATCAGTCATAATTTAAATAATGCTTTTTCATCAAAGTCTTTTTGCTATTGGGTGATTAATCATTTTTCAATACGCGAGAATTTTATTACATAAGTTTAAAATCAGAACTGAGACAAAATGATCAGGCCATGGAACATCAAAAGATGATTTTAATTGAAGATAGAACTATGTTAAAAATAAAATTAAAGTACGTGCAGGAGATTTCAGCCTTGAAGAAAAACAATATTTTTTATGAAGACCATCTGCAAACTTGATTAAAGCAAATGCAACGATTTAAGTAAGCTTGTAGAACTAATTTTTGGTCGATTAGCACCTTGTGGATGAAATCATCTTGTTTATCTTAACTTCCCTCTGCATAAACCAACTTTTGATTTATTGTTTGATGAACAAAAATCTCAGTAACATGCCTACATATGATTCACAAATTATAATTATATTTGGAGCGAACGGGAAAGCGTATATCTTGTTGGAAAAATTATATTCAATGTAAAAGAACGTATTTTTTGTTCAATTAACTGTTTTAGTGTTTAGTCTAACAAACAAAGCAATGGGTATAACAACCTTTTATTAAGTCCATTTGCCAATAATGATTTACTCTAAATGATAAAACGCTCATTAGCATGTGTAGTTGGTTAATTATTTTAAAATGAAAGATATTTTTTATATTTTCCTTGTTGCATGATTCATATCTGCTATGGATAAAGGTTCATTATTACAAGCATAGATTAAACAAATCCAGTAAAATGAAGAAACATATGCGTGTATATTATGTCAGAAATACAGGGTTCAAAACGAGCGAGTACTATTGGTTCTTTGAATCTCTATAAGGAGGCTAGGGTGTTACTTGAATTGCATCCAATGCAAGCATTATTAAAAAATACATAAAAATGTTTGAATTATCAGGCTTAGCAATTAAAATTAAAAATGCTGTTGTCCATGGGCCATCAAGCTTGATTCACCCAATAAACTAATATCGAGAACGGGTGATACTCCTTACTCACCATACAGCCCATACCTAAGTCATATAGACTATTTCTTTAGGTGATACCTTTAAGAGAAGTATACAAATAAAGTGAATATACTTACTCAATTAAAAGAAAATAATGCAGTAGAAATGGCATAAATATTTCAAGCTATGTCGTTTTGTTATTGGACATTCTTGTTTAAGAGTAAATAGAATTTTATGATGATTTGCTAGTCAGATACCATGCAAACATTTAAATCACATCCAGATTTTTAATAAAAAAATATTTCCTTTTTAACAGTTTTGTTTATCAAACTTTTAAATATCATTCACACCCTGTTTTGTGGACACCCTGAATATGACAGTCAATTTCGACACTTCATGACTATATCTATCACTAACAATATATTTACATAAACTTTTTTTTTTTTTTTACATACATTTAACAATCTACTGTAGGAGAAAATAGAGTGAAAAATCATGGTTTCACAAAAATGGCCTCTATGTTTACCTTTATCTTTCATGTTGATACTGGTAAGACCTCTTCAAACAGCTTCCCAAATCAGGATTTGAGGTTTTAGATTAGAATAATGATCAAATAATTATTAATTGTTAAATATTATCACAAGGTCTCATTAATGAAACTAAAGTAATCATGAAAATATCTCATGATTGGATTAGATACAAAATTCAATCTCTCTATTATATAAAAAAGTTTTTAGTGACCTACTTTCTCATAAGATGTAAATGCTTTTTAATGCCATTTAATTCTAATATTTTAACCAAGAAAAATATATTTATGAAAAATTCAAGAATATCTATAAACTAATTATACTGATGAAACAGATTTCTCTTAGAAAAAGTTTATTAGATTCAATTACTAATTTTTTAGTATATATAAAAAAAATCATGTATTAAAAATTGAATAACCAGCGGTTTTCCCTCCCTCTCTGAGCCCAATTCCCTCTCTGCGGACCTGCGCCACTTTCTGTTTCTTGAAGGGTTCCATTTAAGAGCTGTTTTTTCTATTGTCTCATCTTTTATCCTTAGAGTGTGCCCTACACATTTCCATTTCTGCTTCTTTATGGTATATGGTGATGGCTTTCCATAGCCCTACATTTAATACCGTTCTGGCCACCAAATCCACAGTATTCTACATGCAGGCATCAGTTAAAGAACGTCAGTAGTGGGTGGGTGATGATTTTTGTCACTTTCCATATTTTGCTACCATAAAACTCTATCCTCGACCGACATGTTGCTCTTATCACAAAAGCCATCTGACATCCTCCTGACAGAGAAAGAGATGCTGCAAGGCTACAAATTTAACAAACTCGACTTTCTGATGATTTCCTCTCGTTCAAAACAGCACTCAATCAGCAGTACGTCATGCCAAATCCCGTTACTACCATCATTCCTTATCCATCTCCCCTAATACCAAGGCCACGTGGGCTATTCTTAGAAAACTGACCATTGGTAATACACCTCAGCCCCAGTCCAATTCCGTGATAACCTCAACTTTGTCTTCTGCCCTATTGCAACCAAATCTCCTACGTCCTGTACGGCTCCTTTGTTTTCCTCTTTAAATCCTGATCATTTCTTTTTTTCACATATTACCCCAGATGATCTCCTTAACTCCATTTAGAAGTCCCATACCAATGATTACCGTCCCGATAACATCCCAATCAGACTGATTAAAGCCGCACTGCCATCCATTCTTCCGATCCTTTCACATATATATATAATTATTCTCTTCAAAATGCTACCTTCCCTATATCCTGGAAAACCCCCTAGTATGTCTCTTGAAGAAGACCTCAAACCCATCAGATCTTAATGATTTCCGACTGATTTCCCTTCTTTCAAACCTCTCAAAACCTTTAGCAACTAGTCCAATCCCAACTATTCCATTTTTTAGAGCATAATAATCTCCTAAATCCCTGCCAGTCCAGTTTCAGGCATGGTTATTTTACTCAATCTGCCCTAATAAAAATTTCCCAAGACCTTCACACAGCTATAGATCAGCAGAAACTAATCTTATTCTTCTTGACTTCTCCAAAGCTTTTGATTCAGTAGACCACAACATCCTCCAAACGAAACTTAAAAATATCTCCTTTTCTTCTAGTTCCCTTAATTGGTTCCAATCCTTCCTTACCGGTCGGCTCCCAGTATGCTGTAATTCCTAACAACGGCCTCCCCCCCTCAGAATCTTTACCTCTGTCCAGAGGCATTCCACAAGGCTCTTCCTTATCTCCCACCCTTTCCTCCATCTACATAAATGACCTCCCATCCTCTATCCTGCACTGCCAATACCACCTGCATGCCGACGACATTCAAATTTATATCTCCTTTAATCCGACAGAATCCATTAATTCTCAGATGCCATTCTAAAACTCCAAGAAGATATTAATAGAATAAGTGCTTGGGCAAACCTCAACAGGCTCACTCTGAACGCCGAGAAGATGAAAGCCATCTTGATCAGATCCTCCTCACTGCTCAAACCCTTCCCAGTATCCCCCAATCTCCTCCTGAACAACTCACCTATCTTATTCCACACTACCGTTAAAAACCTAAGTGTTACTTTTGATCAAACTCTCTCCTGGAAACCACACATCTCACAAATTTCCTGTCGCACTATCTCCACCCTAAGACAGTTCAATCGTCTATGTTAACTCCTTCTATATAAGTCCCGCCAACTCCTAGTTTCTTCCCTTGTTTCCCCCCTCCCCTTTGACTATGGCTGTATGGTGTAGTCTCGGGAGATTTCAAGGACAAACTTAAACGCCTCATGAATTGCACATTACGATTTGTTTTCGGAATCTCAAGAGATACGCATATTACCCAGTATTACACCAAGTTAAAATGGCTCTATCCATCCTATCGCCGTCAGTACTTCCTAGCCACCTTTCTGTATCAGATCATTAGAACTCATCGACCCTCCTATATTTTTCACAGCTTACAATTCAAATACTCCATCCATTCCCGTCCCACTAGATCTCGTACTTCTGACCTATCCTCTTCTTCACTGAACTGCTGCGTTTGATAAATCCTTTGCAATTCAAGCCACCTCCCTCTGGAATTGCATCCCTGCTGATATTTCGACATGCACAATCAGTTTCCTCTTTCAAACCTCTCCTCTTTAAACACCTACTCCTTTCTCAATCCGACTGATTACGAAATATACCTAAGAGAACTATCTAAGTTCCCCCAGAGACTACCTCAATTTATTTAGGTTTCCTATTATTATTATTATTATTATTATTTAGGTTCCCTATGTTTGTCTTATATATATATATATATATATATATATATATATATATATATATATATATATATATATGTACAATTTTCTTGTCTTTTTCTCTATCTTCCTGTATATTTTTATTTAACTTTTATTGTAAATATATAATTTATTTATGACCACATAGACATGCAATCTGTACTTATAATTTATTCTAAAGGGACAACAGTCCTAGAATAATAAAATGTATTTTCATTCATTCATTCATTCATAAAAAAGAACCGATTTCACGTTAGTGTTGAAAAGCTGTATTTTTATGTTTATAGATAGATTTATGTTCTTCCATACTGAGTGAGTATAGCTGAATAAAAACCCTGTTGGTCTTATTTATTCGGCTTGCATTTTCCGCAGAGCCACCTACCTTCCTTTGTGTATGAAACTTATTTTAGAAATTGAAATGAGACCAGTAATACATTTTATACAATTATTAATAAAGAAGTAGATAAATGAAAATAAAAATTTTAAATGCTCCCAAACATACATTGAATGATAGGTGAAAATTTCTTATAAAAAATTATAATTAAAATTCAATAGTCTCCCAACTGGGGTTACTACTTGACTGGCTGGATGCAGTAATTTGAAGTTACCCCAGCCCTGTGGTGTAACTTGAAACCCACAAAGGAAGTTTAAATTTGTAATACGAGATATTACAAATATATGTCAGTTTAGATTAAAACATAACAGCCAAATCTTTGAGAATATATGCAACTATGTCAATAACAAATACTGGTACTGATGGGGAAACTAGATTGCTGAATGGACTTTTTGCAACCCTTGAATGCTATCTAGAGGTTGCCAAGAAATAAATATTAACAGACCAGAAACAAACTCACAATGTTTTGTATTGGGCACTCTAGGACCCATGCCTAAAAATGCAAGGTCAACACATCCTCTAACAACTACTATAAATTCCTATTTTAAAGTACATCATTAATTCAAAGTTACCAATGAATGATATATTGGAAAAAAAATTACATATCTACTGACCCACATCTCTTAAAGAAAGAGCAAACTTCCTGATGAGAATGATGGTCTCTTCTTTCAGTAAATCATCAGAACCTTGCAAATGAAAGTTAATTAAAAGCGACATCAAGTGGAGGACCAGTAGATGGACCAACTATGCATGGTGAACCCCTCTTCCATCTTTAAAATGTAAATATAACTGAATAAGTAGCGAGTCTCCATACTAGACCACCTGAACCTTTTCAACATTAAGGCAGCTTTTTAAATGACTGGACCATGACAGTCCAAGAAGACGATTGCATTGTGCACTGAAACATTCTTGAGTCTAGTGAAGCCGGTTGGAATTCGTATGTTAAAATTTACAACTTATTTATTTATTTTCACCCTACCTTATCTTACGGCAATACGGGGTTTGGTGAGGGTAGCGTAATAAATAATTTATCAAGCTACCTCAACCAGTTAGACAGTAGTACTACAATTGAAATTAACACAAAAAAATTTCAGCCATTGTTGATGCAAAACCAGTAATCTTACTCCATTATGTTTATATTTGTGCCGCATGAGGTCTATAAAATAGTTCAATGAAATAAAATCACTTTGATTAGGACACTGTAAAGGTGGAAGAAATCGGTGAATAGATCTTTTGGAGACTGAATCAGTAGATTGACTTCGTTAGCTAACTATATAAAGATATATACGTACGAGTATAAATACAGTACATTGAACTATTTAGTTCACTGTACAGAATAGAGGTGGGAGAAATCTTACTAAGTAAGATTAGTAATAGTAATAGTAGAACTTGTATACTGACTTGGTGGTGCAGTGGGCCACCTGTAGACACATTCCCTGAATAGTTCATTCAGGACCTGCACTCCTCTACTTTAAATTATGAACATAATTATGGCATAATATATTTACTAGATCAGTTAACGTACAAGATTTAATTCCTAAATATCAACATGCTGAGAAAAAAACCTGGATAGTAGAAGCAAGGTAGGTAGGTACATGCATAGAATAGAGGACGAGATTCCAAAGATCTCTAACAAAAAAACAGAAAAAAGTAGAAGACCAAAATTTGAATAACCTAGGAACAAAGATTTACAGGAAGAGTTCTGAGTGATAGGTTTTAACTGCTAAAGTAAGAGGCACCAAATACAGAGTAGAGTAACGAATGTTCTATAAAGCCTCAACGCTACTAAGCCAGTAGAAGATAATAAACAATATAGTTAACTTTTAATGATTTAGTTTGCAGGATAAGTTATTATCTGACTAATGAGTAAAAATATATTTTAGAAAAAAAAATTAATGAAGTGATGATATTCTTGATGACTGATAATTGATCTATCATATAAGAACTTCACAACTTAATAAAATAATGTAGAAATGAGGCAGATAAAACGTTTTATATTTTACAATATTAATGAAATGTGTAAACTCATCTTAGAATAAAATTTTCAAAATAAAATAATTCATATGAGGAAACACTATTAAAAGAAATATTAGTAACACTTGAAGAAACATATTTTAAAATGAAATGTAAAAACTAATAACAATAAAAATAACTTATTCAAAAACACCAATCACTAACCAATCTATGAAATAGAATAAAGGAACAAAATAAGAAATCAAGTTCATGTCTAGATAAAATGTATTTATTAAACACATTTATGTGGTATTTTTCAAGTTAAAAAATAGAAACTTATGCTATACAAAACACTGTTACATAAAGTATTGTTGATGTAATCTATTATATAAAATAAATAAGGTACAATTATTTATTTAAGTTTATTAAGGAAAATTATTTTTAAAATTGGCTGAAAAAATATATTAACTTAAACGACTTAAGAAATTGCTATATTTATGTATATCATAATAAGAAATAGAAAAGAATGGCAATTAAATATAAATTATAAAATTATAACAGTCACTAAACATACAGATTAAATATGAATATTGTGGGGATAATTTGGAAATATTAATAAAACGAAATTAATGTAAAAAGACATTTATTCAAAATTTAAATAGAAACCTAATGGGAACAATAAGTAACGATTAAATAAATATATTTTCTTAACAGCACTTTCTATTCTACTAGAAACCGTCCCGATTTCACATTACTCATGAACTACTTATTTTTTACCTTAAGTAAAATCATAATGACATTTATACCTCATAATACATAAGAAAGCACGAAATTACTACTTTATAACGTCAAAAACAACCACAACAGCTATGAGACATGAAGAAAGGAGTAGGTAAATAATTTCCTTTAATCATTGTGAAACCTACCTTCATCTTCATCTTTATAATATCCACTAATAGGAAAGGCTTGCGAACTATTCCAAACATCAAATACTTCGTGCCCCAACCGTTCATAACCTCAATCAATTTATATTTTTATCAAATAGCAGCATTAAAACGTTAAACGACTAAATTACATTAACAATTAATTAACCGACTCAATAGACACTGAACAAAATGGGTTCAATAATTCACTAAGCAAACTTCCATGTTGTTTAGGGTTATAACTATAACGGGACGTGACGCGAGTCATGGCTACCATACTCCAAAAACTGTTCTAAACAGATCATGCAGATGGCAGTGAACATATGATCCTTTCAAAGCCTAATAAAAAGTGTACTATAACCTGTTGGTTGCAATGGATGGTGTATTTATTAAAAACTGAATGCCAATTTTTTTTTTTATGATGCGTAGTTTGATTCTTGTTATTCTATTGTAGAACGACAACTGTGTTAAAATATATGTGTATGGACTTGGAACTCCGTATCATGTAGTTACTATTATGATTTTAGGGTAGTTTGATTTCTGATAAAGTATTATTTGATGGCAGTCGTTACCTCAGAGTTATTATGGAACGCTTGTCATAAATATTTTTATTTAGTGTATTGTCATGGAGTATTAGAATTGTAATCTGTGATGTGACATGATTTCATTCTTATACAAAATAAATGGCTTATTCTGCAGATAAGGCATCTAAGAGGCCTGTTTGGCTTCCACCTACTGTTTCACCTGCAATAATGGAATCTATTGATAATCCCATCTTAATCTATAACGAGAATTATATGGATAAAGGTGAGAGCATGGCTAAAAAGGGGTTGCCTACATTACCTGACATTACTCTAACATCTCAGTTTACATCTTTGTCATTAGCTTCGGCTGATAAAAATGACAACATTAACAGAAGTTTTCTACTCATTGATGGAAAAGAAAGTCTCAAGGTATATAGTGAAAAATCTTATTGATCATTTAAATGGTAGATTTATTCTTCTTGCCTTAACTATCGCTTAATCTCATGCTCATTAGTGATCTCCTGATCATTTTGATGTTTTGTCAATTTTGGATATTATACCTAAAAGCTGTGTCTATCAGTATCCATAACAAAGAAATCTAAACAAAGAATTATCACATTTATATTTTAGGTTTTGTGTTTGATACATTTGTTTTTTAATTTAAATATGAGTATCATAAGAAAAGTTTTCAACTTATTTTATCATTCAAATTCCCTGTATACCTAAATTTATTTTCTTGAGTTTGTATTATATATATTATGTGATGCCCACATTTTATATTAAGTTGATAGGATTCATGTTGCTTTTCTGTCCTATTATTGAGATTTTTTGCTTGTTGGCTGATTTCTTAATTAATTAATCAATTAATTTCTTTGATTTGAGATTTTTGGAGTTGTGTTACTATTTTTTTATTTAAGGACATTTGTTTTAATATTTATCCATCTATTAATTTGTTATCGGATCAACATAGGTTTATAAATGTTATTCTAATTCTTTCTTATCCTTACATGTCTTAGTTCAAATTGAAGGCTTTTCAACAAATCATAGTACATACATATAACTTTATTTTTCTTTATTGGGTCACCCATTATTTACTAAAGTTGTGAAATAAAAATGTATAAAGTCCTGTTAATTTGATTCCTTCTATGAATTATGAATTCATAATAATAAATTTATTAAAATTTTTTTTTTAAACTATTGTCACTAATTCTATGTATGTTTTTCTTTTAGAAATTTTCTTTTCTTATTTCAATTCTCAATTCTGTTTACTTCTACAGTTAAATTTTTTTTTTTTTTGATCAATATTATGTCAGTAGATTATTTTTGCCTATAAAGTATTTATCTAAAATGCCCTTTTGCAATCTCTGGTTTTATCTAGTGTTTAATGATAAGAAGTTTCTATGTGAATTGATAATGTTGGCCACAACTATTAGATAATGTTGTAAATAGAACTTTTTAACCAAATGATATCTTTATTTCATAGTAAAAGCAATTAAAATTAATTATTACTTATCGCACAATTTTTAATTATATTTATTTGACTTTTAATTCAAATTTTATTTATTAGCTGTAACCATATCTATTTAATAATAATGTTAAGGCTAATCATTGAATGTATTTATGTTATAAGATTTCTTGAATATTTCTGTTTTATATTTATTTTCTAAAACTATATTGTATTTTTTTAATGCTGCACGGAAACTTAACTATTGAACCTCCAAGAGCTCAATATAATTTCTGTTTTAGCTTTACCAGGTTGTTTCATGATTTAAATTATTTTTAATGTCCCCTAAAGTATGACAGGTGTTTTTCTCTCTATTTATCACTTCTATCTTACAAAGTGGGTAGTGTTGTTTTTGACATATATTCCATATAATAAAATATTTATTTTCTATTTGCCGACGTTTCAACCTAATAACTAAAAAAAAAAAATTGTCATACCATTTCTATCTTTTTATTTTTTACAAGTTTTCTTTCTCATTTTGTTTATTTTATCCATGTTTAGGCCTGAAGAATGATTAACGCTTAGGCTGAAATATGGACAATAAAATACATTTTTTTTTTTTTTTTGCACTTCACTAACTGTAACCCCCAATCAATTTCTTCTATTAAAAGTATCTACAGTCAACAAATTCTTCTCCATATTATTCAACATAATATTATAAAAAAAAAACATGTATGAATTGGAGGGGCTGTGAAAATGTATTCCTTGTGGGGTATCTCCTGATGTTTTATATGATCCATATAAATACAGCTGTCTAATCTATTTTTTAATTTTTTCTATCCAGCAAATTGTTATTAGATGTCAGAATAATTGATGAAATAATTAAGAGTTCATGTTCACTGGTCTCAGGGGACTTTTAACTCTCACATTAATCCCCTGCCCTCATCTCCTGTCCTTTGAAAACCCTGTACAGCCTAAAAGGCGAGGAAGAGGAGCACAAAAATAAATAAATAAGAATTTCAGAATAATTTTTTTTATACAAGTAGAGAATTTTCATCCCACATCCAACCTACTCTTCAATAGACTGATTCATTTGATTTTAGGGTTTACATATCTTAGTATGGTTACTTTCACATGATTTAGTGTACTGACTTTTTTTGATTTTATATCAAACTGTATTAGATGTTAGACCATATATCGAAAGTATTGATTTTATACCGAACTGTATTAGATATTTAATAATTTAAAATCTAAGAATGATTTTTTATAATTTTTAATAACCTAATTATTCCTAAACTTTTGTAATAGTAAATAAACAGAAATAAATAAATAAATATATATATAAAAACACACATGAGTATAATTATGCAAGTTGGGTTCAATTTGTATTGTAATTTTCCATCTATATATAATTGCTTAACATTCAGGTTTTAAAAAAAAAATTTCCCTTGTATTACATTATTTTGATACTTGTTAAAATTAGAATATATTTAAAGTTGATTGAATAATTTATTAAAATCCAGGCTTAAAACTTCATTTATATATTGTAAAAAATATTTTCCTTTTTTATGTTTATATTTTTCAATAAAAAACATTCCAGGTTTCTTCATCAGAGGAGTTTATTAAAAAACTATGTGTTGATTGTGATGCTAGAGTGAAGGTTGTATCAATATTTGGAAATACTGGTGATGGAAAATCTCACACACTGAACCATTTATTTTTTGGAGGTAACCATTTTACCATTACTTCATCTTCATTAAATAATATTTTTTTAAAAAGGAAGGAGATGGTCCGGGGTTGTGGTCATAAATAGGCTAAATAGTGGTAAAACTATTTTATTGAAAGCCAACATTTCAACCCGACTTTGCAGGTCTTCATCAGGGCTAGAACTGACAAGATACAAAAAGATAGAGAATTGCGGCAATTACATAATATTTAGAAATAATTTGTAAACAATGTGAATAAGCTTATTAAGTAAGTACAATAAAATATGGACTAAGTAAGCTGAGTAACAAGATCCTAAACTAAAGTAAATAGATGCTAACAATTGTTGTAGTGTAATATATAATAAATGAAAATGTGAATATACTTCTATAAAATCTACAGGAGAGAAATAAAATTAGAGACTTACAGGTGTGTTCATCTACGAGTTTCACTTCGAACTGGAAAGGCAGCGGTAAGGATAGTAGGTAAGGGGAAGTAAACTTTGAAAAACCCAGGAAATTACAGTATCTAGAAATTTTGAAGATATGGATGGATACAATGGAAAAATACTATATCTATGAAATATTAAATTATAAATATATAAATATACATATAAAATAGAGTTGACAGATATGAGAGGTATTGCATGATTCTAGATCAGAGTACAATGTGAATAAACCCAAAATTGGCAAAAGTAAAATATAAATATAGAAATAACTTCATTAACATACATACATTGGAGAGCTAACTTAAAAGTATAGAGAGGGAAAAAAAATTAATACTTATAATTATATTTGGTTGTACATATGTAAGAAAATTACATTTGAATATTAGATAATGAGACATGGTTAATAAGTAAAATTAATACAAAGTGGGAAAAAGGATGAGAGATCATACAAAGAAGGAATATGAGAAGTGAAACTCCTAGATGAACACACCTGTAAGTCTCTAATTTTATTTCTCTCCTGTAGATTTTGTAGAAGTATATTCACATTTTCATTTATTATATATTACACTACAACAATTGTTAGCATCTATTTACTTTAGTTTAGGATCTTGTTACTCAGCTTACTTAGTCCATATTTTATTGTACTTACTTAATAAGCTTATTCACATTGTTTACAAATTATTTCTAAATATTATGTAATTGCCGCAATTTTCTATCTTTTTGTATCTTGTCTGTTCTAGCCCTGATGAAGACCTGCAAAGTCGGGTCGAAACGTTGGCTTTTAATAAAATAGTTTTACCACTATTTAGCCTATTTATGACCGCAACCTCTCCTTGACCATCTCCTTCCTTTATAATGCAACGGTCAACTATTAAATATTCAATTAATATTTTTTTAATTTAGCATGAAACTTTGGAATGCTGCAAATTTACGTTTTAATTAAGTATTTATAATTTAAAATTATTTTTTACTGCTATATCTCTTTTGAAAATTAAAACTTAGTTTTTTGTTGATTTTGTTTGGAATGGTTGTAATTTATTTTTACTTTAAAATTGTTAATACTTTATGGTTTTCTAAAAAAGATGTACTTACGAAAACTATAATTGTTACAATTAAAAATTTTAAGACTTAATTACAGCAGCTCTCTGGTACGTAAACAAAAATCTTTACATACCGACTTAGGACAACCAATTATCAACTAACACATATGTACCCTCGACTCCAGATATCATCTTAAACTACACGGACATCACAAAGGACTTTGAATACCAGAGTGCTGAATTGTTAATAGAGGAAACGAGTAAAGTGGAAGTTGAAGGAACTATTTGAAAATTAAAATCTTACAAAGCAGGAAGGACCGATAATATTCCTAGTGAACTAATTAAGACATGCGTGGAAGCTAGAGTTGCTAAAATACATTTGTTGGTTAAAAAGATCTGGGAGGATGAGAAATTCACAAAAAGGATCCGTGAACATATTGTAATAATTATTGAGAAATCTCACTCCTCCTGGTATGCATTAAAATATTCACATTAATCTTTACTAATTGAATCACATAATACACCTAGAAAATTATCAGAGACCATCAATGCGGGTTTAGACAGAACCATTCAAAGGTTCCACTATTGATCAAATATTTTCTTTACAGTAAATATTAGAGAAAAATAGAGTATAATGGTGTTGACCACCAGGAGCTGTATAATATTCTTATTGAACAGGCAATTAAAAAAAAAACTAGTAAATCTTATTGGGATGTGCATGACAGAAATATTTAATAAAAAAAAAAGAAGTTTTTTATTACAGTTTAAAATAAGTATCCCCATTCAGCTATCCTGTTTGATTTAGCTTTAGAATGTGCCATTAGGGAAGTAATGTTTAGCTTAAAAGGTTTGAATCTGGGTGGAACAATGTCCATACTTGGTTATGCTGGTGCTTTAATCTTGTGAACGAAGACACGGATACTATAAAACCAAATATAACAATGTCAATGTGAGCCGGTAATGAATTGATGCTTAAAATTAATATGGATAAGACAGAATATATGGTTAATGCCGAAAATATTGAAAATTTCGGTTATATAAAGAAGGGAATTTGTTTGAACACATAGGGAAGTTAAGTTATCTACGATAAATAGAAAAACTGAAGAGGAGATTGAAGGTGGAAAATATTTATTTTTCTGTGAAAAAATTACTTAGCTCGCACCTCCTGTCCTGAAACTTAAAAATTAAAATTTATTAAACTATCATCCTACCTACTGATCTTTAAGGATACGAAACGTGACCACTTATATTTAGAAATAAGCAACTTCTTAAGGTTTTTGGAGATAAAGTATTGCTTAAAATATTCGAGCTGAAGAAGGATGTCAACAGGAGATTTTAGATAGTTACACAATGCTGAATTGTGAGAACTTTTTTCTTTTTTATTTATTATTATTGGATTATCCCCTACCCACCATTTCTGGCATTTGGGGGGAGGAGGAAGAGGGTGTTCTTGAGGTACAACCAAACCCATTATTACAGAGTGGGAAGGTCAAGTTCCATTCAGTGGGTCCACCACTATGTAAAAGTCAACTCTTCCCAGTCCAGATTTGAACCGGTGTTCCTAGGCACAAGAATGCTACAACGGGCAATGCTCTAACACTCTCGGTCATCACAACCTCGAATTGTGTGAACTGTATGTGGTTAATATAATTGAAGTGATTACATTGTATCAAATAAAATGAGAGTGTAAAATGGTTGGGCTTGATAACAAAAGAATCCCTAAAAGGTTAATATTTGTTGACTTATAAACGTCTGAGGGATAGACTAAAGCGAATGGAACAGGAAGATTGTGTTAAGGCTGGTCTGATAGGACTGGGCTTGGACGGTGGCTGGTGGATGGAGGTGTGTAGACAGAGATTGGTGGTAACATCGAACCTTCGGGTTCGCTAAGCCTTTTATCGTTGTTATTGTTTCTTTGATAATTGACTGTCAGATGGGGGCGGAAAGGCCAAACTGGCTAACACATGCACACAGCACCAGTAACCTGATGGAAGGTAATTTGGTAAAATAATTACGAGTTCATATCCTGGTGCCTGGGAGAGCTTTTAACTCTGATATTAATCCCTCACCCCCTGGCTTAGGAAAACCTCGTATAACCTATAAGATGATGAAGAGAAAAAAAAATTGACAGAATTAGGAAAACCACTTTTTTAAATTACTTCATTAATTTATTTTTCATTATCAATTGTTTGCAGGTTCAGAAGTATTTCCGATATCTGCAGATCAAACCTCTTGTACTGTTGGAATATGGGGAGCATATGATCCTTCTACTTCAACCATCTGTCTTGATACCGAAGGATTGCTTGGTTCAACACTAGAAGAAGTTAGACGTACAAGGCTACTTTTGAAAGTAAACTCAATTCAATATGAATATAATTGTATTTTTCTTTAGTTAATTATTTAACGTTGTTTTGCTTAAGTTATTTTTCATTTTTCCCATGCATAATATTGTAATATTATACCTATGGCTTACCTTTAAATCTTAAAAGAAAAATATTAGACACTTGTCCTGTCCTTTTTTGCAATTGGCTAAAGGTGATCACTAAAAAATTATTTTTTATTGTTTGAAAAAAAAAATTATCTCGATATACTGGGCTGGTTTAGAACAAATATATTTGACATATAACTATTATATGAGAACAATATTAAAAGAAATATTAACTTCGTGACAACTTCACTGATCCACATGAAATCATTAAGGATTTTTAGCAGAAGAAAAGTTTATATTTTTTTTTTCACACTTTGAAAAATTCTCAAAGAAGAATTTTTATAAAAATCGAAAAATTAAAATTTTTGTTACATCAAATGGTACAAGTTCAACCTCTGTAAATCAATTAGAACCAAAGTTATAAAACAAAAAGTTTCTTTAATTCTAGATTTTAAATGAATGAAATCAGTAGTTCCTGAAATTAAACAAGCATTCAAACAAACAAACTTTTGTTTTATATATTAATCTATTGGATATTTATAGATTTTAGACATGTGGAGAAAAGCATGGGGCACAATTAGTGTGGTCATGAAACATCTTGTTCTATTATTTCTATTAAATCCATTTGAAAAAAAATAAATTTTGTTAGATGTAAATGGTTTGTTGATAATTACAATTTCAAAAAAAAAAATTGAAATTATATTATTAAGAATTTTTAAGAATTAGATGTTCTGAATGGCGGTTAAGGATAACATAAAGTAGTAATGGAAATTATCTATTAAATGCCAATACACATTGTTTCATTCTTGATGGAGACTTAAATGTGGGTTGATATATTTGCATTTAATAAATATGAAAAGGAGTAGTATAAATATGGTCTGGGGGTGCGATAAAATAAATACTATATTTTTACAATAGTATTTTAATTATAAAATTGTATTGTAAAAATTTAGTATTTATTTGACCGAATCCCCTGACCAACTCCTCATATTATATCACAGTCAACCATCTCTACACCATCATTTAATAAATAGTTCCCACTACTATTTATATTATTCTTGACATCCACATAGACCTCCTTAAATTTCCATATGATGAACCATCAATACATAATTAAATTGTTTTTAAAGCGAAAACTTCTTTAGGCACGTTTAGCATTTTTTTTGTGGGGAGTGAATGAAACTGAGCCGTCAAGCTCAAGTAAAATTGGCTCTGGTTGACTATTTGATGGGAAATGTTCAACATTTCATCTTCTTTGTAATGATTAGAGACTGGATCACCGTGCAGTAAAAATCCAAAAATCGTGGAACAAAAAACTAAAAACATGCAGTAAAAACTCAAAATATGTAAGATTGTCTAATTTACACTTGAAAACATGCGAAAATCATATTTTTTGTTTAATTTATAATATTAATATGTCGAAATTATATCAAACCTTAAGTTAAACTTCCGAATTAATTTTGTCACAAAAAAACCCAATAAAATGAAACATTAAAAATTAAAATCCATATTACAATCAACTAACTACAATACATAATCTAATACAAAATAAATTACGATTAACCTAAATCTTGAAGAAACATAAATTAAAAAAAAAAATATATAAAGACTAGCATAAAAAATAGAAAATTTAAAGATAATTGACAGAACAAATACAGATAGGATTAAATAATTAATAAATATCTTTATTTAAATTTCCCTCAAATTGGTTAATTGCCTAGCAAATACAAGGAATGAAGTAACGTAGTAGAACTTAAAAAGATTAAAGATATGAAGGATAATATATTATATATGCCAGACCAATAGAATTCAGATATTTAATTTTAATTAAAAATAATATATGCACACCCATAATTATAAATTGTCCACATTATTATAAAAACTTTATTTTTTAATCGAGTTGAAATTTACAATGTTATACATTTCGAAATTTGTTTCTGAAAAATTGTTTCTGATATCACTCAATATGTCTTTTAATTGAGAAAAAGAGCGTTCAACATTAACTGATGTAAAGGGATTCATTTTGTAACAAGCAAACACTGCTGGCTTGTTCTTTGTCAACTTTAACATGTAAGCAGTTAATGCAGTCATTATATTTTTTTATAAGAGCGTAACCTGTATTTTTTCTATTATGGAGTAACATTTTTATTGATGCCATATTCATAATAGTCTACGATTCCCATCAAAGCTGGAAGAATACTGAAGGACTTAAGAAAGAGTGAGAATCCAAGTCGAAACAAGGAAAGCAGTTTTTTATCGAATTACTTCAAGCAACTTCTATTCCACGAATAGTCTGCCTGCACTTGTGTTTATTTCGTCCTTTTGTAACTGTAAATTCGAATTTTTGCCTGTCACAGAATCATTTACCTTCCTTCATATATTTTTTTTTTTCTTGAATTATAAATTTAATATGAACAACATTGTAAAATAAAAAAGTTAATATTTATACACACACACACGTATATATATTTATATTTATAAATAATTTAATCTAACACAAAATGTACAAAAATATCCAATTTAATGCAACAAAAATCAAAATCGTACAATCTCATACAATATAAAATTTTTAATATGTTATACTACAGATCCTAAAAAGGGATAGATATTTGGGTTCGGAGTTTTTACACGTTAGCGAATAAAATGTGCAATAACAGAGAAATCGGTCTCTAGTAATGATCTATTATTCCAAATTGTATCTTAATGTGACACCATGTTAGAGATGTGAAAAAAAAAAAAAAAAAAGTGTCTAAAACCAAATGATAATGAGTTTTATTGAAGATATGAATTAAAATATCTCAAGAACTAACTATCAGACCTGGCATGCTGCAAGCGGGAAAAATGTTCAGCATTTCATTCTCTTTGTAATGAGATATAAATCAAAATTTTATTTTGATGTGAAGCCGAATCAGAATCGGAAAGGGAAAACGATTACAAAAAACCAAATAAGAACGACTGTTTTGAACATTTTGACTAAAATATCTCAACATTTTAATACCATTGAGAATTCAGAAACTGATTTGTTGAAGTTGGTATAGATATTTTTTAGCAACTATTGAATATCAGAGGCTTCTTTTAGTTGTTTCCCAAATACAACAAATAATTGTTTTTTTTAATTTAGTCTTTGTTAAAAATAATGTAAAAGTATAGTAAATTTTAACTTAATTATTATTCAAGATTTTTCACTTAATTAATTTAGATCTTTTGAATGTCTGTTTTTAGGTGCTGGCTATATCAGATGTCATCATATACAGAACCAGGAGTGAAAGATTACACCGTGATCTGTTTACATTCCTTGGTTCAGCCTCCAGGGCCTATTCATGTCATTTTCAAAGTGCTCTTGAATCTATCAACAATCGTTCCCATTCTGCTTCGAAAGGATTGCTTGGTCCTGCTGTTATCATTTCTCATGAAACTAGAAATACCAAACCTCTTACGACAAGTTAGTGTTTATCAACATCTCTCTTAGCTCTAACCATGGTTATAAAATTTAAGTTGACTGTTGAAATTATAAGGATGAAAAAATTGTCAGGATTTGCAGTCGAAATTCCTTTAATGAGTTAGCCGACATTTCGATCTAAACATGTGGGTCATCACCCACGGCTAAAAATTAAATATAAAATAACATCAGAAAAATGTTAAATATTAATAAATTGTTAGATTAATAAGTGTGAAGAATAACAATAACAAGATAATAGTAATAAAAGTAAATAAATAAGATAATAATAATAAGAGTAAAAAATAAAATCAGAAAAATAATAAAGACCTATTATTATTATTATTATTATAATTATTTGATTCAAACACTTTATATTTTTAATTATTTGGTAGCTTCTGTAGGAGTAGTATTTATTTATTCAAGTAATGAAAAAATAAAAATTATTTACTAATACTACTTACAATAATGGTTCTAACCTTAACAAGCCTGCTCCATCTCTGCCCGTCTTGGGCCATTTCTTTCTATTTATTTGCACACAGCTCTATTGCATCTTTGTTGATTCCATCTATCCATCTGCTTTTTGGCTTCCCACTTGGTCTTTTACTTTCTGTTGAGGCTTTCGTTGTTACGTAGAGGCTTCCAGATGGATTGCTACGAGCTACATGCCCCGCCCATCTTAACCACCATGCCTTCATATCATGGGATTTTAAAATACCAGTTTTTGTTAACAGTTCTTTATTAGTCTTTCTTCTTCGTGTGTTAGTACTCTGATCCCAGATCACACCGGTTATCGTGCGGAGAATTTTTCTCAAATCTTTCAACATATTTTTCTAGGGTGCAGGTTAGTGTCCAGGTCTCACAACCATATATTAGAACTGGCTTTACCATAGCATTGTACACCCTTAATTTGAGATTCTTTGGGATTTCAATACCTTTGAAAAAGAGAAGAAAGCTTTATTTGCGCTAGTTATACCCTGGTGTATTTCTGCCTATTGATCATTCTCATTGAGGTTATTGTCGAGCCGAGGTATTTGAATTTTTCTACTCTTGGGAATGATTTTCCTTATACGCAGACTAGTGTTTGGGTATTTAGTAGCAATCTGTTTAATTTAAACAGTTTCTTTCATTAAACAGATACAGTAAACTGTTTCAATCGAGATTAAACAGATACCAGGATTACATTCCAGTGCTAAAATCAGTGCTGAGCTTATTGATGCCATCAAATAGATTTCTAAACAGAGCAAAACAAAGCCATCAATGAACTCAGTGCTGAGTTTAGGAACCTACCCAAGACAACTCACTTTACAAGTTAGTAGGTGGAGACAGCGATCCCGACGGGAAAAGAAGGAAACACTGAATCTGTTTAATTTAAACTGATACAGAAACCTGTTTAATTTAAACAGATACAGAAACAGTTCTCAGTTCAGTTCTATTTGTTCATTAATAAATTTATATAATACCTTTAAAAAATGTTATAATTCAAAACTATAAATTTAATGTCACTTTGACTTTTATCAGCAATTATAAATACTTTTTTTTTCATCCCACAGTTGGTATTTTATGATAAAATTAAAAAGATGTGATTAAATTTAACATTTAAATTGATAAATACTTTGAAGACACTTCATCATTTTTCTTTTCTTTGCTTGTCGAATTTCGAAACAGTCATATCTGTTTTTTTTAAACTAGCAGAAACTGTTGCAACTGCTACTGATGTTAAACAGCTTTGCCCATCACTAACGCAGACACAGAACGCAGGATGGAATTTTCGGCTTATCATATATTTTGTTTTGTCTTCATTTACTAGTTGGCCGATTTGCTCTGCCTCCGTTATCATAGTCTTAGCAATTTTCTCAATGTCCTCTTGATTACTTCCTAGGACAGCTATGTCATCCGCGGATCTAAGGATTTTATGATTCCAAGTTATTCTAACCATTAAACAGATCAATAAAGTCATGATAAATTCAATAATAATTCGACAGCTATATTTTTCCCAGGGATGGTTGCTGTCAATATTATTACTCAAAATTTATTTCTAACTATAATCCTAATAAAAAAAAAAAAAAGAGAATATAAGTAATAGGAGCTTAAAAAATAGGAGTATTAATGTGATACATTGTATCTTACTTAATAATGTAATTCTGTTTTTAGGTAGTGTAGAGAGTCCAGAAGATATTTTGCGAACTAGATTTCTCAAGTTAAATCTTGACATAGATGCCTTTAGTTCCTTGACGTATGTTGGCCAGCAAACAGTTGAACTTCCAACTCAATATAATATGTTGCGAAGAACTGTTATTTCGGAACTTTCTAACACAGCAGTTCGTTCACCTAGGAGTCCTAAATTTGTATTTTCTACATTGAAGGTGAGTGACTGCTTGTTTTAAATTGCTTTTAATAGCATGTTTTACTGTCTATTTATGTTAAAAAAATGTTAATGTTTTTATAAATTAATTTTTGAACTTTAGTGAGAATTCAATATTATAAATTTGCAGGCATTGAATGATAAATTTAATGGTGCAGTAAAACAGAATGTTGAGATTTTTCCTGATGAATATTTCACTTGCCCCGCTGCATGCCTTTCATGTGGCGCACGTTGTCAATCTAGTATGGGTCATGAAGGAAACAACCCTGATCACAAATCTGATACCAATTGCAGGTTCTCATTTTATAATTTTCTTATATTGTATCATTGTAATGGTAGTATAATTATTCTAAATGGTCCTTATTTTATACATAAAATAATATTTCTGAATTCTTGTCTGTTACATTTTCATAAAATGACTGAACTAGTTTTTTAAGCAAGAAGGTTCAAACAACATTCACCAGCGTTCACCATCAAAATGCTGGAGAATCAAGAACCTAGATATATATTTTTTTTATGCTGTTCATAGAAAATATGACAATGGAACTTCATGTTATTTATAACCATCATAAGGTTTTAGCAATATTAAACTTTTATCTACAATCTTGAAGTAAATGAAACTGAAATTCAATTTGATTTTATTTATCTGAAAATCAGATCCATTGGAGGTCTCTTATTAAGTAGTCTTGTATCTTGGGAAGACATTTATAATACAAATGATTCTAGCCAAGGTGAAAAGTTAAACCAAAATAGCCTAGGATGTAATACACTGTTTCTTCTTTTCTTGAAACATTGGTGGAATCCCAATAACATATTTCCTTGAATTCATGAGCTCTTGAACTCAGAGGGGCCTATCTCCCTCCCCCCAAGGCCGATAAACCTTTCCCCACCCCTCTCAAGATATTTTATTCCTCTCTTCCTCTTAACAGTGCAAACAAAAGTAGAATTTAAATTTTCGTAGATTATATACAATTACACATACTTCGGTCTGTTCCATGCTTCCATATAAGTGTGTCTTTTAATTTGATACTTTTCATTTAGAAAATTCATATCCCCATTGAAATGTGCCTCCCTCAAAAATTGAAAACCTTGTCAAAAAGTGTCCCCCTCATAAATTTTGATAACACCATTCTCACACCAATCAATGACCAAGTTGCAGAAATTTAGACCAAGATGTAGGCAGGAAGGTCCTATTTCAGCATTAGGATGTGCTTTCAAAGTAACCCTGTTTTCACTGGATATACGGCTGTTGGAGATCGTGTCAGAATTCTCAATGACTTATCCAGACTTAATAAAGTAAACATTGAATCACTCTGGAATACATGATAATGAGATGGCGGATGAACTAGCTAGACTAGGCTCACAGATGATACCTATAGCTCCTGAACCCATCTGTGGAATCAGTCAATGTCTAATAACAAACAGAATTGGGGAGATCTACGGTGCTAAAGGTAAAAAGAACTGGTGCTTGAAAAACAGACTCTTTCAAAAAAGTGAAAGGAAATCTGTCGAAAAAGAAGTAATCTACTAATTAATCTGAGCACGAGCTCACTTAAGAAAATTATAGCGGCATATACTGGGCATTGTAAACTGAATTATCAAATGTTCAATCTACAGCTCACAAAGTCGTCTCTTTGTAGGTTCTGTGGCCAGGAGAAAGAGACAGCTTATCACATTACTTGTTGGTGCGACAGATTTGCTGGACTAAGATTCCGATTATTCGGCATTGATAGGGTGACTGATCCCAAGGCAAACGAGTTCATCAATCCAACAAGCTTATTACAGTTCATTGAGACTGCAGAAATTACACTCTAAACAGGAGTGACTTTAATAAAGATGTACAATAGGCCGCACTCATGCCGCTTTAAAAAAACCAAAAAAAAAACCCTGTTTCAACCGGTAGAGTTCTGTGACTGCTTCCCGATTATCTGCAATAGCTTGTAATACATTCTTGAGGAAGATAGCTTATCATATTGTATGCTTTGTTTTTATTCCTTACATCCTCTTAATTGATTGATTTAGCTGAATCTGCTCCAGTTACCATTTATCGTATGTTTTGCCACCGCCTTCAATAAGTCCCAAGATTAAAAGCTCTCTATTATAGGATGGACAGTTTTCTATACTGATAGAAAGGGATTTTATTCTGATTTTTCACTCATGGGCTGGTATAGGATCTGAGGACCCAATAGTTTGTTTCTCAATATCTGGAGAGAATGGACAACCAACACTATTAGGAGGTTCTTTAGTAAAATCACACTTAAAAAACCTATTATTTATGGCTTTTTAAAGTATAACATAGGTATGCTATGATTTTTACATCATTAGTATTCCTAATGAATCAATATTTAAAAAATGAAGAACAGTCATATAAATGATTTAAGACTTTGTGGTATTTCTTGGGTAATAAGTAAATATGAAATCTGAAATCAAATCTTGTAAGATAATGTGTCAAAATACAGCATCAGAACTTTTAGTTAATTGTTGATATCTCAAAAACTGTTGAGACACCACTACTGACAGTCGTTTGGTAAGAAGTCCTTTCTTGGATGAGGCAAAGTTTCTGAAATATTTTGTATGACATATATGATGTTCTATTTTATGATATGAATCCGTCTTACATATTTTTTTACTATACCAAGTTTTTTTAATGAAACCAGATGTTTCATGATAATCAAATGATCTAATGGATGGAGATGAGTCTCCTAACTTCTGGCAGTGCTAGATGAAATACCCTAATGAAGACCTACAAAGTAGGTCGAAACAGCAAATGTATTAAAGCACTACAATAGTATATAGCATGTCTATTGACCGCATCTCCAACTAACTTCATCCTAGATCTGACGGGTCATCTGGTACAGTTTCAATGATAGAAAGATATTATTTCAGGTTTGACTCACTAATATCAGATTGTTCCTTCATTAATAAGCAGACCCTACACGGTAATTCATGTATGAACGTCACAAGAAGTTCCAAGATTGCCTGCGATCGCTTTGATCATGAAGAGACCCTTACACGTTCAATCATTACTGATCATTACTTATCGTTGCTGATACCAATTTAGCTCAGTTGTAAACAAAGAAACAGCATAGATATGCTTATTTGGACATTGTCATTTATAATATTGGGCATCAAGAGAAAAACGGAGATATAATAATTTCTTCCTAATGCCTGAAAATCGTTTAGATCGAAGTTAGTAAAATATAAGTCAACTACATACAAAAATCTAGGAAAAGTATTGTGAAAATAATCAATTTGTTAAGAAAAATGGAAAAATTAATGGCAAATAAACACAACAGTTAAAGATTTTTTTTCTATAAGTAAATTGTGAAGTTTCCACTTTTTCTCTTCAATTTATTGCCTACTTGACTACTTAAAAAAAAAAAGTTGAAAATGGTTAATAATAATATAGACTAAGGATATAAACAACTATTTACTTAATAACGAGACCTAGGTAAACTAACCTATCTAGTAGTAGTCTCATAGAAGGTTAGTCTCATAGAAAATCGTTTTGACAAAAGTTAGTAAAATATAAGTCTACTACTTACAAAAATTAAGGAAAGGTATTGCGAAAATAATAAATTTGTTGAGGAAAATGGGAAAAGAACTGATAAATATACACAACAATAAAGTTTTTTTTTTTCCTAAAGTAAATTGTGAAGTTTCCTCATTTTTTTTTTTTAATTTGTTGCCCATTTGACTATTTAAAAGAAATAGTTGAAGATGGTTTAAAATTATAAACAAGGGATATGAAAAATTATTTAACTATTTACATATAATGAAAATCAGAAATTTATAATGATTGTGAGGCCTAGGTAACCTAACCTATCCAGCAGTATGGTTGGTCTCCCAAGCCCATATGTTTAGTCGGTCTCCCCTCCACTTCTCGTGAATGAACCTTTGATTTCCGGATGTTCGGAAATCTGCAGCGCACCACCATCAGTACTTCATTCACTACCTTACACGACAATTTGGAACGTCATTAGTGCAATTCCGATTGACCGTGTAGGGGACCCTATACTTCCTTTATCTCAAACTTTATTAGTATTCTGAGTTATTAGAGCTGCATTATTGCTGAGTGAGAGATTATACATGTTATATGATATTTATTTTTTATATTTGATCAAAATTTTGGAGAATTTAATATATTGAAATCAATATATTTCTATTATGATTTGTTTGTTGCTTGTGGGTGAATAATTACGATCCCAAATTCTTAAAATCTGTTACTAATATTAAAGTTTATCATTTTATTTTGGAGTATAATTTTAATTATGATTTCCCAAACTATAATTTCAAAACTTTTCCTTTCTGTAGGTATACCCATCAATATGAGAACATTAGATACATTTGCAAAACCTGTTACAAGAATGGGAAAGAAATTATCGTCAAGCCTGAGGCTTTTACTAGCAATGAAAGCTCATGGTTCAGCATTGCTAAGTATGCTTGGTCTGGGTAAGTTTCTGCTATACAATTGTTGGATTGTCATTTTATTCTCATTAAATGTGTTATTATTAGTGAACTGTATCATAATATCTAATTGTTTATTTGCTGTTAGTTTATTATGTTTTTAAAATGCAGAGATATCGTTTTTAAATATTTTTCCTTATTAAATCTATATGCAATCCATTTCAATGGAGAAGTTCTTAGGATAGATGTATTTTTAAGAAATCTTGATCTTGTATCTTCTATATTATAGAGCTAAGGATGCTAAAGTAGTTTATAAATGTATTGTATAAAAGTTTATTGATTATAATAATACTTCATTTATTCTGGGATGGCTCCCTTTAGAATAATACAGAAAGACCTATGTCTTGAAATGTGGACAATGGAGCCTCAGAGATACATAAAAAATAATCACAAAGTAAATAAATAGTCATAATAAAAAAAATATAAGTTACTTTCCAGCCTAAATCAGTTAATAAAAAAAAAAAAAAAAAAAAAATAGAAAAAACATGAAGTAAAAATAATTAAGACCTTATTTAAAAATATTTTAGACCTGTCTCAAATAGACATATAGTTAAAAAACAAAACAACATTTTTATATTTATCTTATTGAACATTTACTAAATCTAACAATGGAGTACACAGACAAAATAATTATATTGTATAATGGCAAGATTATTTTTATGAACAAAAGAAAATAATGAAAATTTGATAATTAAAAAAAAAATTATCTTTATTTTCAGTTATGTGATAGAATGCCCAAATTGTGGAGAGATTTATAGGAGCAGACAGTATTGGTTCGGTAATGTGTCTCCAGAGCTGAGTGCTGTTCGGACAGAAATTCATCATATTTGGCCAGGGGTGAATATTGTTTTTTCTGTTGATTTATTGTTCGTTTTTTTAATTTATATATTTGTTTGCAATAATTTTGTTGTTCAAGATGAGCTGTTACGGCGTCAGCTGTCAAAATTCTGCTCAACGAGTGTTAGACAGCGTCACTGCCCTTACTGAAGTTGTTGCCTCTGTCTCCGCTACACCGACAAAAGCTCTTGGTTCTTGGGTCGCTGATCAGATAGCTCCCAAATATTGGAAACCAAACCCTCAAGTAAAAGTAATCTTTGATTTAGAGTTTTAAAAGATCTGAATACTTATCTTTCATAATTTTATATAAAATTTCATTTTTGTTTTAATCGTTTTTGTTATTTCCTGTGATCATTTTCTTACAATGCACTCTACACAAATAATCCAGATTATTAATATAAATATCTAATCAAACAAAAAAGTAAAAAAAAATTGGTTATATTTATTATTATTGTTTTCAACTCATAATTTAACATCCGCAATTAATTAGAAAATTTTCACATTTATCATTTGAAGAATAATTTATTTAAAAAAATATTGTTTACTTTTCAAGTTGAACAGTCACATATTCTGTGGTATTGGGTATAATGAACATTAATGGTGGCACTGGCCAATATATAATATTGTTTTATGTTAATTTTGGTGATCAAATTCAAATTGTCTAATCTACAATCTGTGAATAATTATTTATTAATTTAATGTAGAAAAAAATATATGCTTTAAAAAAAAATAAAGGCTGAAATCTATGAAGAAACATTTGTTTAAAATCATAATGGCAGTGCGGAAGAAAGGGAGTTTTTTTTTGGGAAGAGAGACAAAAGAGAAAAGAGTGTATATTCAGTTATGTGTTAAAGCACAATAAAGAAAAACTAATGTATTTAGTTGTTTATTAAAGTACAACAAATACAAATTTGTGTATTCAGTTATATTTTAAAGAGAAATAAGAGATAGCTGTGGAATGCATTGCTGCTTTTATCAACATAGGAATCATTGTATTCACTATTATTCGCATTTGATTTTTTTTCTTTCATTAGTTCATTATTTTTTGTAATAGATTGTATATTGATAATTTGTTTTTTTTATATCTTCATATAATCCACCTGGACCAATATTTATACATCAGCGATTTGCTATATTTAATGTTTCATAATATTCAATACAATCTCTTTATATTCAACAAATATAGGATTGATTAACTTATATTGATAAAAAATTATCTTTTTAATTTTAGATATACAATTATTTTCTTCTACTTTGTAGATGTGTGCAGTTTGTTGCATCCTCTTTACTCCTGAAATGACGAAGCATCACTGTCGAGCATGTGGCGAAGGAGTTTGTGCCGACTGTTCTACCCAAAACAAACCAGTTCCTGAGAGAGGCTGGTCTTACCCCGTGCGAGTCTGTGATAAATGCGCAAGGCCGCCAGCCGGTAAGACGTCCTCCTCGACTAAAGAGCAATGGGTCGTTGCTAACTACCCTGACAGAATTTTAGTAGTTACTGATGAGGAGGCGTCTCAAGTCCCAATGCTGGAAAGTCAGTGATATTCAACTTCCAAAAATGCTAATTAACTGTCCATTATATCACTTCTGCACTAATTATATTACAGCTCTATTTTATTATGTAATAATCATTCATAATGAAGAGAAGAATAGTTGGGGTGTTCAGTCAAAAAGGAAGGCAAAAATAAATTATAATATTTATTTTTTACATTGGCGAAAAATTGATAAGAGTCTGAGAAGTTGATAAGAGTCTACAAGTTGATAAAAGTCTGAGAATTTTATACGCATACCTCTCCTGTGTTTATCTTCTCAATCAGCTTGATCTTGCCAATCAATTAGTTGTATATTGGCTAATTTTCTGTAAAAATAATGTAAATGTAAAAAATAGATGTAAATAAATCTTTTTCATTTATTTTAACTATTTTCTCTAGTCAACAGAATTTTATAATTATTTTTATTGCTTTTTAATTATTTTTATAATTAAAGATTGCCTTCTAATCATTCAATGTGTCTTTTTGCTGATTGTTCCAATTTGAATTTTGAAACATTTGAGTGGAGCTAGTGGGAGGATTCCTTGGAGTTAGGAGGATTTCAAGGATCCTTCTGATAATTGCTCCACAATATTACATTTCATTATTTAGAACATAGAAAAAAAAAGTAAAAAATAAATATTATAATTTATTTTTGCCTTCCTTTTTGACTGAACACCCCAACTATTATTCTCTTCATTATCCACGACAGTCAACCAATTACCAATTATGAATCATTCATAATGATTGATTAAAAAAGAATAATCTAGGTACTGGTCTATTATAGGCTTCCTGCCAATCTAAATCTTCAACTTATCTTCGTTATGTTTACCATCACTATCTTTATTTGACAGAAAGTTTAAATTAGTTGGATATTGAAACTTGAAATATTCATGAGAAATTTTTCTTTTTTTTCGTGAAATACAATTATCAATAGAATTTTTTAAAAAATAAGATAGTATTTTTGAATTGAATTTAAAAAAAAAATAAAACCGAACAATAAATTGATGATTTCTATTCTCATTTACTTACTTAATTAATTTTGGATTTTGGAGTCTTAAGAATTTTATACGCATACCTCTCCTGTGTTTATCTTCTCATCAGCTTGATCTTGCCAATCAATCAGTTGTATATTGGCTAATTTTCTCTAGTCAACAGAATGTTATAATTATTTTTATTGCTTTTTAATTATTTTTATAATTAAAGAATTGCCTTCTAATCATTCAATGTGTCTTTTTGCTGATTGTTCCAATTTGAACTTTGAAACATTTGAGTGGAGCTAGTGGGAGGATTCCTTGGAGTTAGGAGGATTTCAAGGATCCTTCTGACAATTGCTCCACAATATTACATTTTATTATTTAGAACTTCTTTTTCTTTCGAAGGATGCCAGTATAAATATTTAATTTCTAAATTCTATATGATTATTTTTTTTTTGAGTGTCAATGGATGACTGGCTTTGGTAGTTTCTCCAGTTTACTGACAGGTAGTTGTTCATTATTCTACAGGTTATTGAATTTTTCTTACATATTTTGATTTATTATTTTTCAATTATTAAGAAAGTTGTATTAACACTCGGAATGCTAAACTTTTCTACTCACGATCCTCAGTTAATAATTTCAATTACAGCTATTTCAATAAAATGAAAAAAAGTTGGCAACCACAAATTTTAGAATATCCGCTGGAAGTAAATTTAAAAAAAAATCTTCTAATGGAAAACAACACTTTTTGAATTCCCATAAGATACCAAAGAACTCTTTAAAACTACAAAAAACAATCTTGGTTTATATTAACTATGTTAATATTTAGGGTGGCCACAGATGTTCGTTTCACCCCAAGTTGAATGTGGAGGAAACATGAATGTGGAAACCTATCTGCCTGACATTTGCTCCTTCTCCAATCCAATCAGGTTTCTGCATTCAATCAGTTGAATTCATTGAATTTTGGGCTTGCATAATGAGGTTTGGGACTGTTGGAATTCCAACCACTCCTCATCACTCCAAAAATTAAACTCGAGTTTTCACACTCTTGGTCGCTCCATATTCTATTCATCTTTGAACAGTTGAAGGGTAACTATTGTCATTGGCCAGGCTTAAAATAGCTTTTGAACTATTGTATTTTTATGACTTTTGGTTTTTGAGAAAAATTAACAAAAGAGTAATAAATAGGGAAAAATAATAGGCACTACATAGTGCAAGAACTAAATCAGCAATGCATCTTAATAGCATTAACTTAGGTATAGCACCATTTATCTTTTTGATTTTAGCTCTAGGTAAAATTATAGATTTCCACCTCTTTGCTCTACATGTTTTGGATTAGAGAAACTCCAACGGGTCTTTGGTCTATGATGTTGACGTCTTATTTATTTCTGATAGTTTTCAATGATAGTCAAGCTGATGTGTAATAATTATCAATAAATATTAGAAAAAAAAAGGGTTGAGGCTGTTGATTGAAGTTCACTCGATGAACTATAAATGACATATTTCTTTTAATTTTTCTGACAATACGGACATTTCTTGGAAAAAAAAAAATGTAAAAAAACTAACATTAAGAATTCCTGAATTAATTTTTCATAACCTATGTTTTAACTACAATAGAGAGAAAATTTTAACTTCATCTTAGTACAATTTTAACTTATCCTGGGCTTGCCAAATTCCTGTGGATGAGCTATAGTAGCAGTAGCTAATTAAAATTTTGAGTTCGACCCCTATAATAGATCAGCCCCAGAATAAAGGTAAAAATAAAATTTTTATGCCCATTTTTTATCTGGCTTTTATTTAATTGTTGTTTTTATTGTATTGATATTATTGGTGATTTGAAAACACATTTATCAACCCATCCCTTATCTAAAAAAAAATATATTTATTTACAGTTTAAATAAAAGTTACAGATTAATCCAATCATTTTGAAGAAATATGAGCAAATAAATTTATTATCTTTTGCCTTTTATATATTTGTGTAAAAGAACTTATATTCAGTAATGAAGTGGTTGTAATTTCATCTTATATACTGAAATATTATTTCATCTTCTTATCTTAAAATGATAAAGTTGTTTTGTCAGCTGTTTTTTATTTTTTTAATTTAATTTGTTCTGTTATTAACAACAAACATTCCTCATTTTTATTGCATCTCTCTCGGTCTGCTTAAAAGGAATGAATATACTAAGTATGGGGTTTAAGTTCCCTAAGATGTTGTATGAAGTTGTACATTTTATGCAGTTGGGACCTCATATAAAGTCCTGGCAATATATATTTTAGCTTCAATCCTTTGGGATAGTAAAATTAGAAATTTAACACGTTATCAGAGATCCTATAAAATATCAGATATCTTATGTGTTTAATTAAAACTAAATAGTTAATCTATTCAAAATTACTCATAACTGGGCTACTAAAACCTGTTATATTTTCTCTCACAAATGTATTCCTTCTCTTGAGATTTTACAATGATGTGACCTTATGTCTTAATATCTTAGACCGATTACTTTTGTTGTATTAAATATATCAAGAACTATGATCTTCAATATTTTTTTGTATTTGTATTTCATTATTAATGGATTTGGAAAATAATTTAACAGAATTATTTCTTTAAAAAAAATATTTTCAGCTGACAAAACATTGCTATAACATATTCAGTTCTTTACTATTTTGGCCATGTTAATGTTAATGTAAAGAACTCCATAAATTTTCTGAACCTAAAGATATTTTTTACAGTATAAGAATTTTACTGTAAAGTGGGATATGGGACACCTCGACTTATGTATATGCAATAATTATTAATAATAATATATTTTATATACTATAATTACAAATTACTATAATTATATTCTTTACAGATCCATCTCTTCTTCCGACTGATGAAAATGAAGTAATTGCCAGAAAAGTCACTGAAGCAGTTGTTACTACATTTTCATCGGTAGCATCAATTTTAGAATATCCTAAAAGTAAGTTGCTAATTTTCGAATTGTTTTTTGTTTATTTATGTGTCTTTTTAATATTGTGTTGAAAATATTTTTTTTTATTTCTAACTATGGCAAAGATACAAAGAGAGTTTGTGGATATGTTTTTGAACTAACAGCTTGACTGATTTTTACGTTTTATGGCTCAAATGGGAGAAATTACAGATGTAGGTTCACAATATCAATGAAAAAATTTTAAAGGTGCTGGATCAAAAAAATTAATAACATATTAAGGGGTTCTTGCTGATGTGTCCTAGGAGTTGGGAAAAAAAAAAAATATAATTTTTACACCTTTTTATATAATTGTTTTTTGCTTTTGCTCTGCACCTGTTGTGTGGTCATTATGTACCAATCAATTTCTTTTTTTTTTTTTTGTGTAAAATATGAAAAATATATTTCTAATTGTATAAATGAGTATTGAAATCATAAAACCGAAAGTCGCTAAGAAAATAGGCCTGATCAATTCAAAAGTAAGTTAGATTCGGTTTTAGCAGCTTTTAAAAGTTATAATACAAATTTATATAGAAAAAAAAAAATAAATAAATTAATGATTTTGATTTAGAATTGATTTTTGGATCATGGTAGTATTCTGTGTTGATAGATATGTCGGCAGTGTGAAAGTTGTTGGTGTTGGCATCAAATCACGTGATCCTAGGGCCTCTTATAAATATCTATGTCTTTATTGTTTTTTTTTTAATTATTAATTATTTTTTAACAATTGTTAGATTATTAAAATTTTTGTCTTACTAAATATTTGTAAATTATAATTTTTTTTTTAAAAGGTATGATTAAAGAAACGGCTAGACCAAGCTATTGGACTCCTGATTCAGAAGCTAGAGAATGCTGTGTATGCACAGCTTTATTTACTCTAGTGGGTGGGAAAGCAGAACTTCATCACTGCCGTAGTTGTGGTGGTGCTGTGTGCCTTTCCTGCTCTACAGCTAGAAAACCAGTTCCACATCGTGGTTGGCATTCACCTGTCAGAGTCTGCGACAATTGTGATAAAATGACATAATCTCACTATATCCATTTGTCTAGAGAATTCAACTTAAATTAGTTAGCTGGTTAGCCTTTCGAACATGTAGTTACACTCTGAACATAAATCAAATTGTATTATTTGGCCATTTCATGAATTAGAAAAAGCTAAGTGTTAAAATTGTAGGTATATTAAATAAAAGTTATTTTTGATATTCATTCAAACTTGAAAGAAAAAAAAAAGGTATAAGTAATTTTATCAGTTTTATAGACATCATGTTACAACTGCCATAGCTTCTTAAATATTCTACCTGCCAATTTTTAAAGGACATTTAGTCAGATGGAATTAAAGAAAGAAATATATATATTTTCTAAGACATTTTTGCCAATTTGATATAGATTTATAATTAAGTATTCAATGAATTCTAAAAGTATTTTTTATGCCTACATAAGTAAATTGTTGTTCATTAAATTTCTCATAGGTTCTATTTGTTACTGGGGAAAAGGTAGATAAGTTCCAAAACAGTTTATTTAGTAGATAGAATTTATTTTATTTTTATCTAATACCCCCCTCCATTTTTTCAAATCAAGGATCAATAATTTTCACTGTTGTTTTGAATTTTTCATTTTAGTCATAATTCTTTCATTCTTATAGTTATTAACTAATGTTTTGTAAATTGGTGACTTATACAAACTACGCAACATACAAAATGTTAGTTTCATGGAAAAAGTTAGGAGTTTGATGGCATTTAGATTTTTTTCTCATTTATTTGATATAGTTTATAGTAGTGGCCATACCATAAGCTTTTTTCTTATTTTTAAATTAATTGGCTATTTATTGATTACCTGATTTTCTTTCTTTATAATATTTTGTATTTTTGTATATATTTACTCACCATATCAAGGGACCAATTGTTTTCACTGTCTGAATGAGTCTGTTGGATAAAGTATTAAGATCTTACATGAATAATTATTTATTGTCATAATTGTATATGATAAAAATTAAGTTTGCAGGAGTAGTTTCATATTTTGGTAATCCATTTACCTTGATACTGTCTAAGTATATCAGTTGGGATAGGGTTCAATAATAGAAGGAGTGAATCTAGTATTTTGACAATAAAAAAAAATAATAATTTTAATAAAACAGTGATTATTGACTGATTTAATTGTATATTTGTTGGCATGGCTGTTTTTTTATTGTTCCTCTTAATACTTTGTTTTTTTCTTAAAACCCTTTAAAAAAATCAACAGTGATATAAAATATATCAGTAATTAAATAGTTGACTTAATCCATAAGTAGTTCTTGATTGAAAGTTTTCTCTGTTTTTTTGGTCCTTGATTTGTCATCTTTTGAATAAAAGTTTGAATAATGAAAGAATAAAAAAATTGACATTCTAGCAATCGGCTATTAGTAATATTTGTATTTTTTTATGACTAACATGTTTTGTGTTTTAGTAATTTGGTAAGTTTAGATGTTTTTATCTTGAGGCTGTTATTTCATTAGCATTAGTTTTTGAATGTGGTTTTGGAAAACTGTAATCTATGATGTAAATATTATTGTTTATGTAAACTAAGACTGCAAAATTATTTAAAATATAGAGAACAAAATTCCATTAGAGTAGGAATGATTTTCAATAATTTTTATAAGTTGGTAGTGTGTAGGTTAAGAATTATAATAGCAAATGATCGAATATTTTACAATACTTGTGTTAGTTCGAACAATTTTTTTTTCGATTAAGGTTGGTTTGACTTTTAATCCATTTTTTTAAAAATCATTAAACATTGAAATTAACTGTCATTCTATTATGCATTTTTATACTACATTTATTGGTTTTATTGTGTTTGATTTTATTTCTAACGATACATTTTGTTCAAAAAAAAAAAAAAAAAAATTTGGTTATATATATTTGTCTGTGAAAACTGTTATCTGCTGTGGTTTTTCAACAAAATTTTGTTTATTTACTGACGTGAATAATAATAGTAACACTACGAACTGATGTTAAACCAAAATTAAATTACTTCTTGTTCAAAATTTAGCATTATTATATCAAATGTTTCACAGTCTTAATCCTCAATGAGTTTAGAGGTAAAGAAATTCCAGAAAGTCAGTTAGTTGGTTCAGATTATTTTATAATGGAAACTATCTTATTAAATAAGACAACTTATTTAGCTGTTTTTTCTGCTCTAGATTCTAGAGGAATCATAAAAATATATATATATATATATATATATATATATAATTTCACATATTAGCTTTGTTGAGGGACCACAGCAGCTAACATTGCCAATGAGGTTTGAGACTGTAATAATTGTTAGCCTGTTTGATTAGTGTGTATTCGTTAAGATAATCTATTTCATTATCGCTTTTAGTCTAATTTAGTTTGAATTTGACAGGCTTATAGAGTTTGTGGACCTAATCCCAACCAAAGAAAATAAAAGCATTTAATTTTTTTTCTCCTATTCGGCTAATCATGTCTTAATCTGTTTGTTTTATGGTTTGTGTAAGACAATCATTTATTTATATTAATGCTGAGGGCTTTCAAATAGATAGATCATTTTATGTAAAATGATAGGTATGTCATATTGTTACGAGAAGAATTTACATAATTCTAGGATGATTTTATCATCTGTGTGCTGGGCAGATTTTCAATAATAGTATTGATGTTATTATTTTGTTCATATATTATGAATTGTATAAACAGCTTTTCTGTTTGTTGAGCTAGTCACATATATCTATTTTATAACTAATGTTGATCTTGGTTTAATTTTTTACTATTAAATTAAAACACCAATATATTATATCAAGCATTTTTTGAGCTAGTTCTAATAGAGTTTATAACTTTACGATATAGGTATTATTTAATTGAGGGTACACAATTACAAAATATTTCATTTAAATGTTTACGTCAATAATAGTTGTCTTTGGTTGGAGTTATTGTTTGTGGTTATACGTATTATTAATGTAAACATTAGGTTTATGATGTTTATTGTGTGTATTATGTTATTTGATTATTATGTTTAATAGTTGAATAATTAATTTAATGGACCTTTATATTGTTGATTTGCTGGATTTATGATTATTTTAAAAATCCTCAAGAGGTAGAAAAATGAAGAAGAAACAGGTATATGTAATGTACATTGGCGATTGGATCTATGAACAAAAAAAATAAATAAAAAAAGAGACAAATATCCAGTATCTTTCCCTATTTTTTAGGATTTAATTTTTGTGTTTTAATTATTTTAATATTGAAACTAGAAATGTTATGGGATTTGGCATTACTAATAAATCACAAATTAGCACTTAAGACAATTTTTGCTGCATTAATGTTTAATGCTATTAGAAGAAAACTTACAAAAATATATCGTATATTAATTACAATTGGTATTTTAACATGCCAAAAAAAAAAAAAAAAAATTTGGAAAGCTGTAAAAATATTATGTAGCATTTTTTATTACTGGAATATTTGCATATTTTTTTATTAGTGTTTAGGATAAAATATTTTTACCTGTATAAAACATTTATTGTTTTCGGTTCTGAATATACCTTTAAAAAAAATAGATGGAATGTTTTTGTGATTTTTATAGCCAAGTTTACTCTTCAAATACTGTACTTTTTTAATAAATAAATTTGTTGTTTGCATGTATTATTTTTTTAATTAAAAAATTATACATATTTATATTTTTTTTCCCGTTGGCATACAGATCTTGTAGATCTTTTGACGTCTTAAGGTACTGTTTCGCTGGTACACTGCATCGACTGCTAGAAGTTAAGCACTGCTTAATGGAATAGAGAGGAGTCTATTTCGCAGCCGTGGGCAGTACCAGCGAAATAGTTCCTTCAATCAGCCTTCTTCATCTCTGTCTAACTGGGGTCTTTTGTTATCTGCGTGCAACTCTATTGCATCTTTGTTGATTCAATTATTAATATATATTCATATTTTAATAGTAACTACAAGTGCAATCAGGGCTTTCTTCTCAAATTAAAGGTTTATAATGTCTGTTCTGATATGGTTGTGTGTTCTGGACACTAAACACCATAGAAAAAATAATTGAAAGATTAGAGAGGAAAATCCTCTGCAAAATGAACTGAGCTGTATAAGATTAGAGTATTAATGGATGGAGGAGAAAGATTAATTAAGAAATGCTTACAGAAAAACTGGTTAATAAGTATCTCATAATATGAAGTTCAGCTGTTAAAAATGGGCAGGATGTGCATCTCGGAACAATCCATCAGTAAGCCTCTACATAATAACGGATATCTCATTAGTGGAAACGAAACTGGAAAGTAAAAGTCTAAGACAGGCAAAGGTGGAGAAGGTTCTATTTTCTGAGGATGATAAGGTTCTGTCTATAATTTAACATCTGTATTATGGTGACATTTTGAAACTTTACTGTTCTCACATTTACGCCACTTTTATGTTTCAATTTTACATCTGGTTTAGAATTTTTGCTTTTAATGCTATTACTGGGATAAGCCTGTCACAGTAGCTTTTAGTTGTTCTTACTTTACTTTGAGGAAGGCTATCATTTCAATGGTTCATCTTTATAATGATATAGCTTTCATACTTCCACGAGTGGTATCCTATATATCTTTTCAGTATGCTGATTATCTGGCCATAGTTTCAGTATCAATTATGGCTATGTAAGAGGTTTGGGAAAGGTTGGTGAGAGAAGCAGAAGCAATGGGAACTACTATAAAAATAGGAATAAAAATAATGCTGCTAAGGAACAAAAGACTTTCCAACCCATCAAAATAGAATGTAGTACATTCAATTTTGATGGGTCGAAAAAGTTCATGTTTCACTGTGTCTTCAATTTCAAGTATATGGTGGGTTTAATTGTCAATGATTGAATAAATGAAAAGGAAAAGATACAAATCAAAGCTATTGCGCTATATATGCTTTATTATGGGACATTAGGAAGCTTCCTCAGGAGTAAATTGTTGCCCAAAGATAAATATCCTACCCAACCAAAACAAAAAGATGGAGTACGATGTAGACGTGAAAGAAAGATGGAGGGATCTGATGATGACAGAAATAT